AAAAAATAAACTAACTAAACTAATTAAACTAATAAAAATATTTCTAAACTTTATAAAACTAGTTAAAGTAAGAGAGAAAGTATTTTATAGCTATTAGTATAAATTATTTCTAATTTAATTTTAATTTTAACTAACTTACTATATAAAATAAATATATAAATATTATAAGCTATATTAAGCCTTTAGAAACTTACTATATAGTATATCTTAGTAATTATAAAAAGGCTATCTTTATAGTATAGTAGCTATATAGTAAAGAGTATATTATTTAGTAATATACTAAGTAAATTTTATTAGCTAGAATTAGTTCTTAACTAGTTTATAATTATTTAGTAAGTAGTTTATACTATTTCTATATCTTTATTCTTATTCTTAACTTTATTTTTATTTTTATTTTTATTCTTATTCTTCTTATTCTTAGAAAGAGAGAGAGAGAGAGAGGAGCTTAAAGGTAGAGGCAGAGGTAATAGTAATAATAATAATAATAATAATAATAGCAGTAGCAGCAGTAGTAATAGTAATAATAATAATAATAATAATAATTATAGCAGTAGTAGTAGTAATAGCAATAATAATAATAATAATAATAGTAAGAGCAAGAGCAGAGGCAAGAGTAAGAGCAAGAGTAAGAGTAACTAGGTAGGCAGCTTAGTAGCATTTTATTAAAATTAGTTTTAATTTCTTTTTTAATTACTTTATAAGTAGTTTAAGCAGTATATATACTATTCTTAGTTAGTAATATATAATAACTATAGCTACTACTTTAGTATTAATAGTAGCAGCTTTATTATATATAGTTTAAACTATAGTATTAGTAGTAGTAATAGTAGTAGTAGTTAGTAGTATAAAAGTAGAAATAGAAATTACCTTAGAAGGCATTACGCCTTACTATATAGGCTTATATAGTATTTATAATAGCGCTTAGCTATTAATATAGTTTAAATACTATTCTATATAAAATAAATATTAATTATTATATAACTAGTTTTAAACTATTTTCTATAGCAACTTATAAGCTAAGTTATTATTTAATTACTTCTTATTATCTTTAAAGTAGTACTTCTCTAAGTTAATTTTATAAAATTAAATATAATAGTTTTAAAGTAATAACTTAATTATATATTACTATATTTATAAGAAATAAATAAGAATTAATTTATATATATATCTAGTTAGTATTATACTTAATTATATAGTATACTATTTACTTTAAAATAGTAGAATAGTTCCCTAGGGAATAAAATTAGCTAGCTATCCTAGAATTATTTCTAAGTTAGTTCTAATTATTACTTTTATTATTTCTACTAAAGAAGACTTATAGCATTAAATTTTAACTTAAAGATAAGCTTATTAGCAAGTTGCTTCTTTAAGTTTAAGTATTACTAGTATTATAATAATAACTTATATCTATAAGATATTTTTTTTTAAGTAGTGCTGCAGCAAATCAGCAGAATGCAAATTAGGAAAATTGTAGTAGCAGCATTTGCAGATGCAAGCTAATGTGCGACCGTAGAGGGGGCCCCAACGAAACAAATTGGATCCAAATCACAAGGGCATGCCAATTGCTCGGTGCGCCCAGCTCGCACCGCGACGGGCAACCGCGGTTGGTCGGATCGCAGCGTCGTCATGGTACGGCCAGAGTGCAACGACCGGCGTTTCACGGAGCGCTGCCATTATCGGAGCCAACGTGACTTTGGGATGAAACGAGTCAGCAACTTTGCAAGTCGCGTCGAAACTATAATACCCCATTCCTTGCAATCAAATCTTATCTCGCCTGGCCGTCTTCATGGCTTGCCGCTTCCCCCGGCAGGCTGTGCGTTTTCCGGAGCAAGGCGCACCGACGTATGTGTGCAAGACGTATTTATTACATTGCCATTCGGAATTCAATGGCGCTACCTTCGACACAGGACTGCTCGACTGTCCTCAACGGTCCATCCTAGGCTGAACAAATCATCTCCAGCGTCCATCGCAAGGGACCGGTCTTGCAAGCCGCATGGCCGGTAGACAATGAAAACACGGCAGCCAGCACGAATACAATTCCCCGGCTCTCTCGGGGTGACATTGTCGGTGGACAAGGTCGGACCGCCCACCGCTCCGATTCGCTTTGCGTGTTTCAGGCTCACCAAAAGACAAATGCGTTGCATCGGGGAAAGACGAGGGCATCGTTGTCGCGAATAGCAGCATTGCCTTGGAGGTCTGTTCAATTACATGCGCCCCTTCTCCCGGCACGTCGTTTCTTTCAGCAGCGGCGCAGACGGAAGAGGCGCAACCGAGTTCCAGGCACCAATGGCCACTCAACCCGTGCTGGCCTTTTCTCCGTCTCCAAACTCCATCCGCGCGGCCGCTCGGTAGGTAGACGTCTGGAATGTCGCCGCTGGCTCGACGGTGCCATCCTCGCCGGCGGGCAACGCTTGCAGAGGCCGTATGCGGACCTTGCCATCCCAGGCTCCCAGCTCGCCTTCTTGGTCCGGCAACAGCTTTGATCGAGACAAGCCGGCCAGGTTGCTTGCGCTGCCTTGGCCTGCAACACGTGACCTGCTGCTGCTGCACCTGCAGGCGTTCCTCGACACACAACACCACGACGTGACGGGAGAATCCGACCGAAAGGTCCGAGGATACATGCGCACGAGCACCAGGCGCAACGCAGGCATACACGCGCATATAAAGGCGACCGACACCTCAATCGTCGACCAAAAGACGACGCTCCACTGATCCCAGGTCGGATTGTACGAGTTTCCAAAGTAAACGAGCGACTTGAGCCGGAGCATGGACACGATGGTTACGCTGGCCGCGCAATCAAATCAGCCTTGCGCGCACGTTCGAGACGGGACGTCAGCCGAGGAGGCAAGGACTTACATGGCTCCTGTCAGAAACATGATGGCCGCGCCGACCTTCTTCTTCCAATGCAGTCTGAGTTTCCTCAGCTGCGTGAGCGGCAGCGCAAACAGCCAAATGTCGGCGACGACGCCCACAACGCCATTGACCCATCCCGACGCGTTCATGTCGACGCAGCGTCCCATCCTCGGCGGATCGTCGCGAAACCTCTCCCAGTTGTACTCCACCGGTGTGCATTGGAGCACCGTTTTCAGGACAAAGGCCAGCCCGGAGGCGACGTGGAACGCCACCGTCACCCAGAGCAGGCGGCGGATCACGTTCCCCGGGAATATGCTCAGGTAGAACAGGGACAGCGACACCTTGACGAGCGTGATGAGCGTCAGGTACAGAATCTCCATGACGTAGAAGTAGCGCCCGAACTCGAGCAGCGTGGCCATGTCCAGCGTCCAAATATCCCTGCCCAGGCCGTTGGGGGCCAGAAAGAAGACTTGGATCACGACGCTGGGTATTCCGAGCACGAGGGCAGCGAGGATCGTCCAGTCGTCTAGGCCGAGCCTCCTGCTGGCACTCAGGTACTGCTTGAAGAAGAGGCGCATCATGACGAGCCCAAAGGCCAGGCTGCCCAGCAGGAAGTTGACGACGGTGAAGACGAGGCCGTTGTCTCGGACGGGTTCGTTGCACAACGTCGACGTCAAGTTCTTGGACACTGCGTCGTCGTGTGCAGGGGGCGTCGTCAGTTGCAGTCTGCGACTCAAGTTTCGGGGCCGCGGATGCAACGAGCACTTACAGAGCGCGTTTGACAATCCGCACGCTTGAAACATGCAGGCGCCCATGGCGGAGCGGTATCCCTCGTTCTGGCAGATGCAAGCCACGTTGGTGAGATCGCATCTTGCGGCAACACACGACCACTGTCGAGTGAATGGATGGATGCATGTTAGCCTTCGCCCAGGCGGACCAGACATTGTCGAACGAGCCTGGCTCGTCGCGTCCCGTCCGGCAGCAGCAGCAGCAGAAGAACATCGTGGGAATGCAACTCACAGCGCAAGCTGGCAGCTGCGTGATGTTGACAGCATGTGCCGCGAGGTGCACAATCGGACCAGACTCCATGTGCATCGAAGCCAACATGGTCGGAACGAGGGCACGGAGAGCGAGTTCGTCGTGTAGTCGGATTGACTGCAGTATTACACCGGCATGTGTCCTCGATCAAAGGCGCCTAACGGCTCTTCATGGCCAACGAATCCTGCACGCCGTTCCTGGTCGCGACCGCTGGCTGTGATGTGCTGGTGATGTCGAGGATATGAGGGAGAAGGTACGCAGTCCGGGGGGCGGCCGGACATGAAAAATTTTTTCAGACTTTGAGATATGGATCCAGAACATGCATGAACGATGCAGGTCCGAGTCTTGTTTTATCCCAACGAGTGGCGGGTTGCCATGAACCTTGGCTCATCTACTCAGCGTCGTAGTAGTATGTAGTATCAGCACGGAATATGCCCTCCCTCCCATGGTCAATGCCACCGGCTCAAATGTAGTCTTTTCCGGCATCACGGCTGCGCCTCGTCCATGACACGGCCTCTGACAAGACTGCTTCACTTGGTTTGGCATTGCGCACCGGTGACGGCTGCCGTGCCGCGCCCTCGAAACGGCCCCGATGTCGAGAGTCATGGGCGAGGCAAGTTATGAGCATCATAGCGAGAGCAGCTGGGGTCAATGCGGCTAGCCATGACATGCCCTGTTTTTCTTCTTCGCGTTGCAAGCCGATAACCAGAGGGCTTTTCGGATCGTACGCATCGTCATCTTAGTGTCAGACATGGCACAGCAAAACACCAACTCCACAACAAACGGCTTCAGCTGGCCCAGTAGCACAGCGGCTTGCTTTGCCAGACGTTGATCATCCGTGGCACATCTCATGCCCTCCTCAAGTTGACGACCGAGCTCCCTCCATCCACAGAAATTTGTCCGGGGTATGCACAAGTTTCTCCAAGCCTCCAAGCCTTCCCGCCACTCGTCAGTGCAGCGTGCGTTTTCTATTTCTCTGCATCAGGTCACGCGGCTGGGGTCGTTTGTGTTTGAACTTCTCTGTACGGAAATGCTCCGTCGCCCTGGTGGACTCTGGCTACTATCACGTCCCACGCCCGGCTACATCAATAGCCCTCAATGTGCCGCTACCCCTGGTCCATTTGCGCCATGGCCAGCCCCAATGCCTGTCTGAGCGTGAACAGCGCAAACGATTTGACAGGAAGCATAAAATTGGTCGCATGTCGGCGGCCCCAGCGGCGGCCGCAGGACGATCCCGGCCGCGGGAAACCATCGTGTTGAGAGGCAACCATGGTTCTCTCCGTTAAATAACAGAGACCGCCAATGACGAGCAAGGGCCGTGTGACACGACCTGGATCCCTGGGCTTGAAAGGTGCTTGGCAGTGTGATGATGACAATACACATCCATCCATCCATCCACTGATGGCCACAGCGTACATTTGCTATGCTCCCGCCTTGCCGGCAGCCATGACCGCTTCACGTCCAATGCCGGAACTGCCGTCGGCGAAGCATGGCCACCCGCTCTGCAAGGGCAGGCGGAGAATGGAGGTATTTGGCGCTGGCTTGGAGACTGCTCGTGCTCCGGTTGTTTTGCGAATACAACAAGGCAAGACGAATGTAGTCCGAGCCGCGACGTATCCTGCTCCAGGTTTTCGGCCCATAAATAACCGATAACGAAACGTGAGTCTCCGTCGCGAGCCGCCCCGACGGCCCAGTTTCGTCCTATTTGTTGCAGGCTTGGCCTGGACGACTCGGAGAATTTCTTGCCACTTTTTGTCTGGGGTTGGTTGACCTGACTTCTCCAAGAACCCCAGATCCATTGTGGCTCTTTCTCGCCGCGGCATCGCCACAAAAGTCGTCGTCCAAAAAAGTGGCAGAGTGGGCAATTGTGCAGAGTCAAGGGTAGACTATGGCCTAGCGTTTTTGACAGAGGCATGATACTGAATTCTCATGTGCTCAATTCGCATCGAGCCTCCGCGGGCACTGCCGTCAATCCCGGGCCGCGGGTTGTTGCTTCGACCTGCACATCCGAGAACCCGACAGACGAATCTTGTACTTGCGCCGGACTCGGCGCCGCAAAAGGTGACGAGCCATTCTACACTCCCGTGAAATCCACCCAGGAATCCTGAAACGTGAAGTCGCTAAAGTCAGTGAAGAAAAAATCGTTGGGCATACCCGTGGCGCCCATGTCAAAGAGCGGCTCTGGCGGCGGCTCTTGCGAGGCCCTCCCCGGAGATGCTGGTGCGGCCATGGCGGCGTCTCTTGCGTGCTTGTGAGGCCAGTCGGCGCCTTTGTCAACCAGGCTCTCCTGACCGTATTGGGCGGCAAACTCGAAGAGTCGTTTTTGAAGACCATTCGCGACGCGGCGGAGCGGGTGTGCACACGTGAGGCGCATCTCGGCCAATGCCGAGACGACGGCGCTCAGCATGCGGTAGTCGTCCTCGACACTGATTTTCAGCTGGTCCCGGTGTTTGATGCATAGCTCGAGGAGCAGGTGGCCGGCGAACGATATCATGATGTGGATGTAGCCAGGCACCCTCCAGAGATTGCCGAGGAGGCCGTCGGCATCCAGGATCATGCGGAAGATAGCGACGGCAGCGTCGTAAGCCATCCGGGCGGCGGTGAGAAGCGCCGCGGGGATCGATCCTCCTCGCAGGCCTCGGAACACATGGTGTCCCAGATATAACTTGCCAAAGAGGTAGTGGAGTCGAAATGCCAACGGCGGGAATTTGCCCATTTCTGGGCCCGGATCTAGCAGAGACACGCCAAGGTCAGACTCTCGTCATCCACGCCGTGGGCCGCGGCCACGTACGACTTACGGAACTTGGGGCGAAATTCATCAATCCACCCATCCAGCTCAAGACAGAACCGGGGAAACTCAGCTGCGCGCGATGCCAGAACCGGAGCAGGGTACTCGGACCCGAAGGTGCGCTTCATCCTCGCCATGATCAGTAGCAATGAGGATTGGGCAACGAGGCGGAGGTCGTGGTTGGTGCACGCCTCGCTCTGCAGGTACTCGTGTCTCCTGTCGAGCACGTCCAGATGAAGAGAAAGGAGGCACTCGCGGTTGTTGAGGATGGCCTGGTGCTGGTCGCTCATGAAGATGCCGTACCAGAGCCTGACGCGGTCGCGGGCCTGAGCCTGGTCGACGTTGCCATTCGGGGGGCTCGTGGGGGTTTCCCATGGCCCATTGATAGATTTGAAGATGTGCCGATGGAGCCTGACGTCACCGGCACGCCTCACGGCGTCGCAGAGGAGAATCCTCGACGCGCCGGGGAGCCAAAACGACCCAATGAGCAAGGCGCGGATGTGCTCGACGTCCTGGCGCTCGAAGAGAGTTGTGGCCACAACATGCCGGTATTCACGGTAGCACGCCTCGAACAGATGGCCGTAGTCCACCAGGTAAAGAGATGAGACTGTGCAGATGGCGGCGATCAAGGCCGGAGACGCGTCTCTGACGCCGTGAGCGGTGCTGTGCGTGTGGGCGAATCCGTACAGGATCGGATCCATCTCGACAAAGTAGTGCCTGACCAACACGTCCGCATCCTCAACTGTCACCAGCCCTTTGCTGATAAGATCAGGCTTCTTGTGCGGACGCGAGGACAAGGCAGTGGCAGGACCGTGGGCACGGGCACCAGCTTCAGACTCGGGTTTGCTAAGATAGGCATCGATGGGAGCAGTGACAGCAGATGGAGAGGTGTGTTGCGACGGCTCACATAGCAGTCCCTCTTCACCGTCATCTAGATGCTCGTCTTGTATGCCGGATCCGGTGCCAACACTGCCCAGGGCGGCCGACTCCAAAGGCTTTGGCAACTCTATGCCCAGTTGCTGGCACACCGTCTCAAGCGTGGCATGGACTTTGCCCAAGTCTCGGCCCAGAACGGCAAGTTGTCTGGGAGCGTCAGGACTCAGCGTCGCGAAGCGAAAGGATGAGGGGCAGAAGGCGAAGAGGCGCGGGATACCTGTGGTCAAGAATAGAGTTGCGCAGGCCGGTGTTGATGACACATTCTATGTTGCGCCTTTTGCATCTCTCGCACGGCGGACGCTCCGTCAGAAGCTCACATTTGATCTAAAGCGGCCGTGAAGACAGTCTTGTGTCAGTCCCCATGGTTACGATCCGTGACACCGGGTGACAAGTTGGTGCGGCCAAACTTTTTGCCTGCGACAAGCAGCACAAGATGTGATGCGCCGTTTCGCCGAGGAGGCATGAGACTGCGGATGGGCGCCGCTCGACATGAGGCGCGGATTCTTGTGTGGGCTGTCGGATGCGTCGCCGGAAGCCTCGTGCGCATCGTGTTCCGCCACGTCGGTTGTGGAAATGGAAGCAATGTGCCTTTTGGGCATCGCGCTCATCACCAGGCTTGCTTGTGACCGAGCTGGAGATGCCAACAGGCGTCAACAGGCGTCAACAGGCATCAACAGGCATCAATGATGGCGAGGTCGACTCGCACGCCGACGGACCAAGGGCAGAATCAACAAAAATGTGGGGCATTGGACTGTATGTAAGCAACCAATCACGGAGCACATGCTGGGTTGCTTCTTTCTTCTTTTGAATACTAAACAACTTTGCTCAACAAGCTCCTTCCTCGCGTAGTCGGCACTTGCAGTCGTGACTCGTGACTCGTGACTCGTAACCCAAAAGGTCAAGTCGTGGCGTGGCACGAGTCGGCCGGTAGCAACTACTTGCCAACAGAACATCTCTTGGCTGGCTAGAACCGAGTTCCCTTCGCACGCAGCACGCAGCACACAGCACGCACGGCTTTACGTCAAACTGGCCTTCTCGACCCCTTCATGTACCTGCTCTCCGCCCGGCACACCCAGAAGAGCGTGGACTTGTGCGTGTGCATGATGGCCTCGGCTTCCACCGGCCAGTGCGGCTGCAGTTCAGCAGCGCTGCGCTCGATGAGTGTCTCATTCTCGAAAAACATTCGGCCAATCTTCTCCGCGGCCTGCATGTCATCAAGACCTTGGCCTGCCTTGACCACGGCGATCAAGTTGGCGACCTTGGTCTCGTCGGGCCTCTCCAGGCCGGCATGGAGAATGACATCCAACAACAGCGCAACGTTGAACGAGCTCAGCATCACGGTAGCCAGGACACGCCGATTGCGGAAGGAACTGACATGCAGTTTCTTCCCCTTGAATCCCGTGTACACGTTGATAAAGTGAATGGCTGGCATATACACATTATGCGGCCGGAGGCCGACGTACTGATCCATGGTCGGGATTCTGTCCCGGCATTCGTACGCTCGCAGGCTCGTCGTGGCGTCAAGGTACTTGGAAAAGAATGACTTGATTATTTCGTAGGCGTCCTCGTCCCACTTGTCGCGCCGAAAGAGCTTCGCAACTCGTCTAAAGTGCTCGGGGTCGACGCCTGCTTCGGGGCCGACTTGTTGACTCTCCCCAAACACATTGCCAAGACCCGCGCAAGCTGCCTCGGCCGTGGCCGGGTCCAACGTACTATCAATGCAGTCGTCGATATACGTATGGGGTATCAAGTACTTGGCGACGTCCATGACCTGCTCTGTGCGCCCATAGCAGTAGGCGTACGAAGCGAACATGCCCACAAACACATACTGGGCGAGTTTCGTGTGTGGTGGGCTCATTTTGGGCTCGAGTTGCTTGTACTCAGAGACCACAGCTTTCTCGATTTGCTCGTGATCAGGATGCTGCTGCCAGCAAGACTCATTGTGGTCCAGGATGTACTCGAAAAGCCGGCGTTTTGGTGTTTGATAATGCGAAATCGGATCCATCAGGAAAAAAGAATTCCTTACCTGTATCTTAATGCTCGAGGTGAAGAAGGCAATAAACGAAACAAGGACAGCTCAGGGACATTATAAACTCAACGCCCATGTACTTTTAGTCTTGCTTGGAATTGAGTTTTCGCCGGCAAGCTAGCGTCCAATGCAAGACTGCAAACTCAGCCCACACTGGGTGCACATGTCGCGAGGCAGACGCCAGGGCTTGGGGCAGATGCTGATATCTCAAGGGAAGTGAGTGGTCTTCGCGCCAAGATCTACTTAACTGGTTCCGTCTGGGGAACACAAGCATGCCAGAGCATGGGACGCTGTTGAGAAACCATGGCGCCGTGAAAAGGCAGTTTGAAGACACGGCAGAGACGGCTGGGGAAACGCACTTTGACGGTGTACCCTCTCAACCGCACGTGGATGACGCAGAGGAGCAAGTCACTGCTCTTGTCTCCTATCTCCTTTCTCTCTTTCGCAACCAAATGTTTCCCTCTGTGCCAAGAAATCCTTTTCACAATAAAAATGCCTCACGATCAGGTCCGTGCGTCAATCCAACCTGTTCCGGTGATGGCACGCTCGGTTTTTGATGCTATTCGTGCGGCAAGCACCAGACATAGACACGGGTATGCTGCCTCAGCAACCTTTCTTGCTTGCTTGCAAGAACAGCTGAATAACACGTGTTTTGAGCATTACTCCCCCCGAGGCGTCCATCATCGTGCAGAGAGGTGAGGACTGGACGGCCAATCTCGGCATGTAGGGTGAGTGGCGCCGCTTGCGAAGGGGTTGCGACAGATAACCGCCACGTTCACACAGGTCGCGCATTATCCTGCAACAGTAGTCTTTCGCCAGTTGAAAACTCTCTCCGGCTTGATGGACACAGGCTGCCGTGTAGGTGACAAACTTGCGTGAGAAACGCCATGCAAGTTGGAGCATTCTTCGTACGGGCAGGTTGCTGCGGCGTTCCCAGGGACCATGGGCAACTTGGACCGCGGCTCAAGTGTGTAACGGACACGATTTGAAGCGTAGCTTCTACCGCAGCTACTGCTGTTTCCGGTCGGCATGTACAGGCCAAGGCAAAGGGAACGGCGGCGGCGGCGGGTCTCGAGAGTCTGTGATGACGGCGGCTTCGATAGTTGCAGACGCGGTTGTCCTTGGGGGTCTGTCACAGCCTTGTACGCTTTGTCGACATCTTCAATCTCGTGGTACCCGAGTAGTTTTCGGCCGGCCTTTGCAAATGAGCCAGAATCCTATCAGCATTGGTCCGGCGACTGCAAAATGACGAGAGCGTTCAGGCACTGGGGTACCATACAACTCCGACAAGATTCATTCATACTCTCTTGTCACATGTATTGTGCTGGAAATGATACATCACAAAATCCCATTCCCATGAGCGCAATGGATGTAGTATGTGTGTCCGTTGAACGGGGGACAGGTGAGGGATGGTCATGTGAGCCTGCGAGGCGTCGGGCATCAGAGACGATGACGAAGGGGGGAGAAAACCACATGACATATCCGTACAACCTTAGTCATCAATTTACTGCATAGCCAAGGTTTCATCCGGTCTACCGGGATCAATGCCGTTCTCAGTGGTCCGGCATTTACCGGTCCTGATGCCCCGGGCTTGCGGTTCACCTATGCCGGATGGATCTGCCTTTGCCCTATTGAAAAGGGTCGATTCACCATGTACAGCACTACGATTCTACCTCAATGCCAGATACAGGCTCTCAGAGAGCGCTCCAGCCTGGGGTCTGGATTCCTCAATAGCATTTGCCCAGTCTCGAATGTTGACTAGTTGAGCTGTTGGATGTAGAACCGCAAGTAAGTAATAGTTTCGAGGAATGATTTCCGCTGGAGGGCTTTCGCGCGCATTGCTCTACATGCCATTTAAACGAAATAACGTATCATTTGGGGCAAGAATTGGCTCGGGCACAGTCGGCTTCAAGATGTTCCAACCTGTGTCTCTGAATCACTTGATTCTTGAAGCTGGGGGCTGTTGGCAACTGATATCAGCAGGAGACTAGTATGATTAATCATGAAAGTGTGGGGAATGGCGCCATGTTTTAGAGACATATGGGAGATGGTTGCATGCAATATCATACGAGACATGTTCTATATTTCATTTACTGATTTGGGGCATATAAACATTGAGTTTTGGGTTGCTATAAACTCTGGCCCACAACACTTTCCGCCAATAGCTGCGACGGAGAATGAATTCCCGATAGATTCATTCGGGAAAAATAGGAACTGCCTAGCAGCGACGCAATGTACATCTGCGCGAACACAAGCATGCGGCCATTGGGCGTCTTGTGACATCTGGCTTCCCACAAACGATCCGTTGCCCCCAGGATGGTGATTGAAGAGCAGAAGCCTCATCACATCGAAAGCGTCGTGCCAAGAAACGAAAAAACTATAAAGCCATCGGTAGCCCTGAGCCGGAGCTGCCCTACCGTTGGCCTTGACAACAGACATTGCCTTTAAGATCCATGCATTCTTCGCGTCCCTAGTCGGGCATAGTTCTAGGGAACAACCACCGCCTCTAGGACGTTGCCGAGATACAAGAAGCCAGAAAGCATCGGGATCAAGAAGCTCACAGGTCCATTCAAGGAACATTGACGCCTTTCATGCGGGCATAGCCCTCTGCGCCGCCGACCAACGCGGCACTTCCACTGCTTGAGAATGCAATCCTAGACGGGCTCTTCAAGCGGGTAAGCGGCCTGAACAAACCACCCCGTCCTTTTACTGGAGAAAGACATTGCAAGAAACTTGATGTAAGAGGCTTGATATGAGAAGCTTGATATCCTTCCGGCAACCAACCACATGCGTATTGCGAAGATGAGTGAGTGGAAGACCACCCCGGGAGCTTTATATGGTCTCTTCCGTGGCCAGGTTATACTTTTCGAATCAACAACCAACCCCACGTCTTGTCGACTGCACGTCCTTGGTGCCTTGCACGAATCTCGACACCTTAGACCCTGCACTTGGACAAGATGCTGATTTACGGCAACTCCCTGGAGCATTCGAGAGGGCCCACGCAGGCGGGCGTCTCGGTCAAGAAGTTGGCCCCTATAGCCCTACTCCATGTGGCCGCCAGTCGGTATACCCAGACGACTGGCTAACGTATCCGAACCTGGGTAACCTCAGGGGTGAGGGCAGCCCGAAAGCGCACACAAGGCTGTCTCTGCTAACGTAGGAGGGGGGAGTGCTTCCCTGGCGCTCGGTAAACGCCACGGCCCCCCAGACTAACGTGACTACATGCATCAGTGTAGTTGGAACGACTGGCAGGATACTGAAGAGAAGCTCTGGCTGAAACAGTCTAGACGGCACCTATATTCACGGAACTCGGACGCCACCGACGAGCCGTAATGCATGGATTCTTACAGCCTTAAGACGGGAACTCTAGTCGTGTACGCTGCACGACGGCTCACTGCCTCAAAGTGTGAGCGCACTAAGCGGGGTGGCAACCTCAGCCTTCTTTTTATGATTCTCTTCTTCTTTCTGCCGGCCCTCGGTAGCTCCTTGCCGAAACAAATCGAACTGCCCGAGGACTTGGCTTGCTTTGCCAGGGTTGCTTCCTATTTTCTCGACTACGATTTCCAGATCACCCGGATACTGGGCATAACAACCATCGAGGGCTTGACTAAGCTGGACGAGGTCTTCCCCTCCTTCGAGAGCCGCTTGTCAAACATGCCCTCGGGAAGTGTCATAATCCAAGAGGTCGACGGATTTCCGTACTTCAATCACATTGAGATCGATGATGGATTTGACCCTTACAGGGTCAACACGGTCCATTCCAAGTCCGTCACTCTACCCTTCAACTTTCAAGCACAGTCTGCCATTTACAGTATTCCCGCGAAGACTTTCTTCAACGACGAGGGTTTTCGCCAGGTTCCCTTTTTCAATTCGCGCTTTACATCCTCGCAGCCGGCTACTCATGTTGAGGACGCGCCCATTGTCGAATCGCCGCCGTGACAAGTTGACGGGATTTGGACAAGGAGCCAGGCGCTGGCGACTGACACCGAAGGAGGAAACACGTGAACAGATGCCCGGGCGCAAGGGCATGGGGGGCCGGGCGATGGGGAATTTGAGCATGTATGCAGGACTGTATAGTCCTGAGTCTTGGGAGGATCCTATTGTAAACGGCGGAACGGCAGACACGGTACATCGCAAGGCCTTCTCATCCTTCCCTTGTCAAAGAGTCAAATCAAACCCCGTTTGCCATGGCAGTTTCTCGAGTGATGATGCACCGTACAGAGGGAAAAGTGATGGCATGCTGTTGATCATGTACAAAAGGAGACTTGATGTCTCATTTGTTACAAAACACGCGGCTTAAAAGATTTGAATATGCTTCTGGTTCGGCGGCCTTGGCTATGATGCTCGGTACTCAGACTTGGCAGGTGTCGGCTACAACTTTTGTCGGTGCATTGCAGTGGCGAATTGTCTCCCTCAATCTGCTCAAGAATCTCCAGACGGCAAAATGCCTGCATGGTCCGCGTGCTCATGTCTGTTCATCAGCTAGCTCTACCGATGGCCCGGGGCAACCCGCAGCCTTCTATTCTCTTTCACTCCCTTCTTCACGTTGAGCCGCTTGACTTGCCCGCTAGCCTGGGGAAGCATGATGTCCCCGGAGTTGAGGAAACCAACGGAAGCCGGCTCGTCAAAATCACACTGGCCGCCATCCGGAGCGCGCTGTCCGCCGTGTGGACTGCGTCGATCTGTTGGGAATCCAACCCTGCGTCAACACCCACCTGCGCACACGCCTTGACCGTCCAAGAAATAGTACGTGAGCTCTCTTGTGGTCGACTGGGAGTCGATTTCAGTCATTGTTCATGGCAGCCAGCGCTTTTGCTATGCTTTCCAACTAGCGTTGCCCTCACGTTCCTCCAGATTCTAAATTTACCGCGACTTGAAGGCTTGCTTGGCTCTCTCGAGGTATTTCAAGTGACGCCGAAATTTCAGGTGACTCGATGACTAGTCACTCCTGGAGGACAAAATAGAAACCAACAATCAACGGCATGTAGCACTTGTCTTGTGAACAACCTCCTTGGTCTTACCAACCGTACCATGTTGGTCCGAGAAACCAAAAGGCCATCGCTCGCCAATGCCCAGGAGCAGCAGCAGTCCAAGGTCTGGGCTTCTCCGCGGCCGCATCTGGAGACGCCAACACACACCGACAGACAGGATGCACTGAACCTCCACGGGAGCTTGCCTGCGTGCCTATCCCAGGGGGCCGGGACCATGGCGACGGAAGGGGAAGCCAGACTGGCCAGAGTCCGCCTCTAGATCCCAGCCGGAGTGCCCCATGGCACTGTTTACTACGTCACGAACGGGATATGGATTGGTGAAAGGAGTACGGCGCACATTGAGCTTGTCCCGTCGGGTCACATTTTCGAGTCCCCCAAGTCAAACCCATAGTGCCGTACTGCCGAGAAATCGAGCAAGAAAATCGCCATCGTGTAACGTTAGAGGCCCAAGTCTACATGCGGGTGCGTAGACGCGTCGAGTACCTACTTGCGCTGTCGTCTTCGTCTCCTGAGCAGCGACCAGTAGAAGAAAGAAATTAGTTTGTATTACAGCTCGGAGGAGAGTCATCCGTTCCTGACTACCTCACTCCTAACACGTTAGATTTCACGCTCTCTCCTAGGAGGTATTCGTGCATTTGTGGTGTAAATTTGATGATTTGGCTTCGTCTTGTCAGCTTGAGCAACGACGTACTTGGGCTCTCTTCTGTCGCCGTCTTGATGCAACATGTCGTATTTGAAATCGTGACGTGGTGATGACGAGATGTTCTCTGGATGGATATTCGCTCGTTTCTGGCCCGTGTATTTGACTGCCCATATCCAGGTGGCTTAAGCCGTATCAAATGCGACCCGCGTGACCTTGGAATGCTGTACCCTGGCTGTGTATCACGGCGCCGAACAGACTCAAAAGAGCGTCGTCTGGCATCCGCTCTGCTCCCCCCGTGCCTGCAGCCGAATGTGGGAATGTAGAGAGGGGACCAGAGCCTTTTCTCCCCGGCCACGTTAACCTCAGCAGGGTGTGCTTGCTGGCCAAGGTGTGTGTTGCGTGTTGGCTGGCCAGGTGACGATGTAGTTACGAGGCCAACTCCAAACCGGGGACTGGCAGGCTGTGGAAACCGACGAGACATGGCGGGGACGTGAGAAGACGCAGTGCAGAGTGAAAATGTAACCTCGGGCGTGCTCGCCTGGCGCAGGTAAGAGAGGCATGTGTCGTACAGGAAGCTGAAGACGGCCAAGGCCCAAGGGTCAGCAGCGTTCACAACTCGCCATGTTCACCAGGCTCTCCACCAGGAGCGAATATGCACGGGCAGACGACGAGAAATGCTCTGGGCTGTTGGCTCGACACCGTGCACCGAGTACGTAGTTATGTGAAGTGACGGGATGCTGTTGGTCACGGAGTCTGGTGACTGGTTGTGCGTGCAACCTCACCTCGCCTCGGCTCACTTCCGCTCCACCATCCATGGGATTCCGTGATCCTTCATCGCATCCTTCTCGTCTCGACCACGAACCATTCTTCCCCCAGCGCCGCGCCACCCGAGGGGCACCGCCATTGCTGGCAGACTGCAAGCCTTCCGCCGCGTCTTCCAATCTACCCTCTCACCGTGAGTGAGTCCTCGTCCCCCCAACGAAAACATAGCCAACAGCAGCCATCACGGCTCCAGGGCCGTTCGCCGCCGTTCGCCGCCTGCAGCTTCATCGCCAGCCCTCTCGCCGTGAATAGTCCAAGCTAACAGAGCGAAAGTGAAGCCCATCAGCTAGCAATGCATACGCTCGACCAATGTCGAGGCACCATCGTCACGTGCCGTCATTGCCCGCCGTCTACTCTCCAGGGCGTCGAGTCCCTGGAGTCGATCGAGGAGACGGTATTGGGCGCCATTTTCAACGTCGTCCCGGCCCAGCCACATCTGCAGGTTGGCAACAGGCCGAGCCCAGAAGCCCCGGTGCCTGTCGTGGCTCGTCATCAACGTGGGCGTCCTCGACGGTCAAATCACGCAAAGACAAGGTGTAGGGCCAGGACTCGATCAAGGCTGGTCGATCCGCCGAGCCGAGCTCTTGCTAAGCGCCGAGGTCCCTTCTTCCGCCATGTCAGTTTCAATAATGGCGACTGATCTGGAAAGGTGGCTGAACACGATGGGGTCCTAGACACGACCAGGGCAGGATTTCTGTGACTGGGTCTCGTCTAGACTTGTAGACCAAATCGACTACGGCGTAGTCTTGCATAGCCAGGTAATAAATCATCTTTCTGTATAGGTACTGTATGGCCTTTTTTTTTTTTTCTAGGAGATTACAAGCTGGGGGTAAAACCGTTTCCCCTTGTTCATTGACTAGACGTCTTTACATTATCAAGCAGTTGATCACGCACTGATATGGCCCAGGAGACAGGAAAGAAAATCAAGGCTTTTACCCGGGACCACGAGTATGCAGGGGGGCAAATGCTGGCCAGGCCCGGTCGTCGAGGCCGGGAAGGGGATCGCAATACAGACGACAGTAGTTGATTTCTGAGACGCTACGCCTAATGACTTTCAGGACAAAAAGGAACCACGAATTTCATGAATTTGCGTTTGCTCGGACAAACTCCCCCTGCGGCATGTCGGCCGTCGACGACGTCTCGGACACCGCCGGCGCAGCGGACGGCCGCAAGCGCTGCTGCTCCGTATCGACCACACTGGCGAGCACGCGGCGTCTACCTGCCCGTCAGCTTTTTCGCATTGGCGCCCATGAAGTTGTGAATGAGGACCTGCAGCCACAGCGGGAGGCCGCGGACGACGGACGCGGCGCCCGACGCCTTGGGGACGACGACCTGGCCGGCCTTGCGGGCAAAGATCTGGGCGACGGTGTCCTCGGCGACCTGCTCGGGGGTGAGGAAGCTGACGCCCGAGCTGGCCAGGTGGCCCTTGAAGCCGTCGAGCAGGGGCGTGGCGACAAAGTTGGGGTGGACAATGGTGGTCATGACGTTTGGCGCGTGGTAGACGTGCTTGATCTCGGCCTGCAGGGCCTCGTGGAAGGCGAGGGCCGAGGCCTTTGTCGAGCCGTAGTCGGCGTGGCCGGGGAGCCCGACAAAGGAGGCGACGCTGGCCATGGTGACGATGTGGCCCTTGTTGGCCTTGAGCATGCTGGGCAGGAACTGCTGCACGGTGAGCCAGTGGCTCATGGTGTTGATGGCGAAGATGCGTTGGAGCGCCTTCTCGTCGATGTCGAGCACGGTCTTGGGCACGGCGATGCCCGCGTTGTTGACCAGGATGGTCGGCTGGCCGAGGTCGCGGCGCACGCCGGTGGCCGCGTCGGCGATGGACGACGCCGACGTCACGTCGCACCGGTAGTAGCGGACGAGCGGGCCGGCCTGGAGCTGCGGCGGCAGGGGCTGCACGTCAAAGACGGCCACCTTGACGCCGGCGGCGACGAGCTTGTGCACGATGGCGAGCCCGATGCCGCTGCTGCCGCCGGTCACGACGGCGACCTCGCGCGGCCAGTCCCAGCCGGGGGCGCCGCCTAGTCGCCACGAGTTGGCGGCCATGGAGCTGAGCTTGGCGTTGACATGGCGCGCCGTGCCGACGGCGAGCAGCGCTCGGAGGATCGACTTGGCGAGCGCGAGGCCGTGGTCGGGCGGGAGCGACGCCCGCTCGAGGAGACGCTGGAGCGTGGCCTCGGGCGCGCGGCTGAGGAGGAGCAGCAGGGCGCCGGGGACGAGGGGGTTCGCAAGGGCATCGGCGGCGGCGCTGATGGACTTGCCGACGATGGAGTCCTGCAGCAGGTAGAGCAGCGACATTGTCGTCGTCGGCGGCGGTATGGAACCTTGTGTGTTGCGTGGCCGGGCGGACGCGATGGCTCGTGTCGGCGGAACGGGCAGTGAGGGCGATGGGTGCACGACGAGGTTTGTTTGCCCGGGCTGGAATCTAGCTCAGGCGACGACGGGAATTCCAGACGACGGTTCAAGACGAGCAGACACGTCGAGTGAAATACCGAGTTGCTTGTGCCAGCCTCGATCCATGCGGCGGCGTGCGGTGCCTCGGCTTCCGGCACGAGACGCAGGCGCCCGCAGCCGGCGACGCCAATGAGCCGGGCGTTCGGGGCATCCTCCACGTTCCATGTCCCCGCTCGGACCCGCCGCTAGTACAAAAGGGGAAAGGAGGGGCCGCAGCACGGGGAAATCGAACAACCTTGGCTATAAGACGAGCCGTCGGTGGCGGGCGAAGACGCGCGAAGAGACTTTGTTGTTTCTTTCCCCCAAGGGCCCGTGCGAGCGAGCAAGGTTTTTTTCTGCATCCGTGTACGGGGCGCAGCGTGCAAAAAGCATGGCAAAATTACTACAACTGGATGCGCGGTTGCCCGCCGCTTTGATCGGGCAGCCCTGCTTGTCCCATCGATGCTGGGCACTTCTATATAACCTCTATTCCCTGCCGCCCCGTCCAATGCGCCCACGGGAACAAGAACCACAACTGGGCCCGGACGGGAGCGACGCCGCCGTCCTCGACATGCTCCCTCACGACGTCTGCCACAGTCGCTTGCGTTCCACCGCCCACCACTGCGCTACAGACTCTGCCTCGCGCACCCAGGCGGCCGCGTCCACGCCCAGCTTCCGCTCGACTTCGGACCCGAGCCCGTCGAGAGACCAGCCCAGCAGCTCTTCGTCCTCTCTCAGCCCGTCCTCTCCCGTGCTCGTAAAGACGTACTCGGCGCTGTTGTCCCAGGACAGGACCAGTCTCCACGGCGTGTCTGCCGACGTCACGGCGAGGAAGCGACCGCCCGGGTTGACCACGCCAAAGTTCCAGGCGCGACGGCCGCGCCTCGTGGCCTGAAACGGCCGGATGAGCGACTGTCCCTCGTAGTCCTGGACAATGTCCGCCGCTGCGTCCGCGTCCCTCGCGCCCAGGGACACGGTGCTGAGCAAGAGGTCCAGCACGGTGGGCAAGATGTTGATGGACGTCGAGTTGACGGCCAGCTGGACGCGCGGGATCCGCGGGTGCCAAAACGCCAGAGGGACGCGGAAGTTGCTGACGTGGGCGTTCTGGTAGGTGCCGCTGACCTGGGCGTCCTCCTTGAACGCCTGCCCGTGGTCGCCGACAAAGACGACGAGCGTCTCGTTTGCGACGCCAAAGTCGTCGAGCAGCTGCATCATCTCGCCGATCCAGGCGTCGTTCCAGCGGATCGTGTTGAGGTACTTGTTCATGTCGTCGTGCGACGCCGTCAGCCCGCTACGCTTCGTGCCCATGTACTCGGTCTTCTGGAACCACGTCGGGGTGCCCCAGGGATGGTGCGTCGTGCTCGTGAAGTGGGAGAGGAACATGCGCTTGTTGCCCTCTACCGCCGCCTTGACGTACTCCTTGATGTCCGGTCTGATGGCCGTCTCCGGAAATCCAAAGTAGTTGATCTCCTTCTCGTCCGTCTCCCCCTTTTGGTTCCGCTCGTCGACCTGCTTCCTCGTCACGGTGAGGTCGAATCCAATCATCCTGTCCATGTCGTGTTGGTTGTCGAACTCGTCCGCGATGGACTGGAACAGCGCGGGATACCACTGGTGCTCGCGATAGTCGGAAGCGTTGGACGCTCCGTCCTTGAGCGCGTTGAACAGCTTGAATATGTGCGGCAAGCAGGGCTGGTAGCTCTGCAGCCCCGACTCCGCGGACCAGTCGACGGGCAAGGGCCAGGCGCCGCAGTGTATGGCCGCCAGGCTCTTGATGGACGAGCTGCAGGTCGTGTGCGTGCCAACGACGTTGAGGCCCCCCAAGCCGGCGTCCGTCGTGTCGTGCCACTCGTCAGATTCTACCGCGATGGGTTTCCCGTCAGAGGTCTCGAAGCTGGCCGGCACTCCGGTGATTCTCTGCGCGTTGATACCCAGCCGGGCCAGCTGGCGGTTCACCTCGTCGTGGCGGAACGACTTGTCGTGAGACTGCAGCACCATCTTGTGGAAGCTGGAGCCGTTGCGGAGCGGGAACAGCTCCTGCCGCATGCTCTCCATCTGGATGAGCACGACGTGTCTGATGTTGACCGAATCCAGCCCCAGTGCGCTCCTCAACTCGGGCAGCACGTCTCCGCCGAGATTGTTGATCCTCAAGGGGTCGTCGACCGGGTTGTAAAAATGGTGGCCGTCGGATGTCGAGCCCGGAGACGCCGCGGCGGCCATGGGGTCCGTCACGCTGTCGTTGCCCCGACTCGACCTTGGCTCCGGGTCCGTCACGCTGTCGTTGCCCCGACTCGACCTCGACTCCGGGTCCCAGCGACGGAACCCGGTAGGCGCCGGCGCCGGCAGCCAGTCCGGGGTCCTGCTGTTGTATCTTCGGATGAACTCGTTGTCCTGGCCCGGCGCCCACCCCTTGAAGTGGCCGTCTGGCAGCTCCCAGTTCAGCCTCGTCACGAGGTCCGGCAGCGGCCACGTAACGTCGGGCAGGTCGGCCACGGGCATCGTGCTCAAGCCCAGCACGGACAGCAGAGACAGCGGCAACGTCGTGGACGTGTGACGGTACGGCAGCTGAGGCTGGAGCGTAAAGACGCACAGCAAACAGCCCACGAGGTCAAGGGCGACGAGGCACCAGCACACGACGTGACGCACAGTCCGGCACTCGGCAGAACAAACCCAGCGGGCGGCATCGCCCGGCCACGAGTTGGCACCGGGCTGTCCCGCATCGGTGGCAACGCTGGCCTTTTCATCGGCAACGGGGAGAAGATGACCGTGCCGCCTCGCCAGTATCTTTGAGAGCCCTCGTCCCAGGGTATGCTCGAGCGCTGGTGGACAGGAGACGATTAGCGATGCGGCACGACGACATACGAGGTCAGACGGAGCCCGGCGACTTGCCTAGATTCAGCTGAAGCCACACGTGGTACCAGATGGCCCCCACGGCGCGGTGAAGCACATCCTGGATGAAGAAGGCGACGACCAATATGGCGGTGCAGGCCATCAGCGCGTTGGTCGTCCCGCTCGAGGCGACCTTCCTGGCGCCCGCGTCAAAGGCGACCGAGGCGGCATCGGCCCATCGGATTTCTACTCCCGACTCGCAGAAGAAGCTGACGAGCGCCGATGCGGCGATACACGTCGGGATGCTGCGCGGGCGAGAAAGTGCGCCTGTCAGTATCTAAGCTGGGACAGTCCGCCGGAGACGAAGGCCTGGCGGTGGCCGATGCGGGCAGGTTTGAACAGCGCAAGGGGGTGTGTACCTGATGAGGCACGAGACGGCCGCACACAGCTGGGAAAGTCGGCCTCGTTTGTGCTGCAGAAGGGACCAGACGAAGGACAGGACAAGCAGGTCGGGGGCCAGGAAGAAGGGGACGCAGACGAGGAACGTGGCCCAGGGGAAAAAGTGGGCGTTGACGTAAAGATGCACCGTCTTTGCGAGGACCACGGCGACGAAGAGGATGGAAAAGACGAGACGACGCGCAGCCGGCAGCATTGTGAAGAGCGTGGCACGACACTGTTGATGCGGATGGGATTGCTTTCTGCACGTAGCTTGCGAGGCTGGCTTCTACGGGCAGCGAGATTGATTTTGTAAATTGTCCAAGGCTCCGGTCCACACGCATGTCGACACGTTTACGTCCGGGGCTCATGGCCGGGGCCACGCTTCTGCTTTCATACGACTACCTTGCGAGAGTGCCGCATCTATACAAGGTCCAGCTATGTCATGGTTCTGGCATGGCGGCGGCCGCTATTGGGCGGAAATGTCCCGATATTGGTGTGGTGGACGGCCGCATATTTGCATCTGGAAGCGTGCAAAGCGCCCTAGCGTCGGGGGCGTTGAAGAAGCTATTGATTGACTGAGACGTTCCTGATTCAGACAATGTACGTGCGCAGAACCGTGTATGACGGATGCACTATGCACATAGGTGGCCTGTTGAAACGGGCGAGTAATGGCCATCACGTGCGGATGGAGAGCGGACGGGTACAAGGGTCTGGCGCACGAAACTAATTACGTATAGTCTATACTGAATAGCAACGACAGATACATGTTCACGATGCGCTCTCAACCTTGACTGGCACAGAAGGAATCGCCGGGTGCAAGGCGCCGTCATCCCTGCCTCTGCGTGGACGAGCTCTCGCAATCATTCATTCCAGCATACACCATACATGGTACACCGGCACGTAGGTCGTTGCGGCAACTCCAAACTCTCTCTGCAAGGAACGCACTGCGGTGCCGCCTGCGGTGGCGTCGAGCAGCACGCCTCGGCCGCTGGGCTTGGCCTTGCGGGGAGTCCCAAATTTACCGATTGCTCGGGCCGTGAGACAAGAGAGCACAAGGGGGCTTTGTGACGGGGCGCTCTGGACTCGACAAGATGACCAGCAATGTCTCGTATCCGTCCGCCCCGTGGCACCCAACTCCCAGTGGTTGCGGCACTTGGGGTTGGTGGCGCAGATTGACGGCCAAGTATCGACGCGCTAGGACGTTACACCGTTGACATGTGGCGTATTTGGACGGTCAAAAGCACAGGCGCACTAGGGCAATAAAGCGTTTGGCATGGTGGCGCTATGTGCGGCGCGTCATTCTGGCTTTCCCTCTGGAAGCTGTTCGCCCCCGTTCCAGGCCGTGGCCTACGTCCCTTTGCTTTTGTAAGGGGCAAAGACGCCAACCAGTAAGCGACCCTGCACGAGACGGATGCTCAGTCCACCGACAATGAGTTGTAGGAGTGAAATGCCGGTGGTTTCACGACGGACGCCGCCCTTCACACAGCCTCGCCGCGACGAGGCGCGAGCACAAGGAAACGCGGGACTGGAGCCCGTATCTGCTGTGATGCTCCCATCCATCGGTCCGGGACTCGACTGGGAGGGCACGCAAACAAACGTCACATCACATCAGGTGCGCAAACGGGTTCGTCGAGTAGGGTGTGTGTGCGTGGCATTGCTCCCTTTGGAAACTCGTGATGCAAGCAAAGCAAATCGGGCGCGGCGCGTGCGCAATTGCCGTCTTTGGCCCTAGCCGAATAAGCGCGGGTCGTGCTATTCGTGCTACCAACCCTATCTATTCGTGCTACCACGGCTCGATTTAGCCTAGTGACCAACTGCCCACACCCCACCATACATTTTCACATACACCCGCATGGTTGCGCCTGCTTTTCAGAAATTCAATTGGTGTTCAAATTAAATCTATTATTTTTTCAACAACGCAAGCCCGGGCGAGCGCCGGCAGCGCTCAAATCGCTTAAAAACGCGATTTCCGGTGTTTTTGATGAATGTGCACACATTCACAGGCCGTAGTTGTTCCGCTGCCCGGGCCGTCAATTGTTCCACTGCCTCTGAGGGCGCTGCCCGGGCTCCCAAGGGGTCATCCATCGAATCTGCAGCGACCCTGATACTGCCGCTTGCTCTGTGGCTTGTCTACTTATTGATTGAGTTTGTGTGTTATTTACAGCGTCTATCGACCGCTGCCTCGACCGTATTGCGAGTCTTCATCGTCGGGCGGCGTCTTCATCGTCGGGCGGCGTCTTTATCGTCGGGCGGCTTAGGGTCATCAAAAAAGGGTTCAGGCTGTGCTTTAGGGAAGACATCAAAACTTGTAAATTCAGGTAGATAATTGTTATCCATTGAAGATATAAGAAAAGCAGTATTTTAGCGTGATCGTAAGGTTCAAAATTGAGCTCAATATTGTACAATTTGGCGATGTTGTTGTAGAGTTGCAAAAAGGCCGCAGCTGCAGCCTAATTTTTTTTGTTGTTGTGGGGCATTTTTGTGAGACTCTGTAGTTGCCAGGGCAATGTATGTGAAATTATATGGCGGGGCGTGGCGGGTCAGGGTGTAGGCCTAAAATCGGGGTGGGGCGGTAGCACGAATAGATAGGGTTGGTAGCACGAATAGCACAGCCCATAAGCGCGGCCAATCAGCGTCGAGCAACCGCGAGCCGTGCCGCGCCCCTGTCACGGCCACCATTCCGGAGTGAGCAGCCGCAGGTCGACGTCGGCGGAATCAGAGGAATGCAGGAGGAGAAATTTCCGATGGATGCACTAGACGGCATTTTGCGCCACATAACTATCCTGCCAAGCTGTCCAGCGAGACGAAAAACCCCCCTTGGAAACAAGGTCCAGCCTTGCGACTATAACAAGTTGGTTATTAAAGACGCAAAACAATACGTAATTTCCCCCAAGTTTTAAAAGGGTCCCTGGCTCATGAGTCACGGCTCGTCTGTTCTGCTCATCAAAACCACAACTCACTCCTCCGTGCCCCTTAACAGTGAGCCGTGTGGCATGACAGGAAGCGTCTAGAGCTAGTCATTTACCAAAGGGAGCATGCGGCTCAAACTAGGCTGCGAAACCATCGTCCCTTTTCAAGCTCAAGTTGCTACCCCACAAGCTGTGACTTGCTGCGAATGGAGGCAGTCAACAAGCACCAACCAACGCAAGGGGCTCCTGACCATGGACTACTCGGCCCTACGACCAACCCCTCAACCCCTGCAAAGAAGAGTTTGCCGACGCGCCAAGCGTGGCCGACCAATCAAGGGTTGGATTATAAACTGTCAAGCTTTCAATCGAAATCAAGTGGCAGTGACGATGATGACAACAACGCTTCTACGTGGGCTTTTTGCCTGTTCACGCCATACCATGCTGCCACGCCGTACAGCGTGACTGACGTGCTCGAGGCATTTGACAGACAGCACGGCTCCCCATTCAGAGCCCAGACTGTGCATCCCCTGGGCTGTACGTGACTCGGGCAGGGCATTCATGCGACAAGGGGTGGTCACGGCAGAGCTCGACAACCACGGCATACGGAATGAAATAAGTAGCACATGTAAGTTATGTTGCGCGGGCGATTGCGCAACTCGGTAGACGCGAGTCTGCGGGCAATCAGGCCACGTCCCTGAGCACTTGACCGTATTCAAATAGAAACGAAAACGAACTCGTGAGTTTGCCCCGGCCTGAGCGACTTGTGGCAGACGCGACGTGATTTTCTCAGCCTCGCCCTCCCCCTCCGTCCTGCACTCGCGCCAGCTTCGCGTCTCCGTCGCTCACAAACGTCGCTGGAGGCTTGCGTGCGGTGTCGACCCTCAAGTCGAACACATCCAGTCGTTGATAGCCACCGACGACGTCGTGGTATTGCTTGCCCTCGATGCAGTCCTCCACATCCAAGTCGGCGTACAGGATGCCCTCGGCGTCCTGCAAAAGCCGCGCAGGCTCCCGGACCCCCGTCTCGTCGTCGACCGTGAACCCCGGCAGCTCCGCCCCCGCAGGGTCCAAGAACATGGTGGCGCCGCGCTGCGACTCTCGTAGCACGCGCCTCATGTGCGACGAGCCGCCCGAGACCTCGTCCACGGCGTCTTCCCCGAGCACGCCGGCGCAGAGGACCCCGTAGCACTTGGCCTCGAAGCAATGGCCAGCGGCACGGATCCGGTTGGCCGCGACGTTGTCGTAGTCTGCGCCGCGTCGTCGAGCTGGGCCCTCGGCCCGCGTCGTCGGCCACACAGCCGGCCACGTCGATATGTGAATCTGCTCGCCTTGGGCCATGAGCGCGTACCTGGCCAGCGGGTTCGTGTTCTCGCCGCAGATCAGGTTGCCAATCTTGCCGAAGCGCGTGGCGGCCACTCGCAGACCGTGGCCGTCGCCGGGTGCCCACGTGAGCTTTTCAAAAAACGTCGGGACCAGCTTTCGGTGGTGAAGGAGAGGCTCGCCCTCGCTGCTGATGAGGAGGTTGGAGTTGTACAGCGTGCCGCTGCTGAAGTCGACCTTTTCCGAGAACCCAAGGCTGACCATGACGTTGGACGCCTTTGCGGCGGCGCAAATCTCCCGAATCTCCTCTCCACCCGCGTATATCGACTCTTCTGCCATGCGCCTGAAGAAGCCGTGGTTGGCAGTCGGCGCACGCACGGCGCTCCACACGGGGAACGCAGGTATGTACGTCTCCGGGAAGACGACGAGGTTGGCCTTTTGCGCCGCCGCCCGCTCAATCAGTCCAATGGCCTTTTGGGTCGTCTTCTTGGCCGACAGGAAAATGGGCGAGACATGGCAGGCCGCGACTCTTGTTACGGGAGCCACCATGGCGTTGGCGAGTCGACGTGTCTGAGGCGAGGTTGGGCTGGATGAGGGGGCTTCAGGTCCAGCAGCGTAAACAGAAACAGCACGCATACTCGTGCAATCTGCGTGTCTGGTAGTACAAAGGCTGAGCCAATCGCCACGTCGGCGCTTGTTCTCGGTGCCGCCGCGACCCTGCGTCTGTTGAAGCAAACGGCTCAAAACTCGACTCGCCTGCGGCAAATCCAACGCACAAACGCCTCGTGTTGGCTATCACGGTGCCGTTGGTGCACTTCTCGCCGTCTACACGTGCCCGGCAGCACTCTTGGGATTTCTGGGTCAACGGGGGGAATCATCCTGCTCAAAGGCAGCATCCTAACCCCTACTGATATTGTGGCAGGACGTCAGGGCTCGGAGCAAAAGAATCAAACTCACAGGCGACATCGTACGGTCCCGAGGCCCTTGGTTCCTCCACCCGAAGGACCCGCCAAGGAGGGTGTCGTGATGGCTGCAACCTTTGCGCACTGCAGCAAGTCATGTGGTCGAGGCTCTTGACCGCAAGTGCCGTGTAACAATGGCTCAATCTATCCATGATCCCGTGTGGCGTCAAAAAGGTCCTCCAAAGCTTCAAACCTGAGGACTTGACCTACGAGCTCCATGTATACTACATATACGATGTCTCCTGTGTCCGTAGCCTTGGTCGAGATGACGGAGGCATCTAGGTCCTTGGTGCCTTGGGCCTGTGGTAGCACAATGCCAACAGAGGTTGCAGAATCCCGGTTCAGCACACATTGCTGCGAAGGCTACAAATACACGTGTTGGAATAGGCGAGGAACTACAGTGGATAACATTTCGGAGAACTATACAAGAGCTGAAAATGTACTTATGCTGAGGATATCCCCTGACCTGAGTGTTGTGGGTTAAGGAATTGACAACTATCGAAACTATACCTTCTGCTATTTTGACAACATGTCCGATACAAACCTAAAACCTAGTTCAAGTTCCACGGGAGTATAGCATGAGCTTTTACCAAGAATCAACGCCTTTTGAACCTTGCCAACCTGGCCAAAGTCGGCGCTTCACATATCAAAGTAGTAGATGCCAGTGCTACTCACGACACCACGTCCGCGCTCCAGACGTGACTTGATTCGCTAGGGTGCTCGTCTTGTCTTCTTGCACAAACTCTACCCAAATCAGGACCGGAGAGATGTAGTCTATCCACTTGGCCTGTGCAGTGTCAGGTGCATCCTGCCTTGTTGACCTGGTGTTACACGGAAAAGCCTCGACCGATGACTAGCCGCAATGCACAAGGGTTGCAGCTATCACGATGCCCTCATAGGCCACTGTTGGGCTCGGGCACCAAGGCAACAAGGCACAAAGAAGCATCACTCCTTTGCTGCCTAGTCAGGTTACACACACAAGCACCATCATGTATATAAAGCCCTCGTTGGTCGAGTCCGTCAGGTTGAGGAATCAGGACCTTTGACGCCCTACGATATTACATGTGAATATGAGTCATTTGCTCCAAGCCCTGATCCCCAAGAGCAGCCCTTCTTACACCTGGGTTTAACCCGCGGCTGTGGCGACATTGTCGTCTTGACAAATTGGCACTTCGATCCTTTCATACGTTCCCATTGCCGCCCTGCCGGAGGGGGTCCCAACTCGAGACAAAATACCATGTGTCCTGCCAAATGAGGACGAGTTACCCGAGACCAAAGTCGGTAATGAAGAACCAAAGGCCAGACTGGTGGTACGTGTGGCTTGGGTCGCATCTCGAGCGCCGCGTATTTGGAATTCCAGCATGAGAAAAACATGTCAGTCCAAAGCTGTGGCAGGTCATCTCGATCGAAAATAAGCGCACAGTCACTGCTCCTGGGGCGTCCGCCGCTCATAAGACGCAACGACTGGGATACAAGTGAGCCCGGTTCTATGGAGTTTGAATACCAGGTTCCATTCCCGGTGTCCGAGTGCCATGTATTATGCACATCTCGTTCTAGGGCTTCACGGGCCTGCCATTCCATCATCCTCTCGAATCATCAAGATGGACTAGCCACGTAAGGGATGTTAGGGTTCCTGTTTAGGGTTCCTGTTTGAGAACTATTGTATTTTTTTTTTAATTCGTTCTTTCTCTCTCGAGGTGACGTGGTGACGTCCCGTCCCGGCTGGGGCAAGTGACGACGCTGGTCGCATCATTCGTCGAGTAGCTTCGGTCACGGCGGTCGTATACCACACGGCCATGTCACCAATGTAGCTCTGGGAATTCAATGCGACACGTGGTCGCAAGTAATGACCACCACCTCTTCGAGAACTGTAGCAAGAGATGTCTGCTTTCTTTGCTGAATTTACGGAATGGTCAGCAATACACTTGGCAGCACCTCGTCTTGCCAACCACACGCCGAGATAAAGACTTCAATTCAGCCCAGCGAGCGGGGGAGGGGAGATGCGCGGGACATACGAGACAAGCCTTGCGTGCCGTCCTTGCGTGCCGTCCTTGCGTGCCGTCCTTGGGGCATAAACATGTCCGCCAAAGAAGTCGTGCCCCGATCGTACAGCCAAGCCGTTTACTCTCTTGCTGATGTTGAACGTGAGTGAACTGGAGGTTTGGCACAAAACCAAAGAGAGGAATCGGCGGCCTCTCCAGACGGCCCCGGAGAGCACCTCACTCCGCCTAGTGTCATGCATGACCTGGCGGTCAGCCTGCCCGTCCGCCGTCTACTCCACACAAGCAGCGCCTCGGGATGGGAAATCAAGTGTAGTTTCTGCGGCGAGAAGAGCTTAGTCCAGGGCGAGTTGATGCCATGTTCGGGTCCGTCCCCTATGTGGCTGCTTTATACAAACGGTCAGCATTTCGAAATTAGCAGGGGGCTCTCTCTCCTCGTGCCGCCTTAAAGCATTCTTGGTGAACCTAAAATTCACGCCGACGCCGCCTATAACTCGAGTCCCACGCTAAAAAAGCGCCTGTAGATGCTTCAACAGGGTCGAGTTGAAGATTAGCACCACGCGACGGTTGCCCCTTTTCCGCGTTTCGCAACAATGCCAGCAACGTGAGCTACCGCTGCGGCGGAAAGACGCCAGTTCTCTTCACGGTCATGACACCCTTGGCGCTCTTGGACGACGTGGGGGGCAGCAAGGCCATTGACCTGCAGAGCACCACAAGGTCCCCCTTCCATCTCGGACTGCTGCCGCTAGAGAGATAGTAGGGTAGCTTTTTAATCATCAACATGATGCTCCCTCGTACGGGGCAACGGGAATAGCCTCACGGCAGGCGCGCGCTGGCTGCGGCAAGTGCGGCCGATTTCTTATTGGCTGGTCAGCAGAGGGAAAGGGGCCTAAGTACCCCGTACGTACCGCCTCAATTTCCTCGAACCCCTGTCTGCCTCTGCCTTGGATTCAAGCAGCCCGCTCCACCAGTTCAAAGCGGGGCAAGTGCAAATTTCATGCAGCAATGCGCCTTTCGAACCGCCGCCCGCTTGCTAGTCTGATACATGATACGTACTTTAACATCAACAGAGGTGACCGATATTTCGATACTTGTGCAGGAAATCGTGCAAAAACGCGCATCAATCAAGTCCCGGGATCACAGCCGGCAGGCGCAGGGATACCATGCGCGCCATTTTTGGCCCTGTCCCAGTGCCCCAATCCATACATTCACGTGAGTAGCTTGAGGGTGCCGATTTTGTGTATTTTTTTTTTTGGGCCTCGTTTGCGAAGCAAAAGCGCAACAGTCGTAGAAGCGATTCCTAAACGACGGGACGTATGACATCTTGTCTCGTCCAGCACCGCTACATGTTCCGGGATAATCTAGCCTACACGTAAACTCTTGCTTCCAGGCCAAGTCGTTCTGCAAGAAAGCCAACAAATGGAAACAGAATGCTCGGCTGGCTCATGCGTGCCAGTGTACGGAGTAAGGACGACCAAACTCGAGGTGTAAAGAGTTCTGTGACATGTCAGAGCTCTGTGACATGCGCAAGGACTCCATAAAACTCGTGGCAACAACGAGTCGTCGGGTACGTGGAACATGGCAGACGCAGGTGGTATCAGCACGTTCATAATTCCAGAAACAACCGAGGATCACTATGAGTTGCTGCGCAACTACGGAGTACTAACTCATCAAGTCCACTCTTGGCGGCTGGCGGAGATTTTCTAACCCCAAGTGTAATATATCCAAGACATGACGCAGTGGCAAGGTTTGGACAGGTCAACTTTACGGGTTAGCAGGTTGGTTGATACAAAGTCGGGATATCCCGCACACTCTCTCTACGGGGGCGTTTCTGCGCGTGGCTTCAGCCCCGAAACAAGGCTGTAACGTCAAACGCCGACAAATCACGAGAGACAGACTCTCCGCGTGCAGCAGGAACACCAGACCAGGGGACCACTCGCAACACGGGGACCATGGAAAGAAAGCTTGTCCTTATGCCCCTGCCCGGGAAGGCTGGAACAAAGTCCAGCCCAACTCGACAGCAAGGGTTGATTGATCTTGAACGCCACCAGGTTGATTGGTGGGGCCGGGAGTGTTGTTCAGTTTTCTCCCCCATCATGTAGTACTCTGTGCCGAGAGGCAGTACGGCGGTGGGTAGTCCTCGAGTAATTGTCGCAGGGGAGAAACAGGGTCGGAGGCGGAGAGACGCTGCCATGTGTAAGTCGAGTTTGGACGACTTCGCCTCAGAGTCGCCCTGTTATAAATTTGATTCCGCTGAGTGATAGTATGTAACCTCGGTCCTTGAATAAAGTGCCCGCGTGTTGTGGTTGGCTCAATTGGAAACCCATCCGGCCTAGGTGACGTGACGTGACGCGAGACCTGGGCATGTAGATAGCCAAGGGGAGATTAATTGTACCCACTCAGCCTGCAACCAGCCAAATTGTGAGTGGATACACATGTAACTTCAAAAATGGATCGAAATCCTCTGAAAGGCAATGGTAACGTCAGGATGGAGTAGTACTCGCTGTAGGCCAGCCTTTTTCTTCTCTAGTTTTCTATTTTTTGACCTTTCTTTTCCGGCGCGGTGGATGATCAGGCTGCAAATTTCTCGCTCATGATGAGACACAAGTTCAACAATGTGAGCACGTGTCAACAGTTCGACTCATGCAATGACGTCGATGCAGGCCGTGGTGCGACCCAGGCCGCGTCCACGTCTGTGGCTTGCTGGAGTGTTTCGGTCCACAGCACAACCACGGCGGAAGGGAACGCGTCCGACTGTCCATCAAGGCCCGGTTTTTTATTGCCGTTAATGTGTACACTAGGCACAGTGATTGAAATACGTAGTGCAATGGAGAAGATGGCGGAGGGCGGGCTGGCTGTCCTGGTCATGCCTGAAGATCAGTTCGTTCGCCGCGCAAGCTGGCAAGAGTGGCAAACAAACCGTGCAACCCAGTCCGTCTCGGCATGCGAATCTGGCCTCGAAATGTCATCGCGCACTGGGCTTCGCTCGGGGTTGTTGCCATGTGTGTCCACGAGGCGAATATCACCGACCCCGGCCGTTGAGATGCACGCAAACAACCAAGGGCGCTCGAGGGATCTCCAGGTTTGTTGCTGAGGTTTGCCCAGATTCTGTGGCAATTTGCCATCAAAGCCAAAGGCAGAACCAGTCGACTTGGTCTGTAGTTGGCGCTGTGCTGCCCGTTTCCTTGCTGGGAAGAAATGTAGTTAGATGCTCGTTCCTTCGGGCCTAACAAGCACCGACCACCTACTGCCTCAGGCTACACGTCATAAGGGCAATGCAGGGGCAGATCTACGTGCATGCATAGTACTTACCGACTTGGGACTCCGTACCTGGGAGCTTAGGCACTTAAGTTCCTACTAAGTACTCAAGTACTTCAGAGGTAACCAGTGGATGTACCGCATACCGAGCCCACATGTTTGTGACAGGCAGGATGAGAGGTAAGTAGTTCTCTAAGAACTAAAGTACCCAAGTAGTCAGCACTTGGTCCAGCAGTGGCACCCCCGACGCGAGCAGGTGGCTCCATTGAGGCGGCTTCGGCTTCACTATCATTTCATTGATATAACAGATGGTTGGAACATCGGAGGCATTGCCGCCGTGCGTGGTGTATGTACCTAGGTAGCCCAGCGCAGAGAAATATGGGAACAAGTCGAAATCGAAATCCAAAGTCAGGTGTGGGATAGTCTACTGAGTAACTTTCTAAGTACTTTTAGTACCTAAGAAGTAGCATGCATGTGTACATCTGCATTCTCCATGTGTACTTACTGAAGTACTCGGGGCCTCGAGTGCCTCCCTGTTCTATCCCACACGACCTCCCTAGATACTTAACTAAGTACCTAAGTAGATAGGTAAGTACCTAGGTGATTGGTTTGCTGCCTACCTAGGTACTTAACCCAGGAACCTAAGTAGGTTTCCAGTACATGGGGACCATGATACCGGTAGCACGTACGGAGTACGACTGTGTTATCCGATGGCTGGATCGCCTTGGCGATCCCGCGGCATCGGGGAGCAATGCCAGTTGACGCAAGTACTAATACATGTATGTATGTGCCGAGGACCGCTAATCCCGTACCAGGCGCCGCCGTACCACAAGTGCAGGCTGGCCCCGTATTTTTACAGGGGCCCCGATAGTAAGGGCTGGCTTGTTGCCTTCAAAGTCCCAGAGCTCAAAGCGCCCCTGGACAGTCGGACAAAAGACGGGCTGGTGCGCTTGGAAAACGGGAGCGCGAATCGATCAAAATCCTGACTCTGAGTGCTAATGACAACCAACCTAGCACCTGGCTATGTACGGAGTACTCCCTGACAGGTCTGGTCTGCATTTGTCCGTATTCTGAACTTCAGACGGGACTTGACTCGTTCCTTCCTCGACCGTGTTTCCCTCACACAAACTTTGCGCCGCACAAACCTTGCCCTCGCTAACATCTCGTCCACTTCCATTTCCATTTCCACTTCCGCTTCCGTTTCCGCTTGCACTTCCACTTCCCTTTTCGCATCGCCCGTTTCTATTTCCTATTTCCCATTTGCCATTTCTCCTCTGCATTCTTTTCATAGTTTTTTTCTGCTTCTGTTGTTGATGCTGTCTTCACCTTTCTACGCCGGTCGTCGAATCTACACATCGACTCGGGATACCAAATCCCCCTGCCGCTCTCTGTCGCTTTCTCTCTCTCGTTTCCATAGCATTGCCGTTGCCTGAGCACTCACACGTGTCCTCAGTCATCGAGAAGAAGGATTCATTTTGGGACTTTCCAGTTGCTGAGCGCGCTAGAGTTGAAGGTGGCGCGCCCCTGAAAGAACAATTACGTTCTGTTTTTTTTTTCCCTCCCTCCACTGCTCTTCAGTCCAGATCGGTGCCGCCGTTGCACCGCTCTGCTACTCTGCGCTTGTTTTGCTGGCAGTCCGTTCTCTATTTGCCATTGGCACTTCTTGCTTTTTCCGGAAACAAACCAGTCGACGTCACAGCAACTTGCCAAGCAGACATCGTTCGTGCATGGTTCATTGGTGACAGTTCCCGCCCCTCAGCTTCCGCTCCATGCCTCACCGTGGTCTACAAGGACAAACTGCTCGACACATGATGGGGGTGATGCTGACAGGGCCCAAACGCTCCATGAAGATGCGAAGTCTATTCTACCGCTGCCTTCTCGCCGCATTTTGCGGGCTTTTTGTTCTTATGGCCTTGTTCCGGAAAGAATCCTCGTCGGTTCGGTCTGAACTCTTTGGGAAGCCAGGCATCAAAGCCAATGTGGTCCACCACCAGAAACCCCTCGAGGATCCCAGCTCGTCTTTTCCTGTGACTGGTGATCACAACATCAGTGGCATTCCAAACAGCTTCAGCCTCAACTGCAGTGCCGATCTGCCACACCTGCAAAACATCATGAAAAAGTACAACCTCGACGAATCACTCCAGTACCTGAAACGCTACATTCGATTCACCCGCGTCGAGGGCCTAGAGCGGAAGCGTATGACCAAGGTATCCGAAAACTTGCTCAACGCGGCCTTCAAAACCATCCACGTCAACAAGCACTACTACCCGCAGGATTCCTGTGAAAAGCCCCTCGAGGTGCAGGTTCCCGCTTCCGGTTTGCCTTCATCCGTCAACGCAAGCGATTTCATGTTTGGTGTCTCGACGACCTTTAAGCGATTCATGGACCCGGAAACCACGCCAATCAATGAATGGATATACTGGCTTACCGACAGCCGTGGCCACTCCAACGGCGGTAAACTGCTTCTCATGCTACTCGATGCTAGCGACGACAATCTTCAAGAGGTTGCCAACTTGCTCGGCGACGTTGGCATCGACGTGGACGTCTATCGCTCCGACTCTTCTCTGGAAATGGCTGTTCGGTATCTTTCCCTGGTCCCTACGCTCTACACGCATCCCGACGCCCCGAGAAAGAAGTGGCTTGTGACGTGCGATGACGACACATTCTTCCCCAGCATGCATGAGTTGATTGAGAGACTGGGCAAGTTTGATGACACCCGCGAGATGTACATTGGCACTCTGTCGGAGGACGTGGGGGCCATTGAGCGTCACGGCTCACAAGCTTTTGGGGGTGGAGGTGTTTTCCTGTCGTTACCCCTGGCAGAGAGGATCACTGAACTCTTTGGCAGTTGCACCACGGAGCAGAAGGTTCTCGAGTCCAACTCGGGATGGGGCCCGCAGGGTGACATTCTTCTCCGCAAGTGCATCTACGAAAACACGCATACTCGACTGACGAGCTTTTGGGATCTCTGGCAGCTGGACATAGTCGGTGATCCCTCTGGGTTCTACGAGTGGGGCATCAAGCCGCTCTCGCTCCATCACTACCGCGGCAGCGGGTGGCACAAGGCCAAGCCTGGCATGTACACCAAAATTGCCCACACGTGCGGCGAAGACTGCACGCTGATGCGATTCCAAACCGAGGACGACTTCATAATTTCGGGATACTCGATTGCCCACTATCCAGAGGGCGTGACGTTCGACCCAAATCAGATGGAGGCGACTCTGCACGCAGCACCAGAAGACAAGGGCTGGAACCTTGACTTTATGATGGGGCCAAGTCGGCAGAATCTCGAAAGGACGGGCAAGAAGATTGCGTGGCAACTAGAAGAGTCCGAGGTGCAGTCGGACGGCTCTGTGCTGCAAACGTACACACGGAAGCACAAGGACGAACGATGGGTACACGCGGACAAACAACCCATGAGCAACATAGACGGTATTATCGAGCTTGTTTGGATTCCATCATGACAGCGGCGTTGGACGAAACTACTTATGTCGTTTGTTTCATGCCCTGAATTTTCTGATTTAATACCGAGCTGGTTGTTGTACGCCACACCAACATGTCAGTACCTGTATTATTATTTTTTTTCACACCAGGACGACAGGCGTGGTGGGAACAAGCAAGCGACAGACAGGGCCACGTACAGAACGACTCTGGTCATGGACACATTGAGCTGGCGGACACACGCACTCATTAGACGGTCTGAAGTGTTTATTTGCAGTCATGTGCTTCTTTATGTTTTGGCCAAGTTTTTAAACCTTTCATGGAAGATGGATAGCCAAGGGCAACGAGGGTCACGATTCGCCTCGGCGCACTTGATGTTTTTATTTATTCGGTATACCACATGTGTAGGGCCGGCGTTTGGGAAGACGGGACTGGTTTCACTCCAAAGACAGATATCAGATCAGGTCTGGGAACGATGGGTATTATTTTCTGTGCCGTGTGTTTGGTGGGACATGTGTAGCTGCCCGGATCAGGCCTTGTGTACAGCAACAGCAGTTGAGGATGGACGGGCACGACGGGCACGACGGGCCCATGCGGTGGATTAATTGTAGCGACACCCCCCAAGCAGCGCAAATAGATGATGAATGCATTGATGGCTGGTGCCCAAAGGTGTCGTTGATGTCGGCTGCAGGAGTACACGTTTGGATTTCCGATTAGCTCAGGGGCCACCAGCCAGCCAATGGCGCTTGGCGTACGGCGCACCCCGTCGACGCGTTCATTTGCAGTGACGCGTCACGTGTCTGTCTGGACGGACGCCCTCGCTCACTCATCACTCGCTCACTCACTCGCTCACTCACACACTCCCGCTTGCGGCACCAGCACCGGCACCAGCACCAGCGACGGAATCCAGACCACAGGCAGACCCCATGGCGCGCTCCGACGAGGCCGCCGCCTTCTCCCACGCCGTCTACAGCGCCGTGCAACAGATTCCCCGCGGCAAGGTGACGTCGTATGCGCACATCGCGGCGCTCGTGGGCACGCGTACGTACCCCCCTCGCCTCGCCTCGCCCGACGGACGGGACGGCTGGACGGACGATGGCATCGTCGGCTGACGCGGACGCGGGCGCGGGCGCGGGCGCAGCGCAACGCCCCCGCCAGGTGGGCACCTGCTTCAACACGGCCAGCGTGCCGTGGCAGCGCGTCATCAACGCCCGGGGCTTCATATCGCCGCGGTACGTGGCGGCCCGCTGACCGCGACCGCGACCGCGACCGTGGCTGACTCTCAGGCCGCAGGTCCCGCCCGGACGGGGCGCGCGAACAGGCCGAGGCCCTGGGGGGCGAGGGCGTCCGCGTCGTCCGCGGCGCCGTGGGCGAGCTCGCCGTCGACGTGGCCGAGTTTGGATGGTTTCCCGACGTCTTGCCGTCCGAGCGGGCGTGCGCTCGCCGTCGCCGGTGACGGACGAGAGGAGCCGCCGCAGCCGCAGCCGCAGCCGCAGCCGCAGGGCTGACTACGGGGGTCCGTCTGTTTGCGCAGCAGCCTCGCACGCTGCTGCCGACGACACTCGCGCCCGGCCTGCAAGGCCTTTCTTGGCCTTGGCCTCTCGTCGTGGAAACCAAGCCCCTGCGGCAGGGTGTTTGACCGGTTGCCCGTCACATGTCCGCCCCGTACCAACGTTGGCGCGGGCAAACTCGTCCAAAATGTAGCATACAGCCCTCTGCCGGGCAAAGAATATATTCAATCTTTTTTTCTGTTATGCTCTGCCCTCTCCATGTGTATAGAATACTGCAGTACGTCGTGACTTGCCGCGGCGGGCCGCACATCCGCCTCTCTAGTCGCACAGAACCCATTCCATTCCCAGCCCGTCCTCCACCCGCCTTCGCTTCCATGAATTGAAACGAGAACCAAAAACACTCAAATCGATACCCGTCTATGTCTTCCCACCATGCACCGACATCTTCTCCTGTAGCATAGGATACGCCTTGATCGTGGTATAAAGTGCAGAGCGGCAAGGCATTAATGAATACGACGGTCCCAACGTACAAACAAGACGAGAGAAAAAAAGTAAGCACGACGGACGCGAAAAGGGGATATATAAACTTCACTCGTTGCCGCCAGAACCAACAAATGCGCAAACCCAAGCAACGCTTCGCCTGTGTTGCGCCCATCAAAAGCGTCACGGATGCGCAACAAGCTAAACAAACACATGGCGAGCCGGCTTTAAAAAAAAAGGAAGAAAAAAAAAAGGACCTGCGGGTCCTACCAAAGCAAGACCTGGAAGGAAGAAAGAATGAAATAATCAAGACACGGATGCAAGTGTGTAAAAGGAAGCAAACCAAAACGGCATCATCATTGGCAATCAAGAGGCTGCCCCAGCCAGCCATTGCACCTCTTCAAGTCGTCGTCAAGCTGCGTTGAGAACCATCATCTCGGTCCTCTCGCGCCGTGGATTTCCAGAGAAAGCTCAGCCCCGCCTAGAAGCAGTTCAGACTACCCTTCTTCTTCTTGCCCTTGTTAATGGCATTCATCCTTTCCTCGAGCTGTTTTCTAGCCAACTCGGCCGCCTGTCGCTTCTTTCGCTCCTCCTCGACCGCCTGCATGCTCCACCGGTTGTCTCGTGGCGGCTCCGCCTGTCGTTCCTTGAGCTCCCTGAGTTCGGCCTCCAGCTCCTGCGAGCGCTTCTTCCACGTCTCGCAGTCCGCCTTGACCTTCTTCGACTGCTTCTCGAGGTCGGTGAGTGCCTCCTCGAGCGTCTGCGTCAATTGTCGCTCCGCGTAGAGGTGCTTCTCGATGGTTCTGATCCGAGCTTCCGGGTCTTCCGTCAGCTGCGAAATGTTCACATTGTCCTTGCTGACAGGCCGTCCAGGCGTCGGCGAGCTGGGCACGCCGCTGTTGGTCGGAGACCCGCCTCTAGCCGCAACGTTGGGCAGCGGTGGCAGAGGGATGGCGGGCGGCGGAGATGGCAGCGTCGTGTGGGAGGCGCTCTTGCGGATTGTCGAGTTGGAGTTGGACCGCTTGACTTCGCCCCTGTTGGAGAGTTCTTGGTATTTGGTCTGCAGCGCTGCGTACTCCTCCTGGATGCTATCCAAGTCGCTTTGAAGTTTAGCCCGGGCCGCCGTGGCCTCTTCGAGCTGCACGTTGCGCTCCGTCTGCAGCGTGCTCAGCCGGTTGTTGGTCATTTGCGCTTCGTCAAAGTTGTTCTGCAGCTGTTCCTCGAGTTCCTCGACAAGGCGGCTGTTCTTCTTGTTGCGATCTTCCAGGTCCGCAAGCTTCGTCTTCACAGCATCGAGCTGTTCGACAACGGATGTGGGAACGGCGCCGCCACCTTCTGAAAGCATCTCTGCCAAGCAAGACTTGGCGGCCTTGATATCGCCAAGGGCATTCTCGCTGATAGAGGTGAGTTCAGCGACTTGCTTCTTCATTTCCTCAGTCTTTTGTTGCTCTTCCGAGAGTGTCTTCTGAGACGACAGAAGCTGGTCGATTCTTTCCGAGAGCAGCTCTATGGTAACGTCGACGCCCATACCAGTCGCCACCTGGGTGGCAATCTTGGTGAGCTCGTCTCTGGCCCCTGATAGTTCCTCTTCGAGCTTGTGCATGGAATCGGTATGCTCTTGCAAAAGAACCTCGGCCTGTTCCTCGTAGCTCGTCTGCTCATGCGACTTGAGGTCCGACATCTCCTTCGCGTGTCTGTCTCTGGCAAGCTCCAGGGCTTCTTGATGCGATCTGGCCGCCTCAGAGTGACTGGCGACCTGGCTCTCAAGGGATGCAACCAGCTCTCGGTGCCGCTCAAGCTCCTCCACGGCGGCCTTGTGAGATTTTCTCAGTTCCTCCACATCAGCCTGGGCATCCGCATGCTCACGTGCCAACTCCGCAATCTTGGTAGAATTGATGTTAATGATGGCCTTGTACTCGTCAATTTCGGTGCGCAAAAAGTCTATCAGTTTCCTGTCCCTTTGTTCCGTGTCTTTGACTGAGACTCCATTCGCCGTCTTCTCACTGGCCATGGACTCGTTGACCTTATTCTCTGACGAAGCGAGTCGTGCTTCAAGTTTCGTCATGTTGGCCCGCAGATCGGCCTCCGTCTTTTCTGCGGCGTCCATGACCAGCCTGTGCTTCTCCTCCCATTCGGATAGTTCTGACTCAAGTTCCGAAATTCGTTGCTCTCTTTGCTTTGCAGAATCGTCAATGTCGGCATCAACAACTTCGCCGGTCGTAGGGGTGGCTGGCGCAGTCTGGAAAGAACCACGCAACTCATCTAGCTGCAAAGTCAACTCCTTCTCTCGCGACTCATGCGCCTCCCGAATCTGGGACATTTGTTTTTCATTTCTCTCGAGCTGATCACGCAAATTTGCAACCATGGACATGTCCATCGGGCTGGCCTTTAAGCTTGATCTTTCGCGTGTCAATCCCGAGATGATGGTCATCTTAGTCTCCATCTCCTTCTTGACCGACGCAATGTCCGCCTCCAACTCTAGGATGCGTTCACTTCGGGAGTGGAGTTCATGCATGGCGGAATTCAGATTGAGCTCGAAGCTCTGCATAACTTCAGGTTGATTCTCAAAGTTCTCCGAGGCAATGTTGCGGAGCGAGGCAAAGCAGCGATGGGCACGATCGATAGCCAGGAGGTTTTGACTAGATTTGCGACGAATGACGGGGGTAGTGGTTCTCGGTGACGTTGCCTCGACGGCACGTGCCTTGGAAACCTCGGTCTTCAGTTCTTCCACCACATCCAGCGTCTCGTTGTGCGTAGATTCTAGTTCAGCATACTTCTCGGCAAGGGTCTTCTCAGCGACTTCCTTTTCCTCCGCCAGCTTGCGTAGTCTCTCGATTTCTGCAGTCAGCTGTTGATTTCCTGCTCGTTGAACTAGATCTTCACTCGAAACTGCAGGCTTGGTGGTCGCCGTGTCAGCTTCTGAAGTCAAGTCAGCAGCCGAAGTGTCCATGGTGGCCGGCGACTCCATTGCCGAGGACAGCTCCGACGACAGGGACCTTGACATGGATGACCGAGGTTCATCTTTCAAGTCGACCGATTTACCGTCCGACGTAAATGAATCAGGACGCGTTTTCGGCAGGGCCGACGCAAAGACTGCAGAATCGCGGACTCTGGGCCGCTCGGGATGCCGTGCCTCATCAACCGCGTCTTGCAACTCAGACAGCGATCGAAGGGTTTCTTCGTACTTGGCCTGAAGTTGGTCATAATCCTGGATGGCGGCCTCATGCTCAACGCGGAGATCAAGGAGTTCTTGTGTGACGGCTTCCCGTTTGTCGGCAACGTACTTGCTCTGCTTGGCGTTTCGAATTGCGTTTCTATTTGTCAGTTCCTTGGCTTCCCCTTCGACGCCACGCCGCGCCGCATTGTCTTGGTCGACATCCGAGATGACCTCTCCGTCTGCGACATCCAGGACGTGGTTCTTAGAGCCGGCATCATGTGCATGCTCACCATTCTCTTCCGGTATTGGCCCATCAAGCTGACTCCTGCGGCTGACATGTGACTGGCTTCGCGAGTGGTCAGTATATCGACGGCTGTGATTTGCCTCATTCATCATGGTCGGCTCTGGTCCTTCAGCCTTGTCCGGGTCGACGTGATCGAGCTCATAGAGGAGGGCATCCAACTTCCCCAGGCTGCGCTGGCGCTCCACCACTGACTCCAAACGATCAATCTCACGCTGCATTAGTTCGGTGTCCTGATCTGCTTCGGCCAGACGCTCCTCGAGCGTGGAGATATAATCTTCGCAGGCGGCATCATTCTCTCGGACTCGCGCAATCTCTTTGCGGAGTTCCAATATAATCGTAGCATTCTTTTCTTCACCGCTAGTATGACCATCCAGCTTGACTTCGAGGTCGTGGAGGTAGTTTTCAGTGCTTGCCTCCCTGTCCATGAGTTTCTGAAGACGAGCCTGTAGCTGGCTGTTGATGGTGTCCACATATGCGCATTTTGTTTCCTTCTCCAGCAGCGATGTCTCGGTGTTGGAGAGTGTGGATCGGGTGCTGGACAAAGACTGTCCCAAACTCTGAATGGTCTTCTCGTACTCGAGGACAACCTGTTCGACCGCCTGCGCAAACGAATTGGATCGGTTGAGCCGATCGTCGGCTGAGTTTGCACCACTCTGGCCCGCCTGCTCTTTTTCGTGTTCTCGCGCCCTCGCAAGCTCGGCAATCAGTTTGGCATGTCGCTGGCTTAAAGCACTGTAATTTTCTTGGGAATCCAGCAGTTGATTCTGAAGTTCTGCTTCCCGCTCGCCTGATCTGTCAGACCGCTCATTCGGCGCGGCATTGCCTCGACGTGGATTGTCGTCGCCGCCATGTGAGCTTCGAATCTGATCTCGCAGGAAGGACACCTCTGCTCGCAGTCGCTCGATCAGGGCCCTGCTGTCCCCATCATCGACCTGCTGGATTCGCGGCTTGGACTGAATTGCCCTAGCACGCTGTGCATATTGCACCGTGTTCAAGGTCTCGCTTAGGTGGAACTCGGCAGGGGTGACACACGCAATCATGTAGGTGATGGCATTGCCACCGAGGGAGTCTTGCAGAAGGCGTGTCAGCTTGGAGTCGCGGTACGATACGTGTGAGCCAGATTGACGCGAGGATAGCTGGCTAATGACTTTGCCCAGCGATGCCAGACCGGCATTGATGGAGATGCCTTCCTTGGCTCGTTCTCCGTGCGCACCAGTGTTTTTGAGTCGCTCGCTTCCGGCAAGATCAACAAAATGTAGTTTGCTGTCCGTCGTAATTACCAAATCCTGACCACTCATGGCCTCCAGGGGCATTGACGCTCGTTTCTCTGCGCCAGTTGCCGTCTGAAGCTTGCTCTTGCGCTGCACCAAGTTCAAGGAGAAGACGGCGTGGGAGCGAGAAGACTTGGCGTTGATTGCGGTTGCGTCGGTTTGGCGGATGCTGGAACCAAAGTTGAGGGCGTTCATGAGATCCTCAACGGAACCAATGTCGACTTGTCGTAGGCCGGTGAGAATGATGTTGCCCTTGGTGTCTTCTCGAATGGCGATATTGGTTCGCTCACCGGCGGGAGTCGACTCGGGCACAAGTAAATCGCGCAGCTGCTCGTTGTAAATTTCCACATACGTCGCTTTCAACGACCAATTGCGGTCGCCAAGAAGGTTCTGATGGTTGTTGTAGGAGCGCGGGCTCCGCAGACTGGAAATGGATTGTCTGCTGGATGAGGCGCTGCTGCCTCCGGCGTTGGACACATCAAGTTTCTGGAACAGAGCAGTGGCTGCCCGGGGAAGCACGCCTATGAAAGGATAAGTATGGAGCCTGCTGGACGAGTGACGGTGTGGTGTGCCGAGGGGGACCTGCTCGGAGGGCCGATGCCTTACCAATCATTGATTCGTCTTGGTATTCACCTGGGTTGGAGGTGCCCATGGTGTATGACTTTCCAGCTCCAGACTGTCCATAAGCCAGAAGCGAAACATTGTAGCCCTGCGTAAAGGCGTTGACTGAGTCGGCCAAGTAGTCCCAAATCCCATGTTGCATCACTTCGGGGCTGAATACGCGATCAAAAACGAATATCTTCCTGCCTTGAGGGGAGTCTATGGCCAGGCTGGTGTCGGACGTGGTGTGGACCATGGAGCGCTGGAAGCGTTGTGGGATGAGATCATAACCTGGGTCGTCGGGTTTCAACGGCGGTCGTACTCGCACGGCTACACGAGGAGACGGTCAGCAAAGCATGCGTCATGGTGTTGGTAGCTCACACGGGAGAAGCCATTTGCGCATGGCATTGAACGGTTTCGAAGGGCAAGCAAAGCATCAAGCCAAAAGTGTCGAGTGTACCTACCAACTTTGACAGCTGTGCGGCTCTCGTCATCCGAGGCCCTGCTAGCAACACCAGCTTTGCTGCTCATGCTCAATCTGCTGGCACTCCTTGGACCTGGTCTCACGACGGCGCTGAGAGGTCGGTCTCGCATATGAAGAGGCGACGCCGGCGGCGATGATGCCATGGCGGAGAGAGGTCAGCGGCACTCGGTATGGCCAACGAGAAGACCCGAGTACAAATAAAGACAATATTCTTCCCCTAAGGGAACTGGAGCTACCATGAACAGTAGTGGGTGTGCTGGAAACTGGGAATCATGCGAGGGCCGGTCGATGGTCTCGGACTCGGGCAGACTGAAGCCTGGAAAGAGCCCAGCGCCGCGGCGCCACGTTGTCGTAATTTTGGCGAAATTCGACAGGCTCGCCAGTCGCGGACTGTTGCCAATGTGTGAAGGCACGGGGGAAATTAGAATACGTATGTTTGTACCGAGTGAGTGAGCGGGCGTATGTATGTACAGGACGGTAGCGTTGAGTGCGTCGTGAGATGGAAAGACTGGCGTGGCGTGGACGGGAACACCGATGGGGGGGGGGCTTCAAGAGCTGGGTGGTGCTGGAGGGTCCCAGAGGTCTCTGGGGGCGCAATCGGGCGGACTTGGGTGGTCTCGACTGCCCTCAGTGCTCAATTGGCCGTGCTCCAACTTGCTCGACTTCAAGCCGGGGGGCTCGGTCCCTGGTGCGTCGTGAACGGGCCAAATGAGGGGGAGGGAGACAGAGAGAGAGAGGGGGAGAGCGTGGCCCAAGGGGAAAGGGGATCGACCAAATCGACATTGACGGCGACGGGCGGCGGGCGGCGGGCGACGAACCTTGAAGGTCTGGCTGGCAAAGAGCGACCAGGGTCCAGGAACACGAGATGCTTGCACGAGTTGACGACGCCCTTGGGCGCTTGGGGGAGGCTAATTAAACACCAGGCTGGAAAATATTGGGTGGCCGGCTGGCAGCTACATAATAAACGGCAACTAGCCTGGCATCTGGCTGGCTGGCACTTGGGTGGCACCTGGCCGGCACCTGGCCGTGCTGAACTTCGCGCAGCATCGAGCACCCCGACAGGTTGCGCCAGCCGGCCCACGTTTCTCTCAAGCAACAAGGCGCCGGCGAGGCCAAACAAAGCAGAGTTGGTTGCACCACGAGTCCACGACGGTCGGTCTGGTGCCCGGTGCCCGGTGCCCGGTGCCCCCCAAAAGATAACTACACGGCCAACACAGTCACAAGTCTGCTCAGACTGGGCCCCGTTGGCGTTCAGACGAGCTGCTTTGACTTGCCGCCGAGTGGAGAGTGTCCCAAGCGTCCCGAGACCACGAGCAAACGACTCCCGACATGCTGCCTCTACCAGCGTGCAGCATGATACTCCTTCCCTGGCTGCACACATACGTAACTCCATGTCCTCCGTACTCCGTTTCTAGGGCCTCTCTACTCGGGGTGAACTACCGAGTGCACAATTCCCATTTCCGAATGTACCGCATCATGGGGTTTTGTCCCTTTGCCCGCTGCAGTCAAGTGCAACAAAGGCAAAGATGAAGCATTGGCACGCCCAAGCACGAACGCGCCGCCGTGACGTCTTTGCTTCGCTTTGATGCATTCTCGAATACGGCAGTGCCGTTGTCTACACCTACAGAGTAAAGATCACAAGGCCGAGGAGTGCAGGCACACCTTGGTCCTCTCTCCTCGGTCTACGGAGTACAGGAACAAGAACCACCAAGCGAACAAGTTTACTTAGGTACCTATGTACTTCTCAAGTACGTACCTACAGGCCACCGCCAGCCTGTACTCCGAGTCCAGACTGGGCCGTTGATTGGTCAACAGCCCCTTGGCACCCTGACAGCCAGCAGGGATCAGCCACCATATGGCCAAACACAGGAAAAAACACAAGTTCTTTTGCCACATTCGATCCCCGTTGCTCTCTTGCGCTTCCGCCGTACATGTCTCTCGTCTGATTCAGCAGCAAACTCGCCCCATCAGCTGCCCGCTGCCGCTACTCCGTTCTCCGTGCATGGTCGGTACGGAGCACCATGCGACGGCTTCACTTCTCAGTAGGAGGCAAAACGATGGCCACGCGAGCCACACATGACAGACCAAGCCCAAGGTTTCAGGGGCTCCGTCAGCGTGTCCAAAAAGGGTGGTGGCTATTGGCGGCGAACTCGGTACCTCGCTTTGTTTTGCTCCCTCGAGACTCGACAATCAAAATGGCTGATGGCGGTTTGCCGGAACCATGATCATTTTGGAACATCTGAAAGCTGAAGTGCTGGTTGGCTGTCGTCCTCTGTGGGCTGCCATCCCCATCCATTGGTGCAGACAGGCAACAGGGTGCCAAACTCTGCTGCAGACTCCGTACGGAGTACGGAGAAGTACGTACTTGTATTTCATTTTAGTGCGGCGTGCCCACGGAGCACTACTAACTACCAACTACAACTACAACTCCCGGCCGACGAGATGTTTTTTTTTTATTTACCGACCAAGTCACAATGCACGCAACAGATTTTCCCAACAGGCGCCAATGCAGTGGCGCCACGAGCCGTGCCCGGACCACAAATGCCCTTGGTTGTTTGTTCACCGTCCGGTTAAAAGGAGAATCTTCAACAGGCCAAGACTTTTGAAGATCGAGTGGGTAATGACGGGCCAGGTCAGCGGTTCTCTGCCTCTGCCTCCGCCTGGCCGCAGGCCCGCTCGGCGACTACCAGCCATTGCGGACTCCGTGGCGGCATCACTGATGACAAACAAAGTGAGCCGCATTGAAATCTACCCCGAACCGAACCTAGACAATCTACGGAGTAGTCCCCCTTCACAAGCCACCAGGGAGGCTGCTCCGCTCCGGACCAACGGGCTGCAGCAGATTCACCAAGAAGCCGCTCGACGTTTTTAGTTTGGGTAGTTACTTGGGAACGGAGTACGGGCGTCCCGTTTGGGCAATCCGTTCGTCCGGCCATTCTTGTGTCGACTATCCGAGAAACTGCATTCACGTCGTGGTGTCTGGTTGCTTTGCAACTGCTTTCGCATACGGAAGGAATCCCATACAGGACATTGTACTCTATCTGAGACTCGCACTCCACTGGCCGTGTCTCATCCATCGATCATTCGGGCATCATGGATCAACCAACGCGACCCAGCTTTCTGGATGTGACAAGACGTCAAGAACGAAGAGCACAGTCCGACAGCTTCGTAAGGGGGATGTCACAACTCGCAGGCCTCCATGAGTCAAGACACATACCGACACTCAGGGACCGTAAGAGCGAGACCTAGCAGCCATGCTACCTTGCCGCTGTCCCGTCCTAATCTAGACAGAACTAGCGTAGTACACAGAAGTCAGCAGAGACAAGAGGACTTCCCGAAAAGTTGGAAGACAAAGACTTCAACGCCCTGGCTACGCCAGCCTCGTCTAGTATTTTCGTCCAATCAACCGCTCCTGGCCTCATGTCAACTTGACAGACAGAACTTTGTGACTGGTTCCCCATACTCCGCAAAATATGCGTCCTTCCAACGTGACACATTTCACCGACAGTCGCGATACCCGAGCGGTATCAGATCATTGTTTGGATTCGGTGACTTGTCAACCCGTTAACAGGCCCTAGCCCTGTACTACAACACTACCTCCCTAACTTGTTGGCTTGACCAGACTCAGAAGAAGCAAACGTGGCTTTGCGCGGGCTCGACAACTTGGAACCCGCTGCATTACTACTGGTCCTCCGCATAGGTCATGGTCAAAGAAGCAAATCATGAAAACGAGAATACGTACCACCAGACTCTGCTCTAGCCAGCTGTCGATCGTCCGCCGCCAATCGTCAGCTGCAACACATCCCAAGTCTAGCGTGGGTAAAAAGAAACGCCACGATAAAAGGGAGAGGAAAAGGTCATGAAAGGTGACGAGATATGCAGCCGGCTGCCAGGGGCCTCCAACGCACTGTATTCACACAAGACGGCGAAACTGTGCCCGATAGCCACAGATCACCATTGCATTGCTCTTTGAAGGGAGGAAATAACTACCTAGGTTACTAGGTACGTAGCAATGCTGCACTACAGTAAGTATCCTTATCATCGGACGAAGCGCTAGTAACTACGTACTGTGCACAAGATGTAGTAGTGAATGGGTCCGACCGATATCAAGTATGGGGTAGGCGGCGACGCAGCTCAGCGTCGCACGTTTGCCTCATGTCGCTGGGCAGGTTATATACTCCGCATGACCATCGTGCATACTCGTGTCCATTGCTCGACAATGCGGAGGTAATTGTAACTTGTAAGGCACCTCTTTGTTTCATGCAAGGCAAGACAAAACGCCGTCTCCATCGTGCAAACTCCATCGAGAGAAGAGAGAAGACACGAGAGATGCATGCCCAAACCAACCTGCTCCGTACAGTGCGGCGCTGAGAAGGAGTACGGAGTGCGTCGAGGCGCTCGGACCGGGCAACACACGTGATTGGTGTTGTGCAAGTCCGTGCGCCACCAGCCAAGTGCCAAGTGCGACCTACTGCGACTAGCCGTTTAGCAAATCCCACATCCCATCGATGCCAGCTGAGCTTCGCGGCGAAGCCTTGACCCCCTGGGCCCTGACCCTACGGGGACACTGGCGTAACGTGATGATGCATGCTGCACCCGGGTGTCACCTTGTGATCACGTGACTGTCGTGTGTCCTTCGTGACTGGGTACGCACTATCGTTGCCCACACGCGTCACGTTTTGGCCAAATTGATGACCGTGTCTCATGGGCTGTGGTGTCCCGGCTACTGACAAATCTAGCCCCCCAAACGCCTCTCATTGGCAATTGCTCGAGGGCGACATGTCAAGACAATGCCACCAGACGTGATCGACCTCATCTCATCCAGTCCTGTGTCATCATCCGTCGGACCATCGGCGAGCACCTCGCATGCGTTTGAAGCCTCGCAGCCATCGCCAACTCGACACGAGCCGGGACCAAACACATCACCCAGGCATCGCGGCCGTATATCGTCGAGTCGTTGTGACAAGCAAGCTCTTCCAGATGGCGTGCAACACATAGCAAAATGCATTCACGAAGTCGACGACATCGACGAACCGGACGACCTGGACGTTATTTTTGACCTAGTCGATGATCGACAAACGAAACGCAGAAGGGTCGTGGAACGGGATGACACGCAGACAACCCGCGACAGGCCCATCAGTTCAATCCTGTCGCAGCCCTCGTTGCCCCTGAAAGAGCAGAAGAATCGCCGCCAGAACAGAGCAGTGTTGGAGCCCATCGAGTTTACGAGCTCCCTGGGGCCAGTTTCGCCAGCCAAGGAAAACTTCATCGACAAAGGCTTCTCGTCGGATAAGTTTCTTGCTAAAAAAGCCGTTGGAAACTCGGTATCCGAGGACCCAATCGCATGCTTCAGCTCCGACCCTTTCGCTAGCTCTCCCCTGCCGCTGTCCGAGAGATCACTTGCCGGCAGGAGAGCTGTGTCTCTCGATCAGTGTCGTAGCTCACCCCCATCGTCGCTGACAACATCTCGAGCTCGGAACACAGACGCAGAGCACGACAAAGGGGGAGGTCCTTCCGCTCGGCGAACCGCAACATCTCGACAGTCCGCAATCGAGGTGCGTGAGGATGTCGACACCAGCCTATTGGGCGACGTCCGACCCCATGGACGGGCCAACGAATCCGCAGGCTTAGCAGACCTCATTACCATCGATGATTCTGACTCGTCGAGTGATTCCAATGACGATTTACCAGCTATTTCAGAGATGGACGTCTCGAAGCGTCGTGCTCGATCACCACTGCGACGGACCCAGAGCGACTTGACATGGTCCGGATCGAGGTCTAGGACTTCCTACCTGGCTGCATCGACGAATAGGGCAAAGCCGAAAAAGACAGCCCACGAGCGAGAGCTCGAAAAGGCGAGAAAGAGACAGGAGAGGGAGGAAGCCAAGGCCGCCAAAGCGGCAGAGAAGCAACGTGCTGCTGCTTTGGTTGAAGTCAACAAGCTTCGCACCGACAAGAAGGTCTCGACGCCGGAAATGATTGTAGATTTGTCGTCTGGTCTTGGCTCAGAGCTGCGGATTCAAGTCCAAGAGATGCTGCAAGGCCTTGGGGTGGACCACACCACTTGGAATGGTCCCGAACACAGTATTGTCAAATGGCGCAGAAAGGTCACAAGCAAATACAACCATGATATCGGCTTATGGGAGCCCATTCCCGCAAGGATCGTTGACGAAGAGATTGCTCTTGTCATTGTTGCGGCTGAGGATTTCGTCGCCATGGCGCTGGATGACTTGCTCGCGACTCATGTCGCGGACATCAAGAGCCATCACGGCAACAACAAGTTCGTGTACCTTGTTCAGGGCATGACGCCTTGGCTCCGCAGGAATCGAAACAACCGAAATCGACGGTTTGCCTCTGGTGTCCGATCCACGAACGCGGCCCCCTCGTCATCGCGCGCCAGCGGCGAGCACATCTCCGAGGACGTTGTCGAAGATGCCATGCTCGCCCTTCAGGTTGAGCACGGCATGCTGATTCACCACACGGCCGTTGCGATAGACACGGCCAGGTGGGTCATCAACTTCACACAGCACGTCTCCACGATACCGTACAGGATGCAGAGGGACCAGGCCACCTCCGGCGCCGGCTTTTGCATGGAAAGCGGTCAGGTGAGGACCGGGGACAGCGCCAAGGACACGTACGTGAGGATGCTGCAGGAGATTATGCGGGTGACTGCGCCCATAGCTCATGGCATTGCCGCCGAGTTTGACAGCGTTACGAAGCTGGTGCAGGGCTTGGAACGTGGTGGTCCGGACACGCTCGATTCCGTGAGGAAGAGTGCCAACAAGGACGGCGCAGTGTCTGATCGGACGCTCGGGCAAGCCATCAGTCAGCGAATATACAAGGTATTTACGGGCACAGATGAAGGAAGCTCGGATATATGATTAGACAACCAGTCTGGGACCATGGTGACCTGTAGGCTTTGCCATCGCTTCTCAACCAAAATGAGATGGCTACATTGTCTGTCACGCACATCATGACCATGATTGTCATACAACTCGCGTGCAATGTAGCGCACAGGGTACTACATGTAGGAATGCGAAACACAGCAGAAACACGACATTGTGGCAAGGAATTCTGTAGCCATCTGAAATTGTAGATACCGGTACCAAGGTCGTCTCAAGGTAAAACATATCTAGGACTTGGTTGCCAAGTTAGCAAAGTAAAGTCGAGGCCATTCGTTACGCAAACAGGACTGAGAGCGGTAAAAAAAAAAAAGCAGCGCAGAGCAAATCAGACAGCGGTTGGACAAAATTGTTTCCACATTGTTTGTTTCAGAACAGGTCTGTGAATTAATTGTCTTCTCATCATACGAAGCGTCACAGCGACGCCCGCACTCTGCGGCTGCAAATAACAAAGGTGATAGGAATAAAAGTGGTATTTACCTTTGCGAGAATGTCTTTTGCGTTTCAGTTGGTGACGTCGCTTGCCTTCCGTTTCCGCGACGAGGCTACAAAGTAACCTTGGATGGTCTTCTGCTTGTCGTCATGGGCAGCACTTCCGATTCCGCCCCGAGTTTTACGAAGTCCATGGAGGTGGGCGGTACAGTTGATTTGCGCCACACGGAATCCAAGTTTGGACCATGGTGAGCTGCTGGCGGCCGGGACATCCACAGCTGTGGCACTGGACATTGAGATGACAAGATCGGCGTAGCCGGTATTGCTCCAGGATATCCTTGTCGAGTCGTACCTGGAGCCATTGCTGAGCTTCTTGACCAGGGCCAAGGTCAGCACGCCCAGACTAATGCCATGGCCGACGACGACCACGCAGTTGTTGTCGGGCTCGACTGTCTGGGCGGTCATGACGGGAGCGAGGCATTGTTCCAGAAAGGCATTGCACCTCGCGCGCAACGACTCCAAGGTCTCGGCACCTGTCTGCACTGGTTTGTGCTGCGTGGATCCAGATGCAAATTTGACACCTTCCCAGTTGCCAAAGTGCTTCTCTCGAAGCTCGGCCAATTCGACGACAGTCAGCGCGGACTGGTGCGCATTGTTCTGAGCGTCGCGTATGGCGTGGGCCGTCTTGACCGCTCTCTCAAGGTTGGACGAGAAGATGTGCTTGACCAGCAACCTGGACTCGGCCAGGCTTGACGCCAGTCGTTGGGCTTGCAGAGCACCGTGAGCAGTCAGGCCAGCATCGCGAGAGCCGCCGTAGAGGCTAGCTGCATTGTCAACGCTTTCAACATGACGAATGAGAAGAAGATGCATTGGCCTCGGCAAAGAGGCGTACAGCGAATCGAGACTTCACGTCATTTCTCGAAATTTTGGAGGAGGTGACGGACTGGCAGTCGGCTGATGGGAAGTTCAACCGTTTGTGGGTTTTTAATGGGCAAGGGCAAAAAAAAAATCCGTCAAATTGCATAAGCGGGGAGGCGGGCGGTGAATCGGCCCCTGGCCTTCCGTGATGTGCTCTCATACCCTAGAGAGAATACATCATGTGTATTGTCAGATTAATCTGATAAAGAACACGGCGCCCGACGCATTTTTCAGTTCGAGAATGATTGTAGGCCCAAGGAAAGGCCGACGTAAATTTCAAGTATATCTTGCAAAATGAAGTACTGAGCCTCGTCCCGAAAAGATTTCGCCGCACAAGAAACCTGGACTTTGAAACCAGGCGACTAGACTGGGGGAACACAGACAAAACTTGACTCGCATCAGATGTTGTCTGATGAGGTATTTGTGTCGTGGTCAGCATGTTCTTTATTGTCTCCTTTATTTTTATTTTTATTGTTCATCTTTTTATTTTTCGCGCCGAATACACAATCACACTACAGCACAGCAACACAAGACGCGCGGAATTCGTACAGACAAATAGGACTTTCCATCCTCGTTTGTCTTTACTTGGTCATTTATATCAGTCAAGGCCAGCAGTACATACGCTCCGCAGTACGGGAGCCGGCCGGGAACTATTGCGGGTGCTTTGACTTCAAGCTATCGGCAAAGCCTTGCACTGTGTTCAAGAAAGGCTGGTCAGACACAAAGCCGAGCTGCAAGGCCTTTGAATCATCACATTGCGCTGGCCAACTGTCCAACATGGCTCTCATGACCGGGGCCGGCTCTTCCCTCCGCACCGCCAACCTTGCCGAATGCCTGAAGCATCTCCCTCACGGTGACGCTTCTCCCCGGAGGCTGGACCTGCCGGATGTGAGGAGGCAGGCAATCGGCCGGAAGGGTCAGAGCAATGACGAGATTCTCGACGAGGGTTCTCGGTGGACGCACCCAGCATTGAAATTCGTCTCAGCACGGAATGGTAGTCTCCCGGCCCTGAAGTGGTTCACGGATCATGTCCACTCATCCAGCTGCTTGCTGCTTGGGTCGGCTTTCCGCTCCGGACGGATATGCCAGCAAGCCGAAGTGCAAACGCTGTGATGGCACCCACGGCGATTGTAGTCGTTTAGCACGGCCTCGACCATGACCTTGTGTGTACCATAGCTCGTTTGGGGTGTGCAGACGGTGTCTTCAGACAGCAGGTCGGCCAGGGGAGCGCCGTAGGCAGCAATCGAAGACGTGTATATAACCCGCACACCCGGACAACGTCTCGCCAATGCCTCGAGCAGCTTCAGCACGCTGTACAGGTTGACTCGATAGCCGAGGTCCGTGTCCGCCTCGCTTCCTGCCGACGTGATGCCGTGCAGAATGCAGACGGCGTCCAGGTCTTCTTCCGACGAGACTTGACCGATGTAGCCGGCGGCGCCGGTAACCAGAATCTTCATGGTGGCGATTTCTTGGGGCAACCGTCGCCTTGCTCCCCTGGCGAGAGAGTCGACAGAGACTGGGAGTAACCGTTAGACGGAAAAGCCTCAACCACATGACTGCGGCAATGCACAAAGGTTGCAGCTATCACAATGCCCTTATTAGCCACTAGTGGGCTTAGACACCAAGGCAATAAGGCATAAAGAGTATTACCTCTTTGCTGCCTGGTCAGGTTAAATATATAGACACTATTATATATACAGTCAGGTCTATTAGATTAAAGAACTAAGAACCTTTAGGACTACATAGTATTATATGCAATATGAGTCTTTTTTCTCCAAGCCCTGATCCGAAGGACCAGCCCTTATTACAGCAACTCATCTACGGGGGAGAGATGATGTTAGATCAAGAGCCAAAGGATTGGCTGACGGATCTTGTCGGCTTGTGCTTGGCCATGTCAAGTTTCGGTTCGTCTTCCTTCATTGCTGCACACGACCCTACTGCGTTGATAAATGCAGAGTGTCCCCGGGACAATCCGTCGTTGATTCTCTGACTGGTTACTTGCTAACAATCGCTAGAGACAGGTACAGTTCCCGGTTCCCTCGCTCTGCTGTGTCCGTGTGCAGAACAGTTGACAGACTACAGATACATGTGCATTTATACAAAGCACCGAAAACACCAGAAATCACGCTCTAAAGCGAATCAGGCCCTGCTGGCGCTCATGTTGTCAAAAACATCAATAGATTTCAATTGAATCCAGCTGAAATTTTTAAATTGTAGCCCTTGGTGTATATAAATTTTCCGTGGGGGGTGTGGGCAAGTAGGCGCTGATTGATATCAGGTTTAGTGCCGCCCGAATAACGACTTGGTGCGGCACGACTAAACCCACCCTAACCCTGTAATAAGAGGAGAGGGTCGAATCTTCTATCCTGAGTATCGGCCAGGATTGTGACTAAAGACTACCACTTAAAAGTTGGGAAGTTTGCCGAGCACGTAGACGATGGCAGCAAGCCGGGCGTGCCGCATAGCAGATACTTGTGGCCAAACAAGGTCAGAGACTTTGTGATGAACGCGAAAGAGATGCTTCTGGTAAGACGCAGGCTGTAACAGAGACCCGAGGGACTGGCCCAGTTCACAGTTGCGGAATGTCAGTCGACCAGCTTGTGAATGTTGGAGACGTTGCGCCAGCCCAGCCTGTGCGGCGCACAACAACGTAACAAGGGCTGGTTCTCAATGATCAGGGCTTGGAGCAAATGACTCATGTTATCACGTAACAATATCGTCTGGTCTCGACTCGAGATCCTTGGTTTCTCCGTCGAGAGGTCCCGACCAACGAGGGCTCTACATACACGAGGGTGCCTGCGCGTGTAATCTGGCTTGACGCGACTTGATGCCCGGACCCACGAGTAGCTTATGAGGGCATCGTGCTAGCTGCAACCTTTGTGCACTGCAGCTAGTCATGTGGTTGAGGCTCTTGAGTCTTGACCACAAGTTCCGCCGAGCATCACGCAAAAAGCCGTCTTCAGAGGAACTAGACGACGAGTCGGGCATGGGACAGCCGCCGAGGGGAAGGCCGTAAAATCAAAGGACTCCGAAGCCATGCATTGCCTGATGTTGCTGTTGCATTCTCCGCTTGGTATTTTGGCATGAATCCGTCGCAGTTTCGGCGCATTGTTTGTCATGCCGAGTCATTCGGCCCGAGTCCGAGTGGCACATTGACAGTGAAGTCGTGGCGGAGCAGCCAACCGGGCGGAGAAGGAATCTTTAACCTTATTTGTAAAGATTGCATATACGCAGGGCTGTAAGGCAAGACTTCCGAGTCCCGTGTCATGTCGACACGAGGCATGAGCCTCATGACTCGAGACTACAGTCTACAGGCCGCACAACTTGGTTTCATGGAGACTGCACGTAATTACTCGCTTGTTCCAACCGTTCCTGTATATAAACGTCTCACCCAACAGGAACAAGGGCCAAGGGCCTAGGCCTAACCCTTCCTCCAGCTGCTTGGCGGGAGGGGGGACGTGTTGCTCTCTTCGTTTATGGGCAGTAACAACAACGCCTACGCGCAGAAGCCTTGAGGGCTGCTTCTCAAGAGACTTCATGCAGGCTACGGTGTCCCGCCTGGTGTACACCCACCGAGTCACGCCACTTTCTTGTCAAGGGCCAAGGCTACATTGTAGAGGAGCATCACGAGCCAGGAAATCTCGTCGATGGCAATGTGGCACGAGTATAAAGAAGACCGCATTTTCTGTCATCAGCAATCAGTCCACGCCGAGCCTCTTTTCACCCACCAATCATAGACTTCAGCCTGCCCTCCTCCATCATGTTCCTGTCAAACGCGGCCGTACTCTTGCTAGGCGCCATGCAGCCAGCCCTCGGCAAGCCTACAGCCAATTGCGCTTATGATGGTGGGGCTCGTTTTTCCTCGACGTCCTTCACTCGTAATCAAACCATCGTCAGTTTCATCGAGCCAGAGTCGAGATGCCCCCTAGGGGAGGCCATGATCGGCGTCTGGCCTGCCGACTTCAAGAATCCCTCTGTTGCCAACGCCAAGGCAAAGGCACCTCTGCCGCCAAGTAAGGGGTGTCCTGCGACCAGCGCGGCCAAGTTTAACGACGCTGAGCTGGGAGACGGCGAGTTCAAGGCCATATTTTTCTGCAACGACGGCAGTACGCAGCCCTGGATCGTCGCCGACGCACCCTTCACGGTCGTCCCGGGACCACCACGACCTGCCAAGCGTGGCGAGTGTGCCCATCGGAGCAGCGACCTTGGGGGCCAGTGGATGTACAGTGCGTGCAAGGGCCTGAACGAGGGTGTCTGTGAAGACTGTGGCTTTGGGCAAACCTGCAATGCTTGCAATGAGTGCAAGGAGGCCTGCGGGAAATGCTACAACTAGGCATCCTCAACAAGAACGAGAATAGCTTGACGCGCAAACTCAAGGCTGCGCTGTAGCTTGGGTTACTGAGAACAGCCGTGGGAGGAAGTCTACAAATGCTGTACTGTGTCCTACCTTACTTTGGATCGAATCTCGAGTAAAGGTTACGTCAATTGTGCTGTCTAGTCTGGAAGATGTCTACCCTACTTGGCTTAGTAAGTTCAACTGTATAAAAAGACCAGAAACTACTTGATCATGTATCAGAAATTGAGTAGGTGCTCAGCTAGGTACAGCTGGTGTAGCTATTTCCAGCCCGACGAGGCTTGAGGCCGCTGCAACTTGTAAGCACGACGCAACGCTACATGAGCTAGATCAGTTCTCTGCAGGATCTACAGTAACTCATAGTCTCCTTTTTACCGGTAGTGAGTGTGACCAGTATTTCCAACCCGTATGCTCTCGTGTTATTACTAGAGGATGCTATCCGACAGGCTTTGTAGACGTGGCAGGTGGCCAGCGAATTTGGCGTCGGATTGTGAGAGCAAAGCGTTGAAGAGATCGACTCTAGCAGAAAACCGATGCTTGCTTGTAGAAGCAATGCGTCTTGCCTGTTCCTGCAATGCTTTCAAGGTAGTTTCTTTACACGCAAGAGCTTCTCTTGGCAAGAAAACCGCCGCAATAAATCATCAACAATCAGCTGGTGAAGTCGGGAAATGTGCCAGGGTCTACATCACGCGCAGCCCAGCTTCATACGCACATCTCTGTGCATTGACCTGGGATTCTTCGAGAGCACATTGCTGTATCTTGTGGTTGGGGTTAGGGTTAGAGGCTGGAGACGGGGACAACGCACGACACCACCTGCGACTGACCGTGTCTCGTCAACTCGTCACACACAAGGCGAAAAATGAGCAGCACGGGTGTCCTCGCCACCGTTGAGAAGCATGCCGACGCCACTCTGCGCGTATGCTCGTATCACCGACGAGACTTTCATATCGATCGCAGCCCCTTGGCCCATGTCGTCTTCACAGACAGAGTGCTACCACGGGCTGAGCCTTTCCTTTCTGTAAAAGAGTTTCATGATTGGCTGTCTTTGATGTTAAAGAGAGAGATAGAGCAGCACTGGCCAGGTGTCGATCCGACCAAGATTCCTGACCCGTATCGGCAACATCTTCCCCACGGTTCTCGCGTAGTCTTTACGCACTCGGACCTCCATCCAAGTAATATCATCATCTCCCCGGAACCTCCACGCCAGATCATTGCCATGATAGATTGGGAGCAATCCGGATGGTATCCGGATTACTGGGAATTCCGCAAAGCTGAATACACCGCAGAACTTGGGATCTGAGTGGCTCACCAAGTACACACCACAGTTTTTGGAGGAGCCAGGTTGTGTGGATGCCTTGGCATTGTATTCCCAGGCTGACGGGCTCTGAGACTTGACCAACTGCTCATTCGGCCCAGCAGGGGTCCTGACGCCAGGCCCCGAGACCGGAATCGATGCTTTCAAGTTTGCACATAGTCCGCTCATCCGTGTGATGTGGCTGCTAAATATCGGAACGACCTTTTGTGACGAAGACGACGCTGATGCACGCTGATCTGTCCGCTGAATCCTGCAGTTCTATTTAGACGATGGCATAGTTGAGCGCTAAACGGTACCCGTTGAAACGCTGACTTGTGTACGAGTCGAATCACTGGTCTCTTGCAGATGAACACGTTGCTAGGACGCGGGCCCCTAACAATTCTCTGACAGCAGCAACTCTCGTGGCAGGCGAGTGGACTCGGAACAGCTTTGAAGCCAACTTCCGTCTCGGCAAACCTCGGAATGGAAGAGGACGTATGAGGTGGGCCGGAAGGCCAATGGGGGGACAAGTACAAGGACAAGGCTCATGGAGGAGACTGTAATGCCATCTCCGCTGTTCGGGCTACGAATGCCTTGGACTATACTGAGCGTCGCCTGGCTTTCAGTCGGGCACTGATTAGTCTCGACACCCAAGGGCGACAAAGCAAACGACAGGAGCAGCCAGCGGCGATGTCAGCCAAGATAAACTTGACCAATATCCATCAGAGCCGCCGGTGGACGGCACATTGTGGCTTGGTGTCTTGGTTCCTGGAGCAATGATTAGAGGAGTGGACTGCGGAAGAATTTCTGAACTCAACATCAGCGCCACGCTCCAGGAGTAGGCGTGCGGCACATATATGTATATTATATCAGGACCCAGACTCTCATAAGAGCTTCAAGGTGCCCTGCCCTGTCCGCGAACAACACTTAAGAAAAAATTCGCCAACGGCGCACAAACTTGGCATACTGTATATTTTCCCAACGGCAACCAACATGACAACCCCAGAGTATGAAACGAGCATTCGTGAAGGCTCGAGTGAATCCCCACCACTTTGAGAGTGGCAAAAGCTGGACAGGCAACTACAACGGCAGTTGGAACCACTGGCTTCAGATGTCCTTGGAAGGAATGGTCCAAGGGCCTAGATGCCAACAGCTGAGGCTGCATTCCCGCTGATCCTTGCTATGCCAGTGTTTGAGGGAGCTTGATTAGCAACGGGAAATCCGTCCCTCATCTCCAATTCTACTTGGCATATCCGGTCCAAGGACAGCATCGGGCCCTTGCACAGAGTAAATGCTGTGGTAGGCTCTCGTCTGGTCTTCATCGTTCCTCATTCAGTGTACTCAAGCAAAGCATGAGTCGCTCATTATGGCTGTAACAGCACACATCACCGAACCACGCAACAGAGCCAGCCTCCGCTCATCCAAGGCCACGTCGATGTCTTCATTGAAAGGCTGCATGTCGCTCCGACGCGGTTTCTGGAGGACAAGGCAACCAGGGACAAACTTCAACGGCGCCTGAACATGTCGACTGACCGTCCGGACTTCTTCAGTCGCATGGTCAAGCACTCGGGGTCCGCCAGGGGCATGAGGATCGTCATCTGCGCCAGATGCATATCGGCCATGGCGGCGAAGCACTCCGTCGAGATGCGGTATTGTTGCGACGGCCGCGCAACTTTACACTACCTGTTCTGATTCAGTCACGTCTCGTGTCTTTGTGGCGAGTGAGCAATATAGCTCAACTACCTTTACAGGGGACCCTCATGGCGGCAGAAGTGCCATCACTGCATTCCAGCCGATACCACGGTAAATGTCCGAGTTTTGCAGAGACCTCTCCGGCGGACCACAACTCCACCTCCCCATCGCGTTTCTCCCAGGCAAGGTCGTCCTTCTTTCCATGCGGACATGTCTCGGTTTCAGAGCCATTGCATCTCGAAAACAAAAAAAAGATGACGATTTTGAGGGCCAAGTCAAAACTAAAACAATGGGCAAGGGGAAACCCGGCAAAGCAGCCACCAATTCCGTCGCCCAACAGAGCCGGTCTGGCCAAAGTTACGTTATAGATTGCTTGCTACGTATACAAGTTACCTAAAGTTGCACACAACAGTAGGTATGAGGTGGCAAGACGCAATAAGCAGCGCGATGTGTAAAGAGGCAAGCTCAAAGTTACGTTATATATTGCTTATTATATGTACAAGTTCACCTAGATTTATCCACTAGAGTAGGTATAATAACTACAGCAAGACGAAATAAGTAGCGCGATGTGCGAAAAAGCAAGCTCAAAGTTACGTTATAGATTACTAATAGAAATTGACTGCGTAGAGTTATGAGACATTGGTATTAATATCGCGTCTTTCTCTCATGTTCGAAATTGAAATTTTACTCCATGCCACAGCTTGACATTTACTCTATTAGCTATTCGGCTCTTTCTGCAAGATTCTCTTTTGCGTTCCTTCCAAAAAGGATCACACGCAACGATGAAGTACTCCATGATTATTGTTGCCGCTTTTCCTTGCGCCTCTCTCGCCGGACTGATTGCACATACACGGAGACAGAGTATCCCCCTAGGCGAGCTTTGCAAACTGTACCATGGCAACGAGCAAGCCTGCATTAATGACGTGAGGATGTGCTCACTGAGTGGAGCGACGGGCCCTGAGGACTACTGGAAGTGTGTACGAGCTGCCAGCCAGCAGCAGACACCGGGACCGAAGTTGGGACTCGAAGTGGGCAAAAAATGCGCCCTCTGGGGCAACGAGTGCGCCCACGGATTGGTGTGTACCAACAATGAGCCCACTTTGACGGTCAAATACAGGGGAACCTGCGAAATACCAAGATGGAGAGCAAGACCAGTGTCAGAGCCGAAGCCGTTCAGAGGCGCGAGGCAAGGGCCTCCCGGTTCGTCCAAGTTGAATCGTGCGTGCGACAAGACTGGCCAGCTGGCCGCGTACTAGCTCCAAGGAGGCATACAAGCCATAGGAGGAGCGACATTCGCTTTAGAACGAGGTTTATGTTTTATTATTAGGGATGAATACATCGTTGGTAGTACTGCCCTGACGGATTCGGACGGTGCCGAAGTGCTTAGTAAGCAAAGATGTAGGCCAATCAAGACTTCCCACCTCGGCATCACCAGCGTCACGACCGCACCTCATCACCACCAAGAATACAATGTCGGAACCGTACGTTACGTCCCTTGCGCCCCCGCCCCCGCCCTTCGACGTCCATCTCAAAGCTGACAAGGTTGGCTGCTTCACAGAATCTGCAACTTGCCCTCGGTGGAGGAAACCACGCAGCACCCGGCGTACAAGAGCGCCGTCTGGAAGCTGCAGCCTCACTCCTCCGGCAGCCTCCCCGTGGCCCGGGGGCGCGGCAGCCCCGTCCACATCTACTGGGAAGTCCACGGCTCCGGCCCGACCAAGCTCGTTGTACGTCGTCGCAACTTGAACAGACGGCCCGGATGTGGTCGTCTGAGACGGGAAGAGGACGAGTTCTAACTCCGGTTCCGGCCCCCCGCAGCTCGTCATGGGCCTCGCCGGCACGACCACGTCGTGGCAGGTGCAGACGCACCACTTCGGCCACGTCCACGGGACGCAGAACTCGGTGCTGGTGCTCGACAACCGCGGCGTCGGGCGGTCCGACAAGCCGCTGGGGCGGTACACGACGTCCCAGATGGCCCGGGACGTGCTGTCGGTGGCCGACCACGTGGGCTGGACGCAGCCGCGGCAGCTCAACGTCGTGGGCATCTCGCTCGGGGGCATGGTGGCGCAGGAGCTGGCGTGCCTGGCGCCGCGGCGCATCCGGTCGCTGTCGCTGGTGAGCACGAGCGCGCGCGTCGAGAGCGGCAAGACGCTCGCCCAGACGGCCGCCGACCGCATCGGCCTGCTGCGGCCCAAGCCCGAGGGCCGCGCCGTCCGCGACACCGCCGCCCTCCTCTTCCCGCCCGCCTTCCTCGCCGCCCCCGACGACGCCCTCGCCCTGCCCTCGCCCGCCGCCACGCCCCTGTGCGCCCCCGCCGACACCCCCGACGGCGAGTACCGCCGCTTCGGGTCCAACTTCCAGCGCTTCCAGGCCCAGGAGCTGCACAAGCGCCGCGCCCCCGGCGCCCTGACCCTGCCCGGCTTCGTCGGCCAGCTCCTCGCCGCCGCCGGCCACGCAAAGTCGCCCGCTCAGCTGCGCGCCATGGCCGACGACGTCGGCAGGGACCGCATCCTCGTCCTGCACGGCGACGCCGACAACATGCTCGACGTGCGCAACGGCCGCCGCCTGGTCCGCCTGCTGGAGCCCGGCGCCGCCCTCGTCGTCGAGGGCTTGGGCCACGCGCCCATTTTCGAGAGGAGCGTCTGGTTCAACGCCCTGCTGGACGAGAGGCTGCGTGCCTGGTCGAGGCTGTGAGGCGCGGATAAACCGTGTGTGTGCACACATGCACGCATGCACATGCACGCGGGCATACGTACGTGCCCTTGCGCCAACTGAACACGGCGCAAAGCACCTCTCCCATGGTTTGGCAAGCAGCACCGGCCGAGCAACTACTCCTCACATCTGTCGCCATGTAACTACTTGGTAGTTTCTACCCAGTCACCGGCATCCCATCTAAACAGTTGCATCGTCCCGTTTCATCCAACATCTCCCTCCAACCCTTACGACCGCTTGTCTGGCAAGTACGTGCAATTATAGGCACACTAGGCAGAATACAGAATACCACTTAGCATCTATCACTAACCAGCTGCAACTTATTGTTACGTAGCATCGTATCTATCCTCTTTTAATACACGTCTTATATTTCTCTTACCGTTTCTGTCGCCCTTCTCTGCCCTGCTGCCCCTATGGTTGTTCCATCCCCCCAATCGCTCCAGGCATCATTTCCGCCTTCGCATTGATCCCCAATGCAGATCTCACCCTTTACCTATCCCCAGCCAATCTTCGGGCCTGGACCTCGCCAAGAGCCTTGGTGCCGCTGAAAAACGCAACCACCCCCACGACAGCCATCACCGGCAGCGTCTGGAACAAGTTCCACGTACTGTAGTACGACAGGAACACCCCTTCCATGGCCACGATGGACCCGCAGAAGAGGGCATGTGAAAGCGGCGCATTGCCAATGGCCGTTGGAACGTGGCAAAGGTTGCCGCCAAGTCCAATCCACTATACCAGTCAGCACACGCACGCCCTCAAAAAGGAGGCTGGAAGTGTTTGAAAGACATACCCCGAGGAAGAGAGCAGGCACGGTGGCCAGCACAGCAAGCGAAAACACCAGCGACACAATCTTGGGCGGGCTCTTGGGGTCCGCGCGGAAAACGTGATGGATCTCAGCGAGCTTGCCATACCGCAGGGGAGCAGCGGGACGGGACGTGGGGTGGTCGGGATCCAACTTGACAGCAATGTCGAAGACGGGCGTCACGGACCCCTCGGTTGACCCGGTCGAACCGAGGACCAGGCTGGCCTCGAGGGGAGCGGCCGCGGTGAGAAGCTGGGCGGGGAGGTCCTTGTGGCTCTGTGCAAGACCAAAAAGAAAAAAGGAGAGAAGTAAGCATCTTGTGAAACCGGCGTCTCTCCAGCGCAACGTACGATTTGGACCACGCCCTTGCCAGACTCCTTCAGAGTCAAGGCATACGGCGCCTCCAGCCCAGAAGCTTCCTTGATGACCAGGAAGGCCTGGTGCGGTCTCCTGGCTTTGGATCCGTCCTTGGTGGTCAGTGTTATTTTGAGGACATCCTGGTGCCCAAAGTCGATTGTCTTCTTGGACCGGTCGGCGCTGGAGAATCTGCAGAGATGGAAGCAGAAAAAGACACAACTGTCAGTCGCGCGTAGTGGTAGCAGGCGTACGAGGAAAACTTACGTCTCGACCGTCTTCTCGGAGGTCTTGGAGTCCACTGAGACAGAAGCATCTGAAAAAGTCCAAGAGGTGGCGTGAGCTGCGGCGGCGAGGGCCAGCGCCGTCGAAGCTGCAAAGAAGCGCATTGTGTTGGTTTGGCGTGGGGAGGCAGATGGTCGATTGACAGCTTGGTGAGGGAAGCAGCTACGTACGAAGTTGAGGAATACGGAATACGTGGTTGGAGGTGGGGCCCTGTGATTGGTCGGCGTACGGTGCGAGACAGTGTGAGCATTGGCAACAGCCACGCTGGCCTTGATATCCAACCCAGTGGCCGCGGTACAGCTGGGATACACACAAAAACGATAGAATCCATCATGACAGCCATTTTAAGCACGATTACAATGGCATGAGAGCACATATGGCAGTTGTGTCAACGTTGAAATGTAAATCTACACTGGAAAAACGTAGCGCGGCGCTTCCAAGCACATGAACAAAACCCACACACCCCAACGCCAAGCATCAAAACTCATCATCACAGCTCAGTCCTTTTGCCGAGCACATTCTGCGTAGCACTCCCCTCCAGCGCGGTCCTCGCGGCCGTCGTATTCGACAGCCCACCGAGCTCCATAAACTCCACCACAAACGCCGTGACTATCCTCGCCCAGTCCCTCGTCGTTGCCAGGTCCAAGTGCTCGCCGTCGTCGTCCAGGGTGTGCCACACGGGTGGGAAGTGTCCCGGTATCAGGTGCAGCACATCCACACCGCGCAGCATAAAGGGGATGTGGTCGTCCTCGATGTAGTTGCGGCCGAACTCCGCCGCCTGCTTGTCCCGGTCCGGGAGGAAAGGCTTCGCGGGCGTGGACTCGAGCAGGTTGAGGGCGCGCATGCGGCCCTCGAGAGCCGCCATGTTCCTGTAGGTCCAGTGCGTGGGAAGAAAGTACGAGGGGACGCTGGGGCTGGGCGAGCCGAGGAGGTCGAGGAGGACGAAGAGGGAGATGCTCTCGAGGGGCGTGCGGAAGGTCGACAGTGTTGGGTGGGAGGTTTCGTCCCATTCTTGCGCCAGGGATCTGCAATCCGACGGTCAGCATTGGAATACGCACTCCTCGTGGCGCTGGGTGTGAATTGACGCACCTCGCTCCATATAGCGAGTCGGTATCAGACCACTGCACAAAGGCCTCCTCGCCATCAAGAAACAAAATCTGCACGCCCTGCCGCTCCTCTAGCCCGTCGTGGCCGTCTTGCCACTTCTTGGTCAGCGCGGCATCGATGCTCCTCGCCACATGCATCAGCATGGCACACGGCGCGGCGGAATCAATGGCGCCCACGAAGCCCTCGGGCTTGATCAGCGAGTCGAAGTGCGCGACGAGGGTCAGGCGCGACACGTCGCCGGGATGCGAGTCGGGCGGGTCTCGACGGAATATCAAATTGGAAAAGGGCACATCTCTGGTGTCGCTGAGGGGCGTCTTGGAAGTCGAGTTCTGCCACGAGAGCTCCCACGACGGCAGCGACGACTGGAAGAAGTCGACAAAGTGTTTCTGGGTCTTGTGGCTGCCTTGGGTGCCAGGCACACGGGGGATCAGTATGGGGGCCAGGAGCTTGCCCGTGTGTATGTCGAAGTCGTCCCCGGGCGACGGGATGTTGCGCAGATCGTCGTCGGTGAGGCCGGCGGCGGCGGCAGGGAGTGCGCCGAGCACCGCGAAAAGGGCGCCAGCGAGCATGGAGATTAATGACGACATGAGGACACCATTTCGTTGGCAGCCAGCCCGTGGATGATGGCAAGGTGGCTGAGCCCGGTGTTGGACGGTGTTGTTGAAATTTGCATCTTGGAGACACTTGGTCTTCGCCGCGGAGCAAGTTGGACAGCTAACGATAACCTTGCCTGCGCGTCTCCACCTTTTCAGGCGACGCAGGAACGGCAGGGCAGGGTGGCCATTGGCTGGCACACAAACCCCGTCATCCAACATCAACCACATGTGCGCCCGGGACGTCATGCCATCCGGGTAAGCTCCAAACACCGTCATCGATTCATTGTCTAGAATAGAGACCAAGAGAAGGAAATCTCCCAGTCACCACAACCACATAGGCTCCTGCGTACACAGGTTATGCATGCGTGCGTGCGCGTGTGCGTGCGTGCACCTTCGCTTTGCCGCCCCCCTCGACAACTTCGTAAAAAAATCAAAACAAAAACAAAGATAATACACGACCCAGCGCTGCCGCCGCCCGGTAAACTTGAACCCCTTCATTGACCACAGTGACGACAATAAACAAAAAGTGAAAAGGGAAAAAAAAAAAAAAAACTCAGTCAATAAATAATTCCCTGGTATAAAACAAAAGTTCCTGTGCTCCAAGTCCGACCCTCTCCCAATGTAGTACATGTCCCTCGCTGATGAGTCTCGCCGATTCGACCTTCTTTACCATTCCGCTTGCCCCCATGTCTTGTGTCTTGCCCCCTTTGTTAGTCCATCTCGACGTCTCCGCTGGGTGGCGCAACCCCGTCGTCCATCCACTTGCGGAAGTTCTTGTTTTGCTCCTGAACCTCCTCGGGGCTCATGTCCTTGGTCCACGAGGGGTTGTGCACCATCTTCTCTACGAGCTTGCTTTCGCGGTGCATGCCAAGGGCCTTTGTGAATTTCTCCCGCCGCTCGCGTTCCTCCTGCGTGCGCGGCGACCTGTCGTAGATGAAGTATTCCGAGGTACCAGGACCCCAGACCATCTTGGAGCTCTTGAGACAGATGCTAGTCGTGAGATTCTCGCTGTACGAAAGCGGCTTTGGTACCTCATCGGAGTCTGAGTCGGCATCACCGCAGGGGAGGTTTCGCGTGAGAACCACCTTTTGCAGCTTGGATCGGGGAATGCCCTCGGTCGGTTCAACTCGGATAAACGACGAGATGTAGTACTGCCAACGCTCACGGACCTGCATCTCGTCCATGTAGAACGTCGTCTCGTCGCGCTGCAGCCATCGCACAGTCGCCTCGGCCTTCTGGGGGAACTGCATTTCCCTGTTAGCAGTTCAAGTCCAAGCACTCATTGCAGTCGCACATGGCAACGGCCGCCGACTCACCCAACAAATAACAAAAATATCCCCGTCCTTGACGCACTTCTCTGCAAACTTCCGTGCCGATATTTCCGTCTGATAACTCGTCTCGTCCTTCTCCCGGCTGGTCAGATACTGATGGATGAGATCCGGCGTTTTCTCCTTGGCATCGGTGCTGCTGCAAGTCAAGGCCAGTCGGCATAGCGTCTTGAGGAGGTCCTGGATGGTGTACAACTTCCAGCCATTCTTGAGGTAGTAGTGGCGCAAGACATCCTGGTATCGGTTCTCGTCGACATCACCAGTAATGTACTCCTCAATCAACTCCACAGTCTTGGGCCAATAAGTCTCCGGGGGGTCCGTCGGCTCAAAGAAGGTCATGTGGTTCTCCGTGAAGCCAATATCTCTGGCCGGCTTGGGCCTGTTGAGGCGCTCGACCGCCTGAGCAACGAACTCTTGGCTCTCCTTGATATCCAGCAAACGCCCGTAAAGGGTCTGGAAGATGCTGAAGAAGACGTAAATGGTCTGGTTACAGAAGAAATTGTACCAGGGGCGGGTAAAGAAACCATCCGCCTTCAACTCGCCGCCTTCGTCAAGCAGTGTGTTGTCTCCGCTGACAACTACCGGCTTGGGAATGGTTGGCATCCACCGCTCGTTCGACACCTCTGGAACAGCAGCTTCCTCCGGGGCATCGGCCATCTCCTCTTCATTGGCCGACGTGACATCAGGAGTGGTCTCCTTGCTACCAGAAGCGGCACTGTCTTCCTTTTGACTCCTGGGCTTGCTGCCGTTGCGTCCGGGGTCCAAGACTCCTCTAAGTAGGTCCCCCTTCTTGCCGTTACGGCGGCTTCGCCCATTGGTCAGCTCAGCAGGCGTAGCATCCTCGACATCGTCCTCGCCAGAATCAGGCTGCATCTTGGGAAGCTTGTCCTGATACATTTCTTCGGGAAGGTCGAAAAAGGCCGGGATGAAGCTCTCAAAAAAGTCCAAAATTCTCTCCTTCTCCTGCGTGCTGTGCTGCCCATTGTGCATGCTATACAGCATCATCAAGCGAAGTAGTTCGAGGAGAACCTGCTTGTTGCTCAAGTCCCAGACCAGTTGGTGCCGCGGGGCTTTGCCCCTGAGGACACGCTCTCGGCGTTGCTCCTCATGCTTGGTCTTGATAACATCCACCAGGTGCTTCGCAGTCAGGTTCCTCTTGTCGGTGGACTTGACCAGGATGCCCATGTGATCCAAACTCTTGAGATGCATGTTCTCCGTCTGCGCATGCCAAACCTTCTCCCATTCACGCTGGGAGAAGCGCCACTCTTCATCCTTTTGTCTCATACGGGCCAGCAAGACGGGCACCACGTCAAAGGGGTGGCTGTACATGTCGTTGACAACGTCAATGCCCCTCTCGCCATAAATTTTCTTGGTGATTCGCTTGAATATTGACGTGCTCTGGCCGGCAAGGGCGGCAGGCATATGGAAGGCTTCTCTCTCGGCAGGCGACATGGCGAGCATTTGCTGCGCAATGGGCTCCAGCAGCTGGATGCATTTCAGATTGGCCTCAATGTTGAAGTCGTAGTCGTGGCGCTCTTCTTCGATCCTGTGAAGACCCTCTTCGAACTGATTCTTCCGGTGAGCGACAAATCCAGAGTCTTCGCTGGCCCAGGTAGGGTGCGAGGCCCACTGGTCGTTGAGAACCGAGTTGCACAATTCATCGCGGCCACTGCAAGGCTTCAAGCGCTCTCTCTTCGGAAGGAGTCTGTAGCTAGGGCCGTAGCCACGGCAATTGCTGAGGGACAGCTTCTCCGTAGGAGGTGCAGGCCGATTCTCAATTACGACGTCATTAGAATTCACGCCGACAAATGTTTTCCAAAAGGACATGAGGTCAGGGTTGGCTCCGATGAACAGGGCACCCTTGTGGAAGAGGGTGTTGCGGTCAATAATGCCCTGGCTGAAAAGGTTGCACAGCTTCAAGAACTCGTTCATCGACGACCGATTGCTGAGAAACTTCTTGACACGCTCAAAAAAGGCAATTTCTTCCTGGTTGGAGGTGGCAGAGGGGCGAGGAGGATATGGCTCAGGCATGACTGGGGTAAGTGTAGGCTCGATAGTGGAAGGATCCCCGGTGGCCCTGGCATGGCTGAGTTTTGTCCTCTTGCCAGCCCCATTTACGACGCTCTGCTGAAGCCGACTTGCCGCGTTGGTGTCGAGAGGGGCGTTTTCAGCAACGGCAGCTTGCTTGTCGCCGCGAGGCCTCTTCTTATTGTTGTCTTTGCTGGCGCTGGGAGGCGGAGCAAAACTGCCCAGAGGAGGCATCTTTTGCCCGCCAGGCTGGGGAGTTTGGCTAGAGCCTGCAGGCGCGCCTTCATCTCCACGGCCGGGTGTCGCCTTTGCTTGCCCTGCAGATTCGGGTAGGAATTGCTTGAAGTCCTCGAGCAGATCCGGTGCGGCGTTGAAGAGAGTGGTAACTTGAGCATAGACATCCTGAATGGGCTTTTGTTCCCGCTGGTAGGTCTGCAGTATTTCAAGAAACTGCTTATAAATCTCTGGCTTGTCTTGGAACCGGTTCTTAATCTTGTTGACATAACTAATCGCATGATTAAACTCGACGGGGCCACGTCGCTCCATGTTGGCTTGGTTGCCGGGACCGGAGTGTGCTCCGCCGTGGCCGGATGTTGGACCTGGAGTCTGTCTAGTGCCTGTCACGGCGGCGACAGCGCCAGATTGTCCCTGGGGCGCATTTCTTTGCGCTGAGCCTGGAGCATCAAAGGCGCCACTTTGAGCAGCGGCCTGGACGAAGAGACTAGCCCCGTTCTGCAAGGGTGTGGCAAAGTTGGCCTCTGGGCTCTCGATGTTGTGCTGCGAACGCTGCTGCTGAGGTGGTTGCGGCGGCTGCTGCTGCTGCCACTGGGCGCCGCGTTCGGGGAACAGAGGCTGCCCAGCACCGGGACCGCCATGTTCTCCTTGGCCTCGTCCAGCGATGGACTGTACTGTAGTCCCCATCGGGGTTGTCACCCTGATCGTATTCGGGTCGTTCCCAGCGCCGCATTCGATTCTGTAGCCCGGGGGCAGAAATGTGTTGAAACCTTGAATCAGGTTCGGGTGCCCAGCGAACAGTTCAGAGACTCGATTAATGACGCCCGGTGTATCAATGCTAATGCTAGAGGTTAGAAAAGTGCCAAGATCCTAGCCGCACCGTAGAGAACCACGTACGCTTGACTCTTGAAGTCCTTCATAATGTCCAAGAATCTATTATACACGTCGGGTTGGTCATGGAACTGGACCTTGACTTGGTCCAAATAAGTCAAGGCATCCTAGCATCGCACAGGTTAGCCCTGGATTCGCACCAATGTCACCTCATTATGAAAAGCCAATGTACAAGAAAAGTGTGGTAAAGCGACCAGCGCTGCATATCATCACCGCAGATATTCATCACACGTTGTCCGCCCTCTCGAAAGGCTTCAACGAGCTCTTGAGTGGCAGTAAAGCCTAGGTGCGATGCGCGACACGTAGTCGTTTGTGAGCCACGCAGGGCTCGAGATGCCTGCCGCTGGGCAAACAAAGATGGCGACCCCTCCCTTCGACTTGATACAAGAGGGGGTGGTGGCATGTTGTTTCTCAAAAGGTCGATAGCAGTTTTCTTCTGGCATCACAAATACCCATGAAAAAGCAGCAATGACGCGGAAAGGTGCAAAAGGGGGAGTGGGAAGACAGACAACCAGAGGCGGTCATAAAACGTGACTGGCATCCGATGATTCAGTAGGGAGCAAGGCAAACTTGCTCTCCCGATGGTCCGCCCCAACCGCGCGGTGACCATGAACCCTCATGAGAGCAAAAAAAAAAAAAAGAAATCCCCGAAATCTGCACTCACATTCAAAATAGGCTGCTGGCCCTGCGTGATGCCCCCCGGGATCTGATGGCCGCCAGGCGTCACTCCCACTACAGCAGCCGCTCCCTTTGCGGCCGTCCCACGAGCGTCCTGCTGGCCCGGCTGCTGTTGTTGTCCCTGGTGCAGGCCCTGATGGGGACCACCAAATCCAGGACCAGCCGGGCCGGACGCCGGCTGCGAAGCGTTCGGGGGAGCTTGCGAATGCCCAATCGGCGCGTAGATTTGATGCTGCTGCGATGCGGCGCCGCTCTGTTGCAGCGGTCCGCCAAAGTTGACAGGGCCGGGCGGCGCGCCCAAAGAAGCACCCGGGGGCGGTGGATTACCGCTGTGATTGGCAAGTAGACCGCCAGGACTGTGTATAGCACCGGAGATCCGTGATGCCACAGGCTGGTGAATGGGGATGGAACCAGCACTGCTCTGATGGGGAGCTCCTCCAGGGCCCGAACGGCCCTGCTGGCTCCGGTCGGCTTGTTCTCTCTCTCGTTCCTGGTCACGGCGCAAATCCTCGTGCTGCTGCATGGCGCGGTGTCGATCGTCGATTTCGCGGTCGCGGTCGCGGTCGTACGGCGCACCACCACTGCGCCCGTGGAGGTTCTGGTTGTTCATGCTCTTGTCAACTGGGACCACGAAGGCGTTAGCACAGTTTACCTTGGCCATAAAAACAAGTAGACTTGTCTCTCAGACGCTCCGTCCCTTCCCCATATCCAGAGAATCCAATGTTGCCGTGGGATGTGGCATCCATTCCGAGCTCAACACGGTCGGCGACACGAGGGAAAAAGCGGCCTGGGTACTTACAGCTCGTGGGCAGACCTGGAGCAGTAAAACATCTACATGGATGCAGAGAGTTACAGCTTCACACAGTGTGTAGATGGAAGAGAGTAGATATTACAAGGTCGGGTTTAGAATATGCCGTAAGGGGTGAGGGACGGTTGAGAGGAGACGCAAACCACACGACGAACAGGCTGGTGCAAACTTGGGAAGCTCTCCTGGCAGAATCGAGAGCGGGTGACGAGATCTGAACGTCCTCGCATAAGCGCTACGCGGGTCTGGCCGCGTCACGTGGTGATAAGACGGGCTGTGTGGGTACTTATCGAGTAACTGGGCATGGCGAGGCTGGCCGTTCAGATGCCTGGGCTTGTAAAAGCAACCCAGAGCTGGCAGGTAACGTTACTTGGTAGGTAACTATATGGAAGTTAGCTCCAGAAACTCCCTTGTTTTGGACGTGAATGGATATAAATGAATACATCTTTAAAATACTATCTCTTTGTAGTCTAGCCCACCGCTCACGGCGCCCAACTCCAAACGTGAATACGGAAATGACGAAGCCATACCCAGGGGCTACCACGCAACCCTTGCCACATCATACATTCTGCATGAGCAGACAAACTAAGGAGCATTGTTTAGAGTAATATACTAGAAGCCCTTGGATCCGTCACTCATTGAGTCCTGCACTCAAATCGATTCTGACACATCTACACGTGCTCCTCTTTGTCCTCGCCACCGGAGCTGGCAGGTGGACTCAACAACCATGACTCCGCAACTTTCTCGAGTGGACGTCCGCATTGATAGCCATCAGACTTCAGAAAACCTTTGGTGTCGGCAGCCTCGTCTTTCTCTCTCTAGGACGTGGGCGGCGGCTGTGGTTTTCGGATAATCTTGATCTTTGGCCTGGCGCTGACCGGTGTCGCCGAGGTAGGGGGGCTGCTAGCTTTGCCAGCCGACGGCGTTGCAACCTTGGCGTCAATAGACAACTTTGGTGTTGACTGTGGTACCGGTGAAGCCGTTCCCGGCAGCGGCTTTCGCGTAACTTCGCCTGAAGGTAGTGGCTTTCTCGGCTTGGCAGTGATGTTGTTCCTGGAACTTCCTGGTGAAGCTTCCTTGGGGGCTCCGGTAGGAAGCGCCGTTCTTGCCATGGGTGCTGGCCCGGTTGGCAATCCAAGAATCACAGACAAACTTTTAGGGTCGCCCGTCTTCAGCGTCACCATACGCCTCTTCTTGGATGTCTTGTCACCATCGATGATGGATGACTCGGTCTTTGTGCGCTTTGGTACAGGAGTACCGCTTTCATTTTCCGGTCGAGGTCGCTTTGGTGCGGCTGACGCATGTGTTGCACTATTTCCGGGCTTTAGCTTTGTTTCCGTACCATTGGCGTTTGACACCCACGACGCGGCAATGATCTCGCTTTTGCTCCGGCCTGGAGCGGGAGTGGGACGTTGTGGTGTGGACAACTTGGTGGTGCTGATTTTGATAGAGGGTGGTTTAGGAATAACGGGCGGTCGACTGTCTCCAGGAACATCAGGAAAGGTAATGGGCTCCTTCGGTTGCGTCTTGTAGTGTGACTTGAAGCGCACAATCAATCGATCAGCGAGCCTCTTGACGGGTCTCTCCACCGTCCAGGCCTTGGGGAGGTTGAGCGTCAGCACCCAGCCCTGAGTCTCCTCAAACATCATGGCTGCCAAGTCCAGCAGACTCTCTACCTCGCTTCGTCCTAGGCCACGATGGTCGAGCGCCTTACGCATTGCATTGCTGTAAAATCGTTCATCCTTGACATAAATCTCGTCCATTTCCTTTCGCAAAGCCTTGAGGGCAGCATCGAGATTTTCTTTACGGGCAATCCTTTCCTTCCTCGCTTCAATCTCCTGGGCACTATCCTGCACCAGGAGAAGCGTCTCTTCGATATCGTCCGTCGCCGGTTCATTCTTGACAATCCTGGTCTGTTCTCCAAAGGCGATTGCAGCAAGACCACTGGCCATCGCTCGAATGAGCTTGGTGCGAACGAATGGGGATCTGTCCGTCATGAGTGCAAAGAGAAAGAAATTGAAGAAGGTCGCATCCATGAGGGCTCCCAAGTCTATGAGAGCCTCGAAGGCCTTGATACGGATCAAGTCTCGGGTGCCGTCCAACAGATATTGGGCGAAGTCAGAATAGTTCTTTGGGATAACCTCTGCCTTCATAAGCCGCTGTTTCGCGTCCAGGCCAGCAATAGTCCACAGGTTCTGGTACGAGTTGGTCCATTCGTCACGCCGCAGGACGCGTTCGATCTGTTCCATGGCTTTTTCAAGAAACAGGCGCTCTTCCTCATCTGGGGCTTTGCTTTGACGAGCAAGCCAGTCGTCCTTCTTAGATGGGATGAGAGATGTAGCAAGAGCTTCGACCAGAGTGGCGATGTAGAAGTGATCCGAGTACGGATTGTCCTCGTTGTTGTTAAACAAGAGCTGGTCCAGGATGAAATGACGCGCTTCCAGCGGACAGCGGTAGGTTTGGTCTCGAACTTCAGAAATGGCCTTGATTACAGCACGCCTAACATGATACTGTTTCTTGTCCGTAAAATCATTCGGAAGCGGCTGGTTGGTTTGTTGGTAGCAAAACATTTCACGGAATGCCCTCATGAGCTGTCTCAAGCCTAGTAGGGGAATGTCCTTGATGTTCGATTGCCGCGGTAGTGCCTCAGCAGCCATCGTCCGGATGCCATGAAAGTATCGCCGGTCAATCAAGGTTCGAACAAGGAAGCCAGAAGCAATAGGGTGGAGTGGTCCATGAGTGAGATAGAGCATGGCGTCTTGCTGTGCTACCACGTCCCTGTCTTGTTGCAGTTGGGAAACGTACATGTACGGCTCGAGAGTGCGTTTCATATCACACGCCCACTCGAAGTCGGCATCAACACGTATCCATTCGTAAGACTCTTGGTCCATCTTTCGCTCCGTCTCTGGGTCCCACTCTATGAGTTCCCAATCCTTTAGGTCGTCCGGGGTCTGAAGCACATCTCCAAGGCAGTAAAGCAACGCATCATCAGCATTCTCTGCAATCTCCATGCTTGCGCCACCACTGTGCTTCTCCTTCATGCGTCGCGTCCGCTTGAGTCGCTTATATTTAGTATTGTAGGGGATTTCAAACTTTGTCGATCGTGTAGCATCCTCCCGTATCTCAAGGATGTGCTCGTAGGGAGTGCCGTCGGCTTCGTGGATCCTCACAGTCATGGGTCCAGTAAACAACGGCTGCACCTCTCCCAACTTCAGTCCGGCTCGTCGCTCCTTGACGACCCGTAAAAAGTCATCCTTTTCCAGTCCCCCGGTTCTCTTGGCTGCTTGGTGTTGTATCTGATTAAGAGTCAACTCCACGCAAAGCCTCTTCTTGTTGAATTTTGCCTTGACGTCGAATCTGGGGCAGCCTGAGCCATATACCCACTGGTTCCAAAAGGCCTCCAAACGATACCGCGAGCCCTTCTCGCATACAGCTCTGAACTTCTCTGTATCCAGAATAGTGGAACGATCGCTGCTTTCGATCTGGGCCTTGGTCAAGAACTTTTGGAGGATTCTCGTCAGGCCATGGCCACCAGAGGCCTTAATCATTCGTTTGTCAAGGATGAAGAAGACCACGGGGACCTTCAAGGCCATGAAATCCATTTCAAACTCTCCCAAGTGCAAGTTTGGACCAAGATCGAACAAAGACGGTCGATCAATGTCGACAATGACCAGCTTGTCCGACATAGTCTTCATACGGAATCTATGTTCATTGTTTCCACAGAGCTTCTTCATGAATAAATCGGTCATGTAGTGGGCGATACCGAGAACAAGCCAGAGATCATTGCGGGTATTGGGTATCATGTTGATACCGATCCACTGGTACGTCAAAGTAAAGACAATCTTCCTGGTTGTTTCGATTTCAGTGTCGATGATGTCCCCTGGGAAAAGCAGACGTGTACTGATAAATGCCAGCGAATGCAACGGCACAGTGTCCTCCACCATGTCTTCGAGAAAGCAGATTTTGAAGTTGCCAAAGGGATATTTAGCAAAGGTGTAGGTCAAGAAGTCCGCTGCCATTGTCAAGGCCGCCCCTGTATTGCGTACCCAGTCAGTGCGGCCAGGCAAGCAGTAGGCATGGACCTTCAAGGCGCTCACGCCGAGCTTGACTTCATCCTCCTCTGCTCTAAATTCAGATGAGAGGTCGATATGCTCAAACGGCCCAATGGCAAATCCCAATTTTTGCACTGACACCTTCTTTTCCGGCTCAAATGTCATGATCTTTTTGTGGTCGTTTTGAGGGTCGATCGTCTCCTCCATGAGGAACCCAGAACAAACCACGGTCATCTCTCGGAGCTTGTCTTCTTCTGCCAGCAGCATCTGGCGGTCATCATTGTCATGAGACTTGTCAACACCATCGACCGCGGTGTCCTGTTGCGTGGCCAGCGCTTGCTGGAGCGCTTCCCCAAGGGTTCGAGGAAATCGTATCGAGATTCTCCAGTCGCACCGGGCGCCGTGGTCGTCTACGCAGGGAAAAATGCATGATGCCGTTCCTGGATGGATTGAATGTCGTGTATACATGTGTGTGTAGCGACTGTCAAGAGCATCCACTCCAACGAAATGCAGGCCATCCCGCGGGTTCTTGTTGGTAAAGGGAACGGTCACTTTGAACTGCTTGTGCCCCCTGTTGGCGCCGTCGACGTTCAAGGATGATTTCCTGATTATCAACTTGGGGCGCTCGCTGTCCTTGGCCCCACGAAGACTGACCCTTAACGACCCGTAGACTGGTGTGCATCCCTCGATCTCTCTATTCTCGGCGGGAACATCAGTCTTTCGGTTGTAGAAGACATTTCGGGCCCTGTTCCGACGAAGGTCATGGTGCTCGGCCGTCCAGTTCCAGTTCTTGGAATGAAAGAGTTTGTGGTACGGGTCCTGGTATTCGGCAGACACCTTTTGCTTCTGTCCCTCAATCACTTCCCCGTGGACGTCTCGCATCTCGGTAATGGTCACATTACTCGTGTCGATTTCGCAGTGGGCTGCATCGAGACGGATCTCCTCGGTATTATCGGAGAAGATGACGATGTAGATGTCAACAGTGCCATCGATCCTTCGCTCGCGAAAATTCACGTCCAGCTTTGCCTCCTGCTTGATGACAAAAAACTCCTGAACTGGATCGTCCTTTATGGTCGGCAAGTTGTCATTTGTCTGTAGCAGAGGGTGTGTCTCGACACCATCAAGAAGCGACATAGTGGCTCAACTACAAGTCGCTTTGCTAGGCTGTCGTCGAAGGCCCCAAACGCCCCCGTGTTTGGTTGCTGTTTCTTCGATGCCCAACTCCCTGGGCGAGTCGGCCGTCAGAGACCTCGCATGAGCGAGCGCCCTTTGATGACCTTTACAGGCGCATTCGAATGTCGGAGTTTCCCGAGTCGTCATTCGCATTCATAACAAATGGTAGGCCAAGGAATGTCGCGACGGCACGACGAGGTCGACGAGGCAAGGACAGATGTTTGGAGAGCGATGGACGGGATATGTATGGTAGCTGAAAAGATGTCCTCGTGACAGGACACGCGGTTCGGACCGAAAAAAAAAATGGCGGACCGAATAGCGCAGGCACGATGCACCGCGAGAAGAAGTATTTTATTGTAAAGTAAGTACCTATGCGAGAGGCGGGCGGCGTATCGTCAATCGCAAGAAGTTATGGGTAGCTTTGCATCAAGTCAAACGCACGGACCACCGAGGTTCCTGGGGTGCACAAATGAGGTCTGGCGTGCCACTTCCCGTGCCACATTCCACATCAACACTGCACGGCGCGGACTATAAGTGCACAAAGTTCAACCATGCATGACATGTAAAATCAAAAATGCCTCCATCATATTCCATGCTAGGACACAATGCACCGGGTATCTTATGTGCCTAGAAGCTAGACATGCTATTTCTGCTGCAAGCCAACTAACGTTACGCTCAAAAAACACAATGGCGACTCATCCTGTTGCCTAATCCCCACGCCCAGGCTCCTACCTGCTCAAAATGTTCCTAGTCGATAATGCACAAGCTCGTCAAGTATACTACATCCAAGTGCTGCGTCAGCGGTCTCTTAGCGGGAGATGGTGACCCTTCTTGCGCCCCCAACGCCATGCAAAGGCAAGAAAGTAAGAAAAGGGGCAAAAAGCTGGGCGAAGACGGGGCGGTATGGCGCCCCGGCCGGCGTGTCAATAATTGCCAAGGAGAAAATAACTTCAGTGTGCAGCGGTATTAGCCCCGACTCCTACGCTTGTCTCTCCGCTTCCTGCGTGCTCTGGACTTGAGCAGCTCCTCGTCGCGATACCCCTCCGGCAGAACAAAGTCTGCTTCTTCCAGGTCCGGAATCGGGTGGCCCCAAGCCAGCACCTTGCGGCCAACGCGACGCGTTCGGTTGAGGGCGTGGTCTCGCTCATATTTCTTGCCAAAGAACGAAGTGAATCCTTTTTGCGCCTCTGCTGTTTTGGGCGGCGTGACCCGTGGCGGTGGCCTGAGCCTTCTGGCACTTGCGGCTGCCATCTGGGACCTTGCCAGAGCCTCTTGACGAAGCTGCTTGGCAGGTGACGCATCGCTCGTATCGCTCTGTGATGTCACCACCTCTTCCTCGGCGTCTTCCAAGACCTCGTCCGCATCAAGTCCCATCTTGGTGCCTCCTCTACCGTCTTGGCTCTCGTCGACGTCGTCTTCTGCAGTTGAATTCTCAACCTCGTCTGCTTTGAGCGGTTCTGCCTGCTCGTCTCCCTCTTGTTGAGCCAGCGCAGCTTCTTGCTCGGCCTGCAATACCTTCTCCTTCTCCAACTTCCGCCGCTTCTCCTCCAAATTCCACGTGCGGAATTTGTCCAGTATGGCTTGGCAGCCCTTGATGAAATATGCACGCGCAGGCTCAAACGACTTCTTCCTCGTTTCTGTGACGCCGCTAACACCCATAATTCTAAGCCAATCATGGCCCTGCAGACCCTCGAGAAGCCGAATTATTTGGTCCTTCTCATGCTGAGCGCGTCCCTTTTCAGAGTTGCGTATGGACCGCTCTATCCGCTCTGCTCTCTTGTGCGAAGGCTCAAAAATCCCGTCCGGTAGTGGATCGTCGAGGTTTTTATTGGTTTGTTGGGTTTCCAAGAATTTGAAGTCGATTCTTTGTGAATCAAAAACGTCCGTGTATAACGAATCGCCATATCCACGGACTGGAAATTCTAAGATGCGGCTTTGCTGCTGCATCCGTGCTGCTCCACGCTGTGTTTCCGCGATGACACGCCGGGGATTAGAGTCAACCACCACAATTGGAGTCTCAGGAGTCAACAAGTCTGCCCAGCATGTTAGCGCAACGCGCACACGCGCACACACGAACAGAGGGGGGCCTGTGCCAGGCCCAGTGGCGCCATACGTACGTTGCTCCTTGGGATCGTTTCCGATCACTTCGTCATAATCGGGAAAGTACGCAGACAAGTCGCTCTTGAACCTAGTAGCCTCCTGGGAGCGCAATTTGCGCCCCTGCTCGCGGGTAGATGCAGGCTGCGGCTGTAGCCGGTCAAGCTCTGCCTTGATGCCATTGATCACTTTGGCTTGGTGTTTGGTGAAATTTGGCTCCAGCTCCACGGGTGATTTCGGCTTGGGGGGAGCAGCCGTCACAAGCGGAGCTGACCCTTCGGCGGAATTGACCGCAGGAGGTATCAGGACTGGTGGTACAAATGCTGTCGTTGTAGGGATATGCTTTTGTATTATGGTGTTCAACGCGGCCGGTAGCGCTGCAGGCGGTGTCGGCGGAAATGGAGGCTGGACAACAGTCGGGACAACATTCGAGGCCCGCACACCGTGGACGACCGGCGATTGATGTCTGGAGAGGATTTCCACGGCGATCCTCGTCTTCTTGGGCTTCAGGGCATCGACTTCACGGTCAACAGGCTCGAGAGCTCGCTTCGGACGAGCGCCTCGACTTGTGCCGTCGGTCGAGGCAAACAGACCGGCGGGCGGGTTGGCCGCACGCGTGAGGGGGCTGGCGATATGATGCGTGTGCGTGTGCGTGTGCGTGTGCGGGTGCTGGTGCGGGTGCGGGTGCGAATGTGGATGCGTATGATGATGAGAATGGTCATGGGCATGATGAAGGCCCTCGGCTCGCCGGTTGGAGCGGGTGACGGAGGCCATTGACGATGACGTCGAGGCCTGGCATTGTCTGTCGCCGTCTGCTGGGGGTCAGTCTCACGATCAAGACGACGCGTCCTCGATTCCTCGATGGCGGTTCTCCGTCTTTGCTGTTTTGCTGTTATGATTTTTTGTTTTCCCTCCCCCCTTCCCCAGGGCCTCTGTTGTCGGAGTCTCGGGTGCTGTAGGCGAGGATGCTTACAGCGTGGTTGGTGGACAATTGAGGATGTGGGTGCGCTGAAGCTCGCCCATTGACCTCGAGCCCCTGCTTTTTTAGCGCTGTATTTGGTCATGCCGCCCCCGGCGTTTAGTGCTTAGCGCATCTTATCGGCCTGTGCTGTACGTGATTTGTCGCGAGACAAGCCATGTCGAATAAGCTACCCTATACGTCCGTGCCTACATCTTCTACTCAAACTACTACGTCTTGAGCGCAGTCAACAATCGTCTCCAATCGTCCAACTAATACAGCTGGTGTCTAAATTTGTCGATATATTCAGACATAGATACGGGCTGGCTGCCATATTCACAAGCTCATATTCAGGTCCTTGTAGTAGGTGACAACGGTAACCGTTGTCACATACCCACGCCCTCTCATATCCCACCCTGGCAAAAGTGCAGATGCGAGCTACTTGATGTATTCAAAACCATAGGGGGTGTATAAACATCCGAGCGCCCTCACTTCGCATTTACCACTGGCAAGCTCTTAATCTTGTTCATGACTCTGTCACTCCTCCTCGATTCCCCCTTCACCCTCTCCTCCTCTTCCCTCTCCCTCTCCAGCACCTTCCTCTCCTTTTCCGCACTCTCGCTCTTGTCCTTCTCCTCCTCCTCTCGCCTCCGCACCTCCTCCGGCGCAATCAACTTATCTTTGCTGTGTATCAGCTTGCCCACAAGCTCTCTGCCTTTTCTCCTTGTCTTGAGGTACGTCTCCAGCCCGACGAGAATGGTGTACGACTTGGATATGGAAACGTGGCTCATATCCGCGCCCTCCTCCTTCAGGTTCTTCACAAAGGCACGGAAATTGCTCGCTGGCGGACGATAGTGGCCGCTCAGCGGCGAAAGGGATGATAGGCGACCGTTTTTAATCTTGATGAGCCCTGCGGCGGAGATGCGGCTGCCCTGGAGGAAAGAGGAGTGTTGGAAGGCGCCAGAGTCCTTAATGCCGACATAGAGTCTGAAGGACGTGTCTGCTACGAATATCCACGTGTTTTTCTTGACCGACTTGCGGAGTAGTTGGTTGAAAATGGTGGATGCTGATATGTGCGTGACTTTCTTGAAGCCCTTGGAGTTGTCGAGGCTGGAGTCGGCGTACTTGGCAGCGCGGTCCGCTTCACGCCTGGACTCGAAAGATGAGTCTGAGTCTGAATCGTTGGAGTCGTTGTCTTCCGGATGGAGGGTTTGCGAGGGTGTGTGCGTGAACGCTGGCGTTGGATCGTCAACTGGGACGACGCCGTGGATGCTGTCCCTGAACCGCTCGGTCGTGTCGATGCGGGCACCATTTTTCGCCCAACATAGCCGTCCCTCCGCGTCTACCCGGACGAGGTAATATTGTCGTTCTTCGCGGGACAAGTACCGCACTCGCTCTCGTTCAAGCCTGTCCCGCGGACACGTATCCAGCTCAATGGATCTGCCCTCGCCGTAGTCCAGCCAGTAAAAGAAGTTTTCCTTGGCGCTGGAATTCTTCCACTCCTCGTGGTACATGCGCAAGTTGCTACCATACCGGTGTTTCGAGTCCACCATTTCCAAAAAGTACTGCAGGCCCATCATGCGAGCAGCCTGGCGGCGCTGGAAAGTCGCCTTGAGACGCTTTTCCTTTGCCAAAGCTTTCTCCTCTGACGTCATGTCGTCCAAATCGCCTTGGACCGAATCAGATTCCGTATCGGAATCATCGTGTCCTGCGTGGCGAGCTACCAAGCTTACTTTTTTCCATTTCTGCCTTGCACTGGCTGGGCGATAATCAACGGGGTCTTCGAGGGCGAGAACCTCGCCGCCGTTGGGACTAGCTGGCGCGACGGCGGTAGGAGCGGCAGAAGGAGCCGTGGCATGGGGCTTTATGACTTGGCGAAACTGGGCTTCTCGAACCGCCATGACCCATCGTGTGCTCGCGTTCAGAGTGTACCCTTCCAGCTCCCGTCTGGTACGGTAGCCTCGAAAGGTCTTTTGGATGACCTTGGCGGCCTTGTCTCGCTCGCGGCTACGATGGCTGGTGTCGGTGGCGTGGGGGATATTATCCTCCATGGAGCGGCGACGCCACTCCTCTCGAGCTCTCCGCCGCGATTCAGCTTCCTTTTCCTCCTGGACCTGAGCGATGTGCTCAAACTTGTCCTGGGACGGCAGCACCAGGGAATCCATGTATTCCTTGGTCTTGGGGACTGATGGGCATGTGCTGACAGTGGCGGTGGTGCTGGCACCGAAGGAAATGGCACTATCAGACGTCGACATGTTCCTTTCGGGCCCGAGGCGCCTGGGCCGTGCGACGATACGATCAATCTAGGTTGGAGGGGGCCGTCATCGGCGGCGAGCTGGTGGCGCCCGACGTCGAGGCGCTTGGGCAGTTGATGGATAAAGTGGGGGGACGTGACGTGACGTCTGACGATGCGATGCTGATGCTGGCCAGGGACGAAGAGGCTGGTGATTGGGTCCTTGGGCTAGGGATCCTGGCGACTCCGGCTTTAATCTGCAAGTCCAGCCTGAGATGCGCAATGCCGGAATCCACGCTGCATGGGGTAGCACGCCGTACGCCGTACGTGGGCCGCAGAAATGTGACAAAACGCCGAGCCGTCGAGTCGTCGAGCCGTCTGAGGTCGGGCTTGGAGATGCTGATGCGTGGGAAATTTGAATATTGCTGGCTGTATGTAGGAGCTGTGGTCTGGTGAAGATGCTCGGTTCGGTTGGTGGAGTGGAATGTCAAAAAAAAGGTCGGCAAATAGGACTACTGCAAGCATAGACACGAAGTTGACATGATGCCGTACGCAACATGCCGTGCCCTAGCGTGAGCCCGTGTCGTTCGAAAACAGCTGCAGATAGATGCGAGGTCGTGGCCGCGCAGAAGCAGGAGGGAGCGGGCGTGACGGGTGGTGAAGCCTTGTCCGCTTGGAAGCCGGATTGGAGGATGCTTTCTCCAAACCCCCACCGCAGTTGGCAATGACAACAACCACGGACGCAAAGCGCAATATAATATATGCACGGAGAAGACGGGCCGACCGAGTTAAAATGGGCAAGTCACTAGAACTTGTTTCACGACCCGCAGACAACCACCGCGACCCTGTCCCAATTGAGCGCGTGAGGGTCGGAGGGCCGCCCTGCTGATCACGCTGACGACCGAGACGATGTGGTGGCGAGGCATTCTGCGAGGTTGAGCACGCGGCTCGCCAGTGAGCTTACGATACCTAAAGAGAGCTGAGATGACCATTCACACGCGCGCACGGTCTTTTGGTTTCTTCTTTGACTGCTATCAAATATGCAAGACGGAAATTATTCGGGGCCGCTACGCTACCCAAAGAAGAATAAAGAGAAATAAATAAAGTAGATACAAGAAACGACGTGCTGTGTACCGGTAAGATGGTTTCATTCATGTCCGACAACAGCCCACGCTGCTCAAGCCGCGGTCCATTCATCCAATGAAGTCGATAGCCTCATGGTATGGTCAAGAGAAGAGAAACTCCTTGAGGACCGGTGACCCTGAAAATTCCGGATTCAATAATATGCAGCTGCGCCGTGGCATGTCAGCAGAGTCCCTTTGGAAACGGAAAAAAACTAAAGGCGTCATGATACTCGTCACCAGGGACCTGGAAGGTAAATTTTTCATGTATTTATTCTTGTCAAGGGTTTTTTTCTTTCTTTTTTTTTTTAACCCCAGAGGAATGAGAACATGGAGGGCAAAGCTGACAAAGTGCTCAAAAAATTTGACGCGCGCGCAAAGACGTACTTGAGAAAATATTGCAGGCCGGCCCGCCTCTTGTCGAGAAATTTGGGTCGAAACCTGGAAATGACGCTCTTGGGAGGCAGTGACGGCACAGCCCCCTCGAAGCCGGGGAACGATTTAACAAGTTTGGCGCGGAATTCGTCAAATTCCGAGTAACGTTTCCGGATGTTCATGTAGCTTCCCTGGCGCCAGCACAAGTCAGCATCTGTTTACCGCGTCGTGGATGAGGCCTTTGGCAAACGCAATTGCAAGATGAAAAGGAGGGGATGGACATACACTCAGCGTCTCTACACGGACGTTCCAGACCACAAACGCCCCGACACTTGTTGCTCCTCCATTGACAACGGTGTAGTTGATGACCTCAACGCTCCGTGCCCAGCATGCATTGTTCCGATCTTGGTGCTCGCTCGTGTCGTTGTCTTGTAGGACGATGGCGCCGGCGGGCAAGATGGACTCGACCGAAAGGTTGGATATATTGCGGTGGTGAGCATGGGCGTTCATCCAGTACGGCGGGCTCGCGACTGAGCCGTTGGACAGTGTTGGCGACGCTACATCCCCATCGTCGTGCGACACATTGTCTTGGTCGTGTGCCTGGGCGTTGCGGCTCGGCAGCGGCGGCGGCGGCGTCGTATCCGGACATACTACCATGGAAGATGCGAGTTCCGGGGCTTCGTTTTCAAACTGGCTCCCTGCCGCCGGCATCTCCTGGGCTTCGGCCGGCGCCATTCGGCCATGTGCGAGCCGTGGCTCATGTGTCTTTCGGCAGCTGTTCCCTCTTGGGGCGAGACGGGGTCGGGTATACCGTATGTCGGTCGGTCGTGCGGGCTTGGGCTTGAGAGATGGGGCTCGGCTCGCAGGCGTCGTTGCGGAAGCAAGCCTGACCAGGTGCGGGGTTGTAGTCGTTGGCCGATCAATTGGCAAGGTTTTGGGCGCTGGATCGGGAGGCATTCATGCAAGCGGGCATGTTGGGCTCTGGATCAGAGAAGCTTCGCAACCTGAGCGCGCCGTGGAATGGTAGCACGCTTCCACGTCCAGCCACGGCCCACGATGGGCGATGGGCGATGGACGTGGACGATGGACGCTGGAGGATGGACAAAATGTGGGGCCGAGCCGTCGCGGTCAGCTCGAGTGGCGCCATCTCAGATGGTCCCAAATCCGTAAAACGTGCCTGATCAGTGATGCACACGGAATGGTGAGAGGAGCGTGGGATGCCTTCATTGCAGCTATTTATCGGACACTTGAAATCATTCCGAGTTGCCAAGGAATGATTCTCCGATGGCCTTGGCTGATGGTTGTGTTCTGATAAAAACACCAGGTTTGGTTGGTACTTTGGTACCTAGGTACTCAAATACCTTACTTGGCCCTCTGTCTGGTACGTACTTGGGCCCTTCAACGTGGACGGAGAGACGCAAACCTTCGTATAGCCTTCGTGTCTGCGCGCACCGTTTGCAACACCAACACCATGCAGAGGGGGCAATTGATGCACGAGCTTCTGACAATGGCTCAACTTGATACTCACACATACGGGGGTTGGGGGTTTACGTACTCGGCGGACCAGTGACAGCTCCGCAGCCGTCTACCACAACCTTGGGCCCGTCAAGATTGAAATAGAATTCACTCAGGTTGCTCAGCAGTGCCGTTCCGTTCGTTGGGAAGCGCCCGAGAGCATGCAAACGGCTGCCACTAAGTACCTGGCCATGGAGATGTTGTCGAGTTTGCATCGGCTGGGTCCGTCCAGAGTTCGGACCGGACGTTCTTGTCGGGCAGTGCGCGGCCTCGTATTCCTCGCCCTCGTGACGTGATGAGCGAGCGCCGCAGAGCGATTCATTCCATCCAGGCGGCGAAACGTCAACGTGCCATTGTGCCATTGACGCTTGTTGGACGCCACAGCCCTCCAATCCAGGCTGCCGACTATCTGGCACCTCGAGAACGTCGGCCTCCACCTCTTGTTTGATGCCGCTTGGCCATCGCGAGAAGAGGAGCTCCACGACAGGTCTCGTCAATTCCAGACGCACCCACCACACAATTACCCGACCTCGGGTCCGCATCCGAGCATGCTATACTCCCTCCGGAGCAGACAAGGGGGCGGCGGGATGAGGCATGCAAGCAAGCAGCAAGCAAGCAATGCGCATGATGACAACTTGGCTGCCTGGGCCGTGGCCCGTGACCACCGTCTTTTGGTGGCAGAAGGGGCACCAAGCTTTTTCAACCTATGGACATGTGCTAGACTGAAAAAAGAAAAAAAAAAGAAAAAAAGAAGACAGAAAAAGAAAAAATAAGAGAAACAAGACGGGCCCGCCTAGGGACGGACAGAGTACGTAGCTGGCACTAACTTGCCAACTACGTACTCCGTACGGAGTACTACATGCGCATCCCGCAAAACAATCCTCGTCGTCGTATGGCTCGTACACATCTGGTAGCATCGAGGATGGGGGCCGTCGTGGACAAACACAACGTTGAGTTACCCACAGGACCAGTCTGGACAATGGGGGGGGGGTGGCTCATCTACCTGAGACCTTGACCGAGAGACTCGTCAATCACTTTTTGTGTTTCCTTCCCACGTTGACTGCTCATTGCCGGCTGCGCACCCCGCGACCTCTGTCCGCTGCAATGCATCTTCTCAACTGTTCAAGTACAAGAATACTTACTCAAGTACGGAGTACCGACCTCACTACAGGTAGTCGGTGCCTGGGTACTCGAGTAGTCATGTACTCCTGCTTGTTGGCAGATGGCCCGGAGCCGACCATGCTGATGCGGAGCTGGATAGCTTCACTTGCCCGGGATTTCTCCTCCCCCGCGCCCACTTTTCTCCTCTTCCTTTCCTTCCCTCCCCCGTTTTATTTGACAAGACAAATTTAGGTTTCCAATACGGAGTACTCCGTAACTACTACAGTAAACCAGGTCTATAACGATAACCTTCGTGAGCAATTTTGCATCGTTATAACCCGACTACAGGGATTATATCGCTAAGATGCGACTACCATTTTAGGAAAGAGCCCCACATAGCCCCACTTTTGCTAGTAGATAAGGCTGATAAGGCCTGATAGAGCCTGATAAGGGATTTTAGGGGGGGTAAGGTGGTGTGTAATTATAAACTTACATATATTAATAAGCAATATTTACAAGAAAAATCGCTATAGATAAGAAGTCACTTTTATATATATAACATATAGGAAAGGTACTTCACGCCTAGGCGTGTGTGCCGAATCGCTATAACAGGGGATCGTTATAAACCTGCTTTACTGTAGTAGTTCTCCTGGGCTTGCCAGAGCTTGACTACCCACCACGTACTCGTTATGTAATAAAGTTTCAATTGTTGCGAGTCTTGACCATCCCAAATCCATCATCCTTGTCCATCTACTGCCACCCTGGTCAATCGGGCTGATCCGTGAGGCTTGACCTCTCAACTCTCAAGTATTCTTCCCCCCCCGGTATTTGACCATAATTATCCCGCTGGGCCGCCTGCTCGCTCGCCTTCAAGATGTCACCTCCTTTCTTTGTGACCTCCGTTTGCTTGCCCATCGCCGTGTTCATTTGCTTCTCTTCTTAAAGTCACTCGTTGATTCTGTTTGACTCTTTGCTTCATCATCCCCGGTTGTTGCCAACTTGCATTTCACGTTTCCTCGGAGTCGGCTGTACTGCGTGTAAGGCGCCTAATTTGTTCGACTGTAAGACGGGAAGCTCCTACTCCGAGCCGGTTGATACCAGGCTTGCATCTGCCACCTTTCCACCTGCGTTACATTACACCTACGATGTCTACCAGACGCTGACTCTATGTACAATTTGCCAGCTCTCCTTGACGGTTCCGTTGCGAGACCAGACAAGACAATGCCTTTGTCCCGAACCGTGTCGTTGTTGGCCGCGGCCGCCTCCTCCTTCTCGGCCGTCGCCAATGCTGATTATACCATTGACCCCAACAGCGTTCCCCTCGCCACCAGAAGTGAGCAGAAGCGTACATTTCCGAGGCCGGGCCGTGGATGAAAGCTGACCGTATGCATCAGAGACGTGGTGCGGTTCTCAGACGCAGACATGCCCTTTGCTCTGCCAGCAAATGGAACCACGAACCACACTGGAAAACACCTGTGACGCTGTCTGTCCACCACCAACGCAAGACTTGCTGCTTGCCCACTCTCCGGCTCCGAGTTTGAAGTGCTGACTTTTTCCCCCTCTTCATCTCCGTACAGGACGCCCTCACCTATCAATGCCTCTGCGGCAACAACCAACAGCCTAATGTTTCCCAGTACACGATGAGCTTGCCTTATTTCGTTTGCATACAATGGGGAATCGACTGCCAAAACAACTGCCCTACAAACGCCTGCAAGTCGGACTGCGTGCAGAAAAATCCTTGCGGTGCCCAGGACCCCCCGAAGCCCAACGCGAGCAAGACTGCTGATGCCAAGCCGACCTCTTCCAGTGGCTCAAACACCATCTTCTCAGACGCACCGGGGGGCGGCAGTGCCGGTGGAAAGAACGGGGCCGGCGCAGCCCTCGAGGTCGGACGCACCTATGGACTGGCCATCGTCTTGACCGGCCTGTTTGCCGGATTTGCCTTTTTGTAAGGGACGGCGGCGGCGCGAGTACGCGCGTATGTCTGGGGTTGCATACGACTTGCCCAGATGGGATTCGAATACCCTGGGCGGTCCAGGAGCTTGGGGTGTTGATTCTTTTCGTATCGCAGTGTCTGGTTTCGTTTACGTTGGATGTGGGGGACCGTAATATAATACGAGCGTACGTAGGCTTCTAGAATTGGTCGAGAATTAGATTGGTTAATAGTTTCCGATGTCCATGGAATAATACAATACAATACAAGCCCGGGATCATTGTAGCAAGACTCTAACCGCTGCTGTCAGTGACTTGCGTAAGCTGCCCGTGGACTTTTCAAGATGTTGTGCAAAGTGGATTTTGGGCGATTAAACGCGACGGGGCAGTACGGCCTTTTACGTGTTATTTTATATGTAATTCATGTACCTTCAGCTCCACTCAATGTCACGGCCGATGTCCCAGATGCCTTCTTACATACTTCAGCAAGTATGCAGCAAAAGATATTTTGGTGCCCACGGGCAGAGTGCGCCACGGACGCTTCGACACAGATCAAGTCTCTTTTCCTGCGGCGACCGGGCCACTTGGAAAAAAAAAAGAGTTCCATGTGCTCCCTCGGCGATGCTCTGCTTTGTGGAACGCTGTGGAGCGAGCCTCGCCGCTCGACAGGACTACGTAATGTACTTTAGTAACATCTAAGTACTTGTAGGAAGGCCACCATCTTGCATCTGTCATCTAGCACTCGAGTATCTTGCTTCCCCACGGGACCCCACTGCTGGCTCTCGAGTCTTGAGAGTGAACAAAGTCCCGTGGTGGTGCTGGCCAGGCTGTATTCGTGAATCATGGTGAGTGCTCAGCGCCACCTGGGCCGAGGTTGCAACGGTGCATCTCAACGAAGAAATCGGGACCCAATCAACGGCGGCGGAATCGCTCGGGTCCCGGCCAGCTCTTTGCAGGTGAGCACGCGCGAGCGGCACACCATCAGAGGCGGCTTGGAGCGGTGGGAAGCCTGGTGCACAAGTGACAAGAGAGTGATGTGGTTTTTTCTTCCCTTGGATGTGTGCGTGTGCGCGTGCCTGTATCGTCAGTTTGAAGGTAGTAGTCATTTTCAGCGGCATTTGAATGCCTCGTGGCTTGACGGCTTGTTACAGTGACACTGTACGGAATAATGATGGAAAAAAAAAAGGAAAAAAAAAAGGCTCGGATTCAGACCGGACCGGTAGACCGCAGCACCACCCCTGCTATTGCCCTTCTGCCCTAACAGAGTCCCTCCCCGTCTCTCGCTGCCGTGCACATATGGTCCGCCAACTCATCCATCTTTATTTTGGTCTCTCGATCCCCTGCCTGCCTCCTTGTCCCTCGATTGGTGCAGTATTACCCTTTGGCGTTTTTGCTCTAAAGACTTGCGTCAGAGCCTGCACGCAAGGACCAGTCACGTTTGTTTCTCGAGCTCGCAGCTCACATCTCCCTCGCACCCGCACGGACACAAGCACTGGCACCGGCACCGGCACCGGCACCGTCATACAGGCTACAGACGTACGAGGGGGAAAACAGAGGGAAAAAAAGGCACCGAAGCGTCACCAGTTCTCCGTACCCCGTGCATCGTACGCGTCGTACATGTACCGTTCCCCTCCACCCGCCTCCCCACCGCCTTCTCGCCACGGGTCGCTTCTCCTGATTCTGCCGCCATGGTCATGTCTTCGGGAAGTGACAACTACATCGACGACACGCTGCCGCGGTACGAACGAGATCGCTCATTGCCGTTGGCCGACAACATGGCCCCCAATACGAGTGCGTTGCTCTTGATGGCCCTGTATCTGGTTCCCTTTTTCTTTTCGCACTGTCCTTGCTGTCACCGCCGAGGTGCGAAGCTCAACCAAGCTTAGCCTGCTGACGCTGTCCTGGTCCGACTCTAGAAAAGGCCGCCGCCGAGTGCATCTCGGATGATGCGCTGATACACCTCAAGTCCTACAGGTATTCGAGCGTGGACAAGTCGCCCGTGTCCAAATATATTCTCGGCCACTGGGTGTGTCAAGACCCGTCTTGCTCCTCCTCTCGACATGGCTAGCTAACTGTCAACATATATAGTGGAATGCCTTTGTAAACGTTTTGCCGCTATGGATTGCCCCCAACATGGTCACCCTCCTTGGCTTCTTTTTCATCCTGGGCAACATTGGCCTGCTGGTAATGTACATGCCCGACTTGGTCGGACCCGTATGACCCTCTTGCTCAGTCCTCCTCCCCTTGCAACTGCATGTCAAAATCGACTCGTGCTGACGTCAATTGATGGCTTCAGGGACCGCCGTGGTTATATTTCAGCTTTGCATTCGGCCTGTTTATGTACCAGACCATGGACAACGTTGATGGCAAGCAGGCGCGGAGGACCGGAACATCGAGCGGCCTCGGCGAATTATTCGATCACGGCATCGACTCTCTCAATTGTACCCTCGCCAGTTTGCTCGAAACGGCTGCCATGGGATTGGGAACATCCAACGCTGGCATCTTCACCGCCCTCTGCCCTTGCCTGGCCATGTTCTTTTCCACTTGGGAGACATACCACACCCACACGTTATATCTCGGCGTCATCAACGGCCCTACCGAGGGCTTGCTCATTGCATGTGGCATCATGGTTGCCTCTGGAATATGGGGTCCTCACATATGGACTCTGCCTCTTGCCAATGCCCTTGGTGACACTTTGCCCGGCCTGGCCGAGATGCTTGGCCAAACATCGTTTCGGGACATCTGGGTCGGCTTGATCATTGTTTCCTTGCTTGCCGGGCACATTCCCTTTTGTCTGTACAACGTCGCGTGCGCCCGCCAGGAACAGGGCCTTGCCGTCACCCCCGTCTTTGCTGAATGGACCCCAATGGCTGTTTTCACCCTTGGAGTTGGAGCCTGGGTGTTCTCGCCATACAGTACATTGATGACGGACAACCACCTCGTCTTGTTCTGCCTGACCATGTCGTTTGTCTTTGGTCGACTGACAACCAAGATGATCCTGGCGCACCTGACTCGCCAGCCATTCCCATATTGGACGGTGATGCTTGCACCCCTTGTCGGCGGTGCGTTCCTCGGAAACTTGCCTCGGTTTGGACTGCCCCAGGTTGGCGCAACTATGGAGCTGTACTACTTGTGGGCATACTTCCTCTTCTCCCTGGTGGTGTACTTCCGCTGGGCATATCTCGTCATCAACGCCATTTGCGACTATCTCGGCATCAATGCCCTAACGATTCCTAAAGAGAAACAAATTGCCAATAAACAGGCCCGAAACGCTCCAAAATTGCATTAAATTACCATTATAGTGTCGCAAATACGGCTAAAAATACACGAACACACACACGCACACACACGGAGCAAATAAACCGACAATGTTGGACGACGCGACGACCCAGCTTTTGCAAGTCAGTGTCATAACACCGCCCGATATCACATACGAACGGAGACCAATCAGCAAGCGGTAGCGGGCCTATTTACATTGGTTCATCAAACTAAACAGGAATTACATCTTGTAGATTCTTAGGAGAAATGGGCGCTGTGAACGCTAGAGTTTCTTCTCAGAAAGGAGGCCAATGACGGTTTTTTTTCGAATATAATTAACCGTTCTACTGGGCCGAATCGGGCGGGTGTTGATGTCCTCCTTCCCTTTTTTCCACTCTTGTCCCTTCTGGACTAGAGGGCTATAATTTTGTGTAGTCTGCATCGATGGCACTATATGTGGTTAGGACCGGCACTGTTTGCAATAATACATGATTTGTTCATGATGTTGGGGTGCTGGCCACGCATGTTCAGCGCCATCTGGCCGTTACCTTTGACATTTGCGTCGTTGTGCAGCCTCCATTGTCCTCTTGCACGTCTTGGCTTTCATCTTGATGCACCTGGCCAACTCGGGCGGCCGACTGACTGTATCTCCTTCCCCGCTACAGAACTTGGAACGTGTTGATGAGTGTCGGGTGCTCTTGATTGTTCGTGGGAATGCAAAACAAGTAATGTTTTGACCACGTATATGTGGTTTCAAGGTTCAAGCATTCGTTGCCGAGTAAGGCTCCAGCCATATGCCCTCATGACCAGAGGTTCATGTCCGACTAGAATGGCTGCTGTTTGGATCACTACGTGTGGGATAGGTATCAGAAGTGATCTGGTCTGGAACGTAAATACGATGCCAAGCATGTCATGTAGGTTGAAACACCCTTTCGTGAGTGAATACCAGACTAAGATACCGTAAATGCATCTATGAGGGGATATTGAAATCCCAACTTGCCTTTCCATATAAATGTGCCTCACATTCGTCCGTTCTCTGTGCCAGAATGGTCGTCGTCTGCCGCGTTCCCCGACGCTCTGTGCGGCACACGCGCGCGCGAGATCCTGACTAAGCCGCGGCTAGCCCCGCGCCACCACGGCTAGCCGCCTCCTTACGCGCCGCCATCGCGTCCTTGATCCAGTTCCTCCATTTCCGGGGCATGCCCTCGCCGCAACACTCTCTTGAAGGAATCCCTTGTTCCCTTCGTGGCCCGCACGTGTAGCTGGCTCCATGTTGGCACGGGCTTTCCTTCGAAATGGCCTCGGCCTTTTGGTTCCCTTGGCTATCGCCTGCTCCGTCTACTTGTACCTGTACCCCTTTTTCAGCAGATGCGCCTTTCCCCTGCCGTCCCGAGACCCTGACGCTGCATTCGAGGAGACCAAGAAGCTGCACTGGCCATTTGAAGAAGCAAAAGTGAATACGCAGGCAAATGTGACGCCCACCAGGCAGGCGCCATTTCGACTCCTGGCCTTGGGCGATCCCCAGCTTGAGGGCGACACATCAATCCCGATCGAGTACCTGGGCATCTTCCCCCATGTCAAGACCATTTTCCAACGACTCACTTTTCACATATGGCACGAGTCGCTAAGGGATCGCGTTCGCTTAATACTACATGACGTCATCGACATTTTCTTCGAGGACATCCCCTTCATTTTCGAGTCGTGGCGCAAACGCTTCGACCTGTTTGGCAACGACTTCTACTTGGCGCACATCTACCGAACCCTGCACTGGTGGACGCAGCCTACTCATGTCGGTGTACTGGGGGACCTCCTGGGCAGCCAGTGGATCGAAGACGACGAATTTGAGCGCAGAGGCAGGCGGTTTTGGAACCGAACTTTTCGAGGCGGTGAGCGCGTACCTGATGATGTAGCCATGTGGCCGACTATGCAGCACAACCTGTCCGGCATATTGGGTGCCTCTGCAGAGGGAGAGGTATGGAAGAGAAGGATAATGAATGTGGCCGGAAACCACGACATCGGCTACGCCGGTGACTTGACCCCGGAGCGCATGCAGCGGTTTGAGCGAGTATTTGGCAAGGCCAACTACGAGCTGCGGTTCAGGCTGCCTGTCAGCGACCCAGAAACGAATGCCACAATTCGGGATCCGGAGACAAACCCCGACTCGGCGCGGCTACCCCCGGAGCTGCGTATCATTGTGCTGAACGACATGAACTTGGACACACCGGCGAAAGACCAAGGACTGCAGGACACAACATACAACTTTGTCAACGCAGTCATCGGCACGGCATGTGCCGTCGAACACAAGGGCCAGTTCACCTTGATTTTGACCCATATTCCCCTCTACAAGTCTGCCGGTGTCTGTGTCGACTCACCATTTTTCGATTTCCATGGGGCTCACGACGGAGGAGGCGTCAAGGAGCAGTACTTGCTCAGTTCGGACGCCAGCAAAGGATTTCTCGAGGGCATCTTCGGCATCAGTCGCGACCCCAAGGCTGCCGGCCAAGGCATGGGCCGCCCTGGGCTTGTCCTCAGCGGACACGACCACGAGGGCTGTGACACGTACCACTTTGTCAACCAAACAAACGGCACCACTCCCGACGAAAGATCCTGGGAATCACGCAAGTGGCAGGATGCAATGGCGTCAAACATTCAGACATTGCCACAACATCCCGGCCGGCGAGAGATTACCGTCCGCAGCATGATGGGCGACTTTGGTGGCAATGCCGGCCTTCTTAGCATATGGTTCAACCAGCAAACCTGGGAATGGGAACACGCATACGTTGACTGTCCCCTTGGGCGGCAGCACTTCTGGTGGATGACGCATTTCATAGTATTTGGCGTTTTATTTTTCGGACTCTCTTACGTGGTGGTGGCAATTTTGGAGTCCATGGGCGTTGATGTGGATGCTCATCTTCATCAAGCCTCTGTCTGGACACGGCATCAGTTGGAAGAATGGGAGAAGAAGAGACGGGCTCACAAGACCGGGGTTGTGCCGAACGGAAATTCAAGGGGATATGCCATGGTTGTTGGATGCGGGCAGGCATTTTGAAGCATTTTACATTGCGCTACTTTCTTCTCTTGCCAGCGTTGCTGCTTTGAGACTTGTTTGCATGGTTTTGAGGCGTTCTTCAACAAGGGTCTATGATTGTTTGCCCCTCCGGAGCGTGCAACCCCGGCGTGGTGTAGGTATGGATTGTCATTCTTTCTTGATCCCTTTCTGAATAAACCGTGCTCGATGGACAAGACGGTTGCATCTGGCGGATGGCCAGCTCATTCGCAGGCCTGGTAGATGGTTGAACAGGCATGGGAAGGGTTCGGTCGTTGCAAGACGGTACTTGGACGAGAGGAGGTACAACCACCCAACGGAACAAGGTGCTGGCAGTCCGACGAAGTCGTTCGAGTAGGCGTCCTGGATGATGGATGGACCCTGCAAGATGGCATGGCCTCTGACACGCCAGTCTAGGAGCCAAGAGTTCGTTCGTCACGCCCATGAATTAGCAATGCCAGCCGGCATCATGTATCAACAAGAACTGCTAGGCACACGCGTCGACTTGGTGCCGACCTTCGGCAGATTAGTGTCTCAGTCTATGACATGCCACACATCCACATGTTTGCTCCGACGATACACTGCAACGGATGCTCGTGATACGGACACCGACCCTTGAGACTGCCATTGAATCCGGGACGACGACGAGCGACCCGCGAGTCTTGCTCTCGACAGTCGGACGTCGGGGAGCGAGTATAAAGGCAGATTCTTCCTGCAGTTCCAACACCAACCCCCCCTTGCAAGCTCAACCACGTTGCAAAGCAGATGCCGTCTCCTCCCAGGCGGCCTCACCACCATCATGTATCCGTTTGTCCTTCTAAACTGCATCCTCGCCATCCTCACCCGCGCCCACGCGGCCCCAAGACCCGACACACTCGCAACACCATGTCCCCAGTCCAACGCGAGCTCCTTGTCCTGGCCGGCAACGGCCTCCTCGGCTGCCACACCCGGCCCGGGTGCAGACGGGTGCGCCCCAGGCGGCGTCTGCGATTGCTCACGAATACCTGACAAGAATAGCGACGTGTTTGTGCCGTTGGCCCGCCCGCACCTGCCAAGTTACGGAATCACGCTCGCCCGCTGACTGACGAACACGACCAGGTTCTTTCAATGCGTCACCAATCCCAACTGTGAGCACTGCCGGATCGAGACACCAACCACGTCCACCGCGCCGGCATCCTCGTCGCCCAAGACTCCGACTTCCGCAGCAAATGCCACCAGCGTCTCCGTCACCAACTACCGCACAATGCCGCCCGGCACCTACACCGTCACGACCAACGGCACGGTGCTCGATATCGTCGTCACCCAGGAAACCGCCACTCCTACCTCCTCGCAGGCCCTGGTAACCACGACAGAGACGGTGGTAATCACCGTCCGGCCCGTCTCTACCGCCACCACCAGCAAAACCAGCCCGACCGCCACCTCGGACCACGATTGCGCCGGACGTTGTGACTGCTCCAGAGTCGAGGACAAGAACAGCAAGGAGTAGGTTGTTCTCGCAAAGCAAGCCACGGCTTGGCTTGTGGCGACGAGCGGGCTAACTAGGGGCAGATTCTTCGAGTGCCTCACCAGTCCGGACTGCGAGCACTGCCGGTCCGCGAATGCAGTGGACCGGGCTACCGAGACGTCTGCTTCTGGCGTGGTTTCCACGACGCCTACTGCCTCTGGCGGCGCGACGACTTCATTTCTTGGTGTTCCCACGGACGCGTGTCCCCAGTTCTGCGACTGCTCGAGCATTGAGGATAAAGAGAGTGAAGTGTAGGTTGGGTCTGTTTTGCTGTCTCGTTTTCAGTTCTTCCCTCTCCTCCCCCTCTTCCCCCTTTTGTCTCTGTGTGGGTGTGCCACTAACGTGGCTCAGATATCTCCAATGCATCACCAACCCTGTCTGCGAGAGGTGCGAACGCAGGCGGTAGACACCAGGTAGCGAGGTCCAGACTCGAGAGAGCGACGAATTCAAGTCCAGTGGATAATACACGAAAATCAGGGCCAGCTATGAGTGATTGGATATTCAACTAGTAGCTTGCAAGGCATGGCTATTCAACTAGTAGCTTGCAAGGCATGGCTCGGTAATAAGAAGCCATGCGGCGCAGCCACTTTGCCAGAGCGAGTGAGTAGAGAGAAATGGAGAAATATCAGAGATTGACCGTGCCGCCCAACCTCAAAACATGATGTCCAGCTCCGTAACGCCATTCCCGGCCCCGTTTCCCAATCTTCAGGCGAACGTGGTCCATTTACATTCATGAATCCGTAACACGGTCATATCAACGGGTTGCGCTACGCCACTACCAACATACCGTGATGGGGTGCGTAGCCTTCCATGAGGACAGTATCGAATAGCTGAGCCGCGCGCTCCTTATTGCGTTCCGCCTCGTCCTTGTCCGGCCCGTCCGTCCATCCGCGTTCGGGTCCCCAGAGAATTTGCCGTCCTGACTGAGAAGCGACCTCGAGCAGACCCCGCATCATGGCGCCCGACTTCTTGACGCCGGGATAACCCTCAAACTCGATGGCGACATGGCTGGGAATTTCACTCAGTACGTTGCCGAGCAATTTGCTGCAGAAGCCTTCGTAGAAACCGTCCGATCGACGAAACCCGTCGTAGATGCAGTCGCTTGGGTCGCACTCGACGTATACAGTCAATTTGCGAAGATTGCTGCAGTCTTTCAGGCCAAGGGCGTCGTTGACTACCCATCCCCTAGGAGGGCCAGTCCAGCCGGGTCCAAGTCGAAGCTCCAGCGCCGTAATGCATCCACGTTGGCACGGTTTCAGACGAGCCAAGAGTGGCTTCTTTGACTTGAAGTACTTGCCCGGAAAGGTAGGGAATATTCGGACGGCACGGGAGCTGAAAAAGAAATGAGTTACTTCGGCATGGACCTGTTTGCACGCACGAGCAAGGCCGAGTGCCTTGCGGTATCTCTTGTGGTTGCCGGGTTCGAGGTCCAGAACCTGGTCGGCATTGCTCCAGTAGTGCTCATAGACCTTGACACGCAGTTCGGATGGCAATTCGAGGAAGCGAAAGGGCTTTTCCGGCTCGCGAATCTTGCGCCTGAATGGTACTAGGGGCGTATCGAGCGTCAGGGAAGCAATTTGGAGTTGGTTGACATTGTCGGCTTCAACTTCGGATGGACACGTTGACGAATATGCCGAGCTTGGCAATGCAGTCGCGGCAGAGGAACTAGGCGTCGTATTCTGGGGCGTGGAGCCCCCGAGAGGCTTGGAGCCTCGCCTAACAGGGCGTCTGGGCATCTCCGAATGGTGGTTTTTGGTGTCGCTGTGTCACTGTTCCGCGTGGAAGTGCAAGTTCAAATGTTGGTAGGTGGCGACTTTGGCGCGAACGTCGACACGAGGTCTGAGCCTCTGAGGCGGTATCGAGATGGCAACGAAACGGTTTCTTCGATATGATGCGACAGCGGCCGGGATAAAGATAGTTGCAAGTTTTCGACCGCCGAGTGTTCAGCGCAAGGCGTTTGAGTGTGATCTGTGCAGGTCCCGGGTCGCGAGTTGGCTCACGGAGGGTGGTGCCATGGCGATTGGCGCGAAGACTCGGGAGACCACCCTCTAGAATGCAGCACACACAGGCATATCGATGCGGGCTGTCGCTCGGTATTGTATATTCAAACAAGAAATATTGGCTCGACAAAAAGGGAGGTGACGATGCGGTCTTTGAGAAGGGGCGAGGTCTCGTGACGTTTGAATCAGAATCAGGGATCAGGGGTGAGGGGAAGTTGGAGAGAGGAAGGACACTAGCAGACAGCAACAATGTTCCAGAGCCACGCTTATAACGTTAGTCACCCGACTTGCCGCCCTGGTACTCGAGGTAGTCTTTCTTGGGCCGAGTCCGCTGCGATGCTCGAGAGTCAAGACTACCTCCCAGTGCCCGCTCAGGTAAAAAGTCGGCGGTGAGCTTCTTCCCCTCAATTTTTTTTTTTTTTCACTTCACTTTTCTTTTTTTTTCTTATTGCAGCTAGCCATGTCTGCCTGTCCAGTCCTAAGTACTCCGTACCTAGGTAGGCAGTAAAAGGCTCCAGGTCAATTGGACCAACCATACCGCGTTTAAGCCTCGGCTAATCAGACGCGGGCTGCGCCCCCACTCACAAATGCTAGTAGAAAAGGACGACCACTTGTCGGCGCGCGCGCACACCACTGGCACTGAGGTCATTTGACCTGCAGTGGCTCCTAGTTCATCCAGTCAGCCGGGAGAGGAAGAAAAAAAAAAGAAGACCAGTCCAGTCTCAAGCAAGCTCCTCGGCTCTTGTAACCAGCACTTTTCAACGCGAGCATACGCCATTCGACAATCGGGCCGCCCGTGGGCTGCTGAGCTTGTGAGAGCTGATTGTACGTGTTATTGATTCATTTACCCATTGCGCTCATTGCGAAATCAATCCCGTCAAGATGCTGTCGAGGATAGCACGCGCCCCGCGCCTGGGCATCATGGCCGCTCAGCTGTCACAATCCGCTGCATCGCCAGCTTTGCGAAGTAGGCAAACAGCCGTACCAGTCTTGCCCTGGACGCGGTCGTTTGTCAGTAACAACAAGCCAAGTGGTAGAAACAAAAACGAGAGTCGGCCAGAGTCGTCAAACCAGCCCCCCGAGTCGGAAGCAGACTCCAAACCTGCAGCCTCACAGGACACCCCCACGCCCGCATCCAATGAGGCCCATGCCGAACCATCTCAGACTTCGAAAGAAGCCGAATCCATCCCCTTCCACAAGCTTCCTGATTTGACACAGGGTATTCCGTCGACGCTGGACGCAGAACTGCGACAACGCTCAGCCCAGGCCCACTCTGCGATTGAGGCCGTGGAGCAGGGAGACGAATCCGATGGCCGTGGCAGGCGAGAGCGCCCCGAGTATGTGTCGACGAGCGACCGCAACCGAAAATGGTGGGCACGGTTTATGCTGGCCGCCGCCGCCGCCGTAGGATCCTTCGGCGTCCTCTACATGGGTCGTGAGTGGGATGATGTCGAGGCCCAGCGCCATAGTGACGTTCCCAATGGCTGGAGCTCCACGCTGTGGTGGCAGAGAGTCAAGGCCCGTATGGGCGAGTCGGTGTCGTACTACCAAGATCCCGCATTCGACAAACTGCTTCCAGATCCCGATCCCAGCTTCGAGCGGCCATATACGCTCTGCCTAAGTCTGGAGGACCTCCTGGTTCACAGCGAGTGGAGCCGCGACCACGGCTGGAGGGTAGCCAAGCGACCAGGCATGGACTACTTCGTCCGATATCTCAGCCAGTACTACGAATTGGTCCTCTTCACAACTGTGCCGTTTGCCATGGGCGAGCCCATCGTCCGCAAGTTGGATCCCTTCCGTTTCATCATGTGGCCGTTGTACCGCGAAGCCACCAAGTTCGAGGACGGCGAGATTGTCAAGGCAAGGTCCAATGTCCATGTCCGTACAGGACCACCCAGCTAACCCTGTGAACAGGACTTGTCGTACCTCAACCGGGACCTGTCCAAGGTCATCATCATCGACACCAAACCACAGCACATCCGCAAGCAGCCAGAAAACGCCATCGTGCTGCAGCCGTGGAAGGGGGATTCCAAGGACAACGATTTGGTCGGGTTGATCCCCTTCCTCGAATACATTCACACGATGCAGTACTCGGATGTGCGCAAGGTTCTGAAGTCGTTTGAGGGCAAGCACATCCCCACCGAGTTCGCCCGACGTGAGGCCATTGCAAGGAAGGAATTCAACAAGCAGCTGGAGCAAAGGAAGAAGCATTCCAGGGGATCCGGCGTCGGGGCGCTCAGCAACCTTCTCGGACTGAAGCCCGCAAACATGAGCATGACCGTGGCCCCGGAGGGCGAGCAGAACCCGTCAGAGGCCTTTGCCCAAGGCAAGATGCTGCAGGACCTTGCGAGAGAGCGGGGACAGCGCAATTACGAGCTCCTCGAGAAGGAAATCCGCGAAAACGGCGACAAGTGGCTCAAGGAAGAGCAGGTCGCAATGGAAAAGGCCCAGCAGGAGGCCATGAGCAGCATGATGGGTTCCTTTTTCGACTGGTTCCGACCCAAACCTAGCGACGCCGCTGGTGCTGGTGCTGGTGCTGGTGCTGAGAAGAAGGCCTAGCCCATCCTCTGACCCGTGCAACTTGCAGATTACGGCCAGTTGGCGTCTTCTCCCCTCTCATCACCTAACATGTAATTGTAACACGCACGCAGACGCACTCGGAACACACACACACACACGCGCGCACACACACAAAAAAAAAGAACAGCAACGGCATGGTCGCAGAAGAAGTTGAGCCATGCCCAAGAAGGGTTCGCGTTGCCGTGTACAAGCTGTCATTACTACTACTATTTGTAACCGGTCATCGGGCAAAGTCATGCGGTGGGCACGCCGCACATAGAGTCTTGTCGCATTTTGTTAGCCAGGGGCGGAGAGAGCGCCGAGGACATGACGGCACAGGCAATGAACCAAGATAGATAATTTGTATAGTAGGTGTATGAATTGAAGCCGGTGTCGGGCAATCTGGACACGTCCTGCCTGGTTTGACGCTGTGTGACAGACAGTACGTGAGTCGTGACTCGCCTGGTCAAACGGCTTAGTAATCCCGCAGTCTTGTCTACCAGACCTAAACCCGGACATTCACTTGCTTGATAGAGAATGCGGTCCAGTTGAGGAGAAGCTTTGTTTTCATGGACAACGTTGGTCGCTAGTCAACATGCTTTGCCGCCTGGAGCGTACAGACGTCCCCAACGCATCTATGCAACCCCCGTGCGTGAAACAAATGCTGGCAATTGCTTGCTAGACAAGTCTACCTTGCCGACCTCATTGAGCACCAAGCAGTGCCAAAGCGTTCCGTAGTTCTTGGACCGCAGTGGGCACATCCTCAAAGTTCAGCGCTGAAATGGCCCATCTGGCGTGTTTTTGCGCCTGTTCAATGTTCTTGTGGCTGGGTGTGAAGCTCGCGGTTGATGCACTCGGTGGCGGCGAGGCGGCCTGGTGAACAGGAACCGGGGCCGGCGCAGCGAAAGGCGGCGCATATTGACGAGTAGCCGCGTGCGGAGGTGATGCATCGGCTGTACTGCTCCATGCTGACGGCGTAGGAACTGATGGCTCGGGAGGAGGCGGTTTCGTGGGTATTTGAGGAGGTGGTTCCGGCGGAGCGTGCAAGCCTGGTGACGGCACAGGCGATGCCTGAGCCGGCGGACCGGGGCTCTGGTTCGACGGTGAAGGTGCAAATGGCTCCGGATGATGGGCCGCGGTCGGCGGAAAGTAGTCTTCTTGCTGGACTGGGGCATCAGGGGGTTCCCCGTCATCGGGAGCGTCTTCGACGGACGCAGCTGACGGGCTCATTATTTGCCGAACTGCCGGGTCGGTAGGGCTCAGAACTGGCTCGAGACGCCCGCCTTCCTGAACCGGGGGGTTGGTATCGTTGGGATCTTTGCCCTCGCGGATGGCCTTCAGGATGCACGCGGCATTCCATTTTGCAAACTTGATCTTTTTGAGGGTTTCGGGGTCGGGGGGGCCCCATTCGCGGGTGAGGTCAAAGAAGGTGGCGGCGGCATCAAAGGTATCTGCTGTCTGTCTGTGCTGCATCAGCTGCATTGCTCTCGGAACAGAGGCATGAGAAGGTGGTATGGATAATGCCATTGAACGCATGGAACCGTTCCGGCCGGGGCGTACCTCGTGACCTTTTTGGCTCGCAGGGTCCTCTCGGCTCGATCCAATGTTTCCTGGGCAAACTGCTCGACATATGCCTGGCCGGCAGTGTTATCGACAATGGCCTCGTCGTCAGCGCGCTCCGACTTGGTGGCCTCCAAGCGCTCAATCAGGGATTTTGTATATGCGAAGCAATCGTCGTCGGTGGTGTGGAGGCTTTTGGTCACGATTTGGTTGACGGCGTGGTACTCGCCTGGTGCAGGTGTCAGGACACGTGGTTTGCCCGGCTTTTTGCAACTGCATGCATGGCGCGTATGCGAGAAGGAGCTTACACCAATATGCGATGGCAGGCTTGATTGTGCGAAGCTGGTTTGCGCGGTTGATGAAGCGGCTGACGCCGGGAGTCTTGAGAGGCGGGGGCAGAGGCTCGGCGCTCATGGCTGGCTGGCTTAGTGGGGGGAGGCTTTGGCAAGTCGCAGGGGCATAGAAAAGTGCCACCAAGTTTGGGAGCGGACGGGAAGGGCCGGGTGAAATGTTTGTAACTCCAAGTTGCCATAGATCAGTGCGAGTCGCGAGGGGATACGGGACATGGACACATTCACTGCAGATGGAAGATGGAAGCGAGCATCGAGGTGGAGCGGAGGCGAGGGGAGGCAGGCGACGCAGGCCCCCGCCACGGCACTTGCCTCGCCCCGGGCCACGGCCACAGGTGGCTTATTGCCTCCAGAGTCCAGATGACACCACCAATAGTACCACCACAGTGCACCCGCCACCACCACCCATGGCTATCACACCGTGGCCTTTTCCCTCTGCCGCCGCCCATCAGCCCATATATTGCTTCAATGTTTTTTTTATTTTTATACACCCAGAGTTAATACTTGGCTCTCCCATCGCCTGTCAGGCTGAGAGGAATCCGCTCCTGCCACCTGGTGATTATTATCACGTTTTCTTGTTAATCCCGCTTCACCCACACCTCTTCTGTTCACCCAACCATGCGGCCTCCTCGTGCCGTCGCCGGTCTGACGGCCTTGCTGGCCGCTGTCCCCAGTGTCCACGCCTCGTACTCCAAAAACCCGTTTATCACGGAGGTCAACGCGAACACTTACCACAGGCAGATATCCAAGTCAAACCACACCAGCGTGCGTTGCTCTCCTTGTCCTAGAATGGCGGTTGTTGACGCCGGGCCCGACCAAAGCCACGTCTGGCTTCGGCCCTTCATACAAGACAAAGCCTGCTCACATTTCTCACAGGTCATTTTACTCTACGCACCCTGGTGCATCCACTGCAAGAATCTCAAACCTGCCCTTGAAAAAGCCGCCGATAACCTCGACGGAGCCGTCAAAATCGCTACCGTTAATTGTGATGATGACATGAACAAGCAGCTCTGCGCTTCTATGGGCGTCCAAGGCTTCCCAACCATCAAGATTGTTCGTCCTGGGAAGAAGCCTGGCAGCAAACCCATTACCGAAGACTACCAGGGCGCAAGAACCTCTGCAGCCATTGTGCAGGCTGCCCGGAGCAAGATCAACAACCACGTTACCAAGGTCACCGACAAGGACTTGGATGTCTTCCTAGAACGTGATGGTCCCAAGGCTATTTTGTTTACGGAAAAGGAAACCACGAGCGCTCTGTTGCGAAGCCTCGCCATTGACTTCTTAGGCGTTATTTCCGTTGCTCAAGTGCGCAACAAGGAGGAAAAGACTGTGGAAAAGTTTGGCATTGACAAGTTCCCCGCGTTTATTCTGATTCCCGCCCGCGACAAGGAACCCTTTGTCTACGACGGCGACTTGAAAAAGAAGGACATGATTGCGTTCCTAAGGCAGGCCGGCGAGCCAAATCCTGACCCTGCTCCGGCAAAGCCCAAGGCCAAAGGCGACAAGAAGCCCCCCAAGTCATCTAAAAAGGCTCAGGGCCAGGAGACGAAGGCGGCTTCTTCCGCCAAATCCGAGGCCGACGAAGCGGCCACGACCCCAGAGGCTTCAACTGAAACAAGCACAAATGAACCTGCGGCTTCGACCCAGGATGTTACCCCTATTACCACCATAGCAGCCAAGGACACATTTGTCGAGAAATGTCTTGGCCCGAAATCCCGCATCTGTGTCCTAGCATTTATCCCAGCTCATGACTCCGAAAACGGTGCTAGAGTCACAGACTCCCTTGCACAGCTCAACACCAAATACGTACGCGGTAACCGGCAGGTGTTCACCTTTCTCGTCGTCCCCAGCGACGTCGAAGGATTGGATGGGGTGCGACGGGCCCTTGGGTTGGAGAAGGATGTGGAGCTCATTGCATTCAGCGCCCGACGCTCTTGGTGGAGACAGTACGAGGGTGACTTTGATGCCAAGAGCGTTAACGCATGGCTTGACGATATACGCATGGGCGAGGGGGCCAAGAAGAAGCTGCCAGAGGAGGTTATCGCGGTGGCTGAAGTTGTCGAAAAGGGCTCAGACCAAAAGGCGGACGCTGGGGAGGACCAGAGGCCTGCCGAGAAAGAGGTCAAGCATGAAGAGCTCTAGACAAGAGCAAGTGGAAATGTAGAGAGCTCCGTGTGCAGCAAGTTTTTCCGACAAGCCAGAGTATAAGTATGCTTCAGGCGTTTTGGCAACCTGCTTCCCTCCGGCTTGCAAATACGTAGTTGAAGGGTTGGCTGCTCGACGTGCCTACCGACGTGAACTACTCGTCCAACTCCATGGCCATGATATCACTTGGTTGTACAGCGCCTTCCTTGATCATCTTGACTCCCCTGTCCTTGATGGTTTTATCGAGGAACATCTTGACCTGCTTGCAGCCATCTAGGCCGACGACAAGCATGCCCTCTAGCCGGCTGACCTGGACTCGGCTTTCGCAGACAAGCGCCACAACACGATCGCTGGAGCCGAGCGTGGCCACGGTAAGAAACGGGAGCTCCTGTTCCTCTTGGTTGTTTAGGTCAAGTAGAGGATCAGCCGAATCGTCGCCGGCGGCGTAGGAAGACGTCGATCCAGCGGTGCAGGCGGCGATGTAATCCGTCATGGGGATGCCAGCATCAATAACAGCGAGAGTGGCGGCGTTGATGAGGGCGGCAAGGAGCGAGCCATCCTGTGACAGGACGTGCAGCGAGACCGTTATGGAAGAGTGCGGGAAGAGATGGCTGTGGATTGTCGACGAGAGCGCTTTGGCAATAGTGATTTCCATCTCTTGAATACGTCTACCGTGCCCCTCGCCACGTCAGCATGTAGAGTCTCTCTCTCTGTGTCCTTTATTTTATTTTATTTCATTTTTCTTTTCCGCGCGGTCAATTTGGGCCTCGGGGGGGTGGGCAGCAGACTTACTTGTCGTTTCGGCCGCGCTTCTTGCGGTCGACGCTTGAAAAGCCAGCAATGACAAGGTTGACATTGATGGAAGCGGTGTCGCGGCCGGCCGCGTGTCCGCCTCGCCGCTGCGGCTGCGGCTGCGGCTGCTGCTGCTCCGAGGGCCCTGTCACGACGCACATGACTTTTGTGTGGCCCATTTCGAAATATGACGACCCGTCTGCGGCGTCCTGTGTGCGTATCTGGGCGTGTAGCCGACGGAGTTCGTTCCAGCGACGGCCATCGACGCGTAGGAGGGCGAGCGAGTATGTAGACGTGTCGAGGGGCATGGCGGAAGCTGGTGTGGCGCTGGGAGATGGAGATTGGATGTCCCTTCCTTGGGGAAAGTGGACGTTTGGAGTTTGAGGCGCTTGGAGGAAGCGGTTTCCGTCGATGTCGCGAGCTGGTGGTTGGACGGCCTTTTTTTTTTTTTTTTTTTTTTTTTTTTTTTTTTAAACAAACTGTGGCTAAGCGTTGCTAGTGCGAATGACAAAGCCGAGTGAGGATGACGGATGATGTGATGCTCACTCCATGGACCGTCTCGCACCGACAGGAGGTTCCGCAGCTCGTCCAATTCCCGCGTCAAGTCCCGTCAAGTTGGCCACGACGAGCAGCAAAGTCTACCGCATCGCCACTGTTACCTGCAGTTCCAGAGAGCCACGGCTCGATCCCTTTATTTCGCAGTACGTCTTGGAGACCATCTCGTCGCTTCAAACCGACATGGTGCTACTCGATACCATAGACCTCCGGGACCAGGCGTTGCCCCTTTACGACGAACCTGAGATACCGTCTCGCCTGCCCGCCGACGACCCGACAGGGCGCTACAAGAACGCACACACGAGGCGGTGGTCTGAGGTTGTGCGCGGCTACGATGCATTATCTTTGTGACGCCCCAGTACAACTGGAGCATTCCCGCAAGCCTGAAGAATGCGCTGGATTATTTGTTCCACGAGTGGATGGGAAAGCCAGCGGCCGTGGTGACGCACGGCGGGAAAGGCGGCGGCAAGGCGGGCGACCATCTGCGACAAATGCTGACTTTTTTGCGGATGCGCGTCATGAAATCAGCGGCGGGACTGACATTGACTTCAAACACCATGGACGACTGTCTATCGGCGCTGCGCTGCGCTGCGAGGCGCAGACTGAGGCGACCAATCGATAATGCAGATTGCCGTCAATGAGCGTTTACACCCAATCCAGCGAGCGACATACTTCATGGTCGAGTTTCTGGGCAAAACGATCCGTCGAGGTGGCCCCTGATATCTGATATTTGATATCTGCTCCGACCATGTTCACACTCAAGGTTTCCCTGCCACTATTCCTCACTCATTCCGACTCGGTCCAACAGACTATCCTAGCCGCACGCCGGCAGGAGACAGGAGGCACCAATCACCGTGCAGGTTGGTCGTCTGGGAAGGGCACAGATACCGTTTGCCAATGGCATTTCCGACCACATCACAAGGCCCGTCGTGTTCCATCTCCGGCCAGCTCCTGCATTGCATGACTGGACAATGTCGTGACGCCTCAACTCAACGAGCAAGATTTGCGTGAGAAAAGTCCCCTCAATTTCGCTTCGACGGCGTCATCGTCTCAACAGCCGTCCGTGCCGGCTGCCCTGACCGCGGAGCAAGAAGCAGCATTCAGGGTTTGGGCCGAATTCCAGAACAACGGGCCATCACTGCAGCAGTCGGCAAACGAATACCTTGAATCCAAGTACAGTCAGTCTTTTCCTGAAGCGGACCTCGAACCCATAATAGACGAGATTTGCCCCAAAGGCACCTCACAGCCTGAGATGGAAGCACCCGAATCAACGTCAGAGTCTGTCACAGAAACCAGGCCTGGCCACAGGAGCAGACTTCGGTTTCCGGGCTACGTACGGCCCCCCTGTTTCGTTTCTGCCAGAACACGACGCACACTTTTCCATTCTGGTGGGAGATCAGGACAGCGGGTGGAAGGCGGCCACTCTTCTCATCCGAGAGTTGTGCATGCTCAAAGGAATTACAGATAAGCCCGAGTGGTGGCGCAAAGTCCGCGACCCAGCGATTTCGGCCAGGTGGAAGGATGAAATGCTCGCCGTCAACGGGCCGGAATACCACGCGCACGCCGACTTTACGCCCAGGATGGCGGATGCTGTGAGTCCTTGTGCATCTGGTTATGGCTTGCAACGGGCTGAATGAGGCACATGAAGCTGACTCGTGCTCGGAAAAGTGTACTGAGGAATTGACAGACAAGGCCGATCTGTACGAGGCGACGGGGCTGATTCCTGTCCTTGACTACTCGGCCTGCGTGGTCAAGTTACTCAAGTCTGACAGCTTAATGGATCAACAACTGACCAAGCAACTGATGGACGCAGCCCGCCCGCTGGAAGACGCGCCCGAACAACAGAAAGATTGGCATCCTGGGAGCAACGAAAAGGTCCTGGATCTTGTCCATCCGTCTCTGTGGCCGTTGGTCTATGGCCGGTCGCGAATCTTGCCAGACAAGGAAATCACCGTTGACAACTGCTTGGATCACATGGGTACGGGCGAGGTCATTGCCAGACCCGACATGGAATCAGATGGACTCCCCGCGTCAACGTCAACAGGCTGGGCGTCCGAACCCGTGTCTGCGTCTTCTGTTCGTTACCAGTGTCTTCCCTGCAATGTTGTGGCGGACGACAAAGGAGAGGCCAAAATCAACAGCTACATCGACAGCCTACACCCGATTGACCACGCAGCGCTCTATGCAATTATTGAGAAATTCATCAGCGAATCTTTGCCAGCGTGGGACCTGGTCTACCGCTAGCCAAAAGAACTCGCGTTCCAACGACTCACCACCATCAGGCAGGAGCACAATGTACAACGCCAGAGGCGTGCAAGGACACGGGTGAATGTCGACCGACAAACAGGCCTGTCAATGACGACGAGCCTCCCCGAGAAGAGCACGAAGAGTATGGGGACGGCTACCAGGAAAGCGAGCGTGGCAGGCTAGACGCCCTGTGGTTCCAGGCAACGCATCCGCAGATGCTACCTGATGCAACATCGGCGTCTGACCCGAGGGAGGAAATGGCGACCAAGACCGAATTCGAGCGCGCAAGGAGGCAACAAGAGCGTTTCAGTGCCATGGCGGACGATATCAAGACGGGTGGGTTCTTCTCTGCAGGCCGCGAGCTTCAAGTCATTGTGTAGCTTGCAAACATCTGCCTTGGGCCTGAAAACCCACCTATGACGGTGGTTCGTGGCACATTGAAGGCCAGCGTAACGAGCAACAGCCCTGTTTTATCACGACAACGAGAACATCACAGAGTCACGTCTAGCCTTTCGCACCTCGTCCAACTCGGAAGACCTGACTGTAAATCTCGAATATACGCAGAATGACGTGCGCTCTGTTGCCAGGACCTTTGCCGTGGACGAGGCCCATGAAGCGACGACGCTTCAAAATATCGGCTCCGTCCTCACCCGGCAGGCGAGGGCGGTTTTCTTCCGCAACCTATCGCAGCATCAAGTCCAGCCGTTCTCACTCGAGGATCCCACTCGTCCGGGACATGGCAAGATTCTGGCATTGTTCCTCGTCGACCCAGCCATTCCAGTCATTTCAACCGCCAACGTGCCGCCTCAACAACGCCATTGGCGGCCAGCAGCGGAGTACATGCGCCGTGGCAGTCGACTTCAACCAGAGCTGGCCAACACGGTTTCGAAGAATGTAGACTCCGTGATTGGCGGAGACGAGGCAAGGGACATTCAGAAGAGACTCATGGCGGAGAGGACGGTGCGGCAGGAGGAGCTGAGTAACGCGTTGCAATCTGTACGGTTTAGCTTCTGCGAGCATTGAGATACAAAGACTGTTGATTACTATGTCGTTTTTAGAACGTACCTGGATGGCTGGCCAAAGCTGTGGCACGGAGAGTTGAAGCCAGCTAAGATGCAGCCCAGCCGCCCGACACGCTGATTGACAGTGTCCATCTACAGTAGAACCTCGAGCAGCATTCCTTTCCGCTGCTCAATGACCCTCGACTCCACCAGCTTTAGCGCCTTCCTGAGATCCGCCACCGTCCTTACTCGCATGCCCTTCATCCAAGCTGCATCATCATCCACCGAACCAGCCCAGCCAGTCTGCGACCCGGCCGCTGCTTCGGCCAAGGCAGCGTAGTTTGGAGTAGGGCGGAAGGAAACGCCAATCTCGTCGTCAGTTGCGCTGGAAGCGAGGCCACCGGGGTAGACGAGTTCCGCAGAGTTTCGAGGAGCTTTCCATCCTACGGGTTCCATGAGTCAAAGGGCCGTGTGTAGGGTGATGAATATTGCCTGCACCAAAAAAAAAAGGAAAAATAAAAATAAAAATGAGACAAAATGAAATCAAAAGGAATGAAGAAAAACGAAACAAAAACGACTTACCTCCGTTATTCAATACAATTGTGAGAATGGGTATCTTGTACTTGCTTGCGACCCAGAGGGCGCTCGAGGGTGCGGCGCACATGAAGCTTCCGTCCCCGACAATCTGACAAACAAGATTTGGGTCCGGCTTGATAATATGGTCCTTGTCGTTTTCACGATCCATCAGTGCCATCTTGACGCCGAGCGCTGCACCGTTGCTCCAGCCAATTCCGGTTGCACCGCAGTTGATCCAGCTCCCGGCTCGGCTGGGCTGCAGCTGGTCAGACAGGGTTTGGGCAGCGGTGACGGCTTCAATCACAAACGTTGTTGAGCCTGGGAGTGAGCTTCTCAGGAGGCTACCGATATTGGAAGCATCGAGAACGTGGTCGTCACCCAGGCGAGCTCGAGAAGCAATGTCCTCCAGGCGAGCTGCGTGGGCCCTGTCGCGAGCCGCTCCGCGCGCCCCGTACTTGGGGTCTTTCAACTGCGTGCCGAGCGAGGCGTCATTCCTGATGTACTCAACAAGCTGGCTCAAGGCGGTAAAGCTGTCTGCTTTCCAGCGCCCGTGGGCGGGGAAGAAGGATACTGGAATCTGCTGGTTGAGAGGGTCGCAATCTACGTGGTAGACCTTGGCGTCCTTTGGCGGCGGGTTTCGCGATGGGATCCAGGGCACGTCACAGTCCAGGAGGAACACCATGTCCGTGTCCTTGGTGCACTCGTCGAAACTCAGGCGGAAGCCCTCCGAGGCGCTGTGGGAGAAGGGGAAGCACATGTCGCTGCCGCCGGTATCGTGAACGCGAATGCCTGGGATGAGATCCGCCAACGCAACGAGAAGATCAGGGCAGCGACGATCTCGGCCCGAGTATCCCGTGACGATGAGCGGTCGTTCAGCTCGCACGAGCGCGGTGGCAATGTCGCGGACGGCATCATGGGGGAGCGCGCCTGGTCCGACGGGCACCCACTGCTCTTGATCCAACGAGTATGGCTTGATCTCTTGAGCCAGGACCTCGCGGGCGCTCGCAACATAGACCGGGCCCTTGGGTGTGCTGTTGGCGAACTGCAGCGCGCGCCCGATGGTCTGCTTGATGTTGAGTCCGGTGCGGACCTCGCCTGTATATCGACAATACTGGCGCACTATGGCCTTTTGATCCGGGGCTTCTTGTAGCCAGTGCATGTATTCCGTCCTCGAGCCCGTGACCTCGCCCGACTCGGTGTAGGGACACATGCCGGCAAAGATGAAGACGGGGACGCGGCCGACGCTGGCGTTGTGGATGCCTTGGCCGAGAGCTTGCGTGCCGACGTCGACGTGCACCAAGACAGCCTGTGGCCGGCCAGATACGCGAGAATACCCGTCGGCCATGGAGATGGCCGTGACCTCAGCTGGGCATGTGACGATCCGAGGCCACGAATTCGGCCGTTCCCTCTTGCCTCTGACCATGGCTTCGATGATGGAGGGGTGATCGGAGCCAACGTTGACAAAGCAAGCGGTGATGCCCGCCTTTGATTGTAAGCTGCCGATCCGTTTGCAGACCATGGACGAACGAACAGGGAGGGGAGCGCCGGCCATACCTCCCAGAGAGCTTCGAACAGAGCAAATGCCGTCGTGTACCTGCCGAGGAAATGGAAATCAGCTCGTCGGTCCCCTCAGCACGCTTGCGGCACTGGAAGGGCACTCACGACCCTTGGGTCGCCTGAGAGGACGCCATACTCGCCCGGCTGGAAGAAACTTGGAGCAGATGCTGGCTGCTGGTCGAAAAGGGAGCTCCGGCGCGTGGTGGTGCCGGGAGGCGCGCGCGCGGGCGAGGACGACCAGGTGCAGCGACGGTATGGACGGGACGGAGGTGAGCGAGTTGGCGTCCCGAGCGAGTCCGCAATGCCATTTTGCCACGGACAGAGGTAGAGAGAGATGGTTTGTGACGGGGGAGGAGATGATGCAAAGCCCAAGGGCGGGGACCGGTGGTGGTGGATGGACGAGTCTGGTTTGTTGGTTGGTGCGACGTCGGCTTTACGAGCAGCTGCCAGCAATCAGGCAGGCCGTTTGTTGGCTGGTTAGCTGGTTGGCTTGTCGAGAGCCTGCCTGGTCGACGCGAGCACACGAAGCCGTTGATTCAATCGCCGTCAACGACTACATGGTCGTGGGCTGCCAGCATCACGAGATTTTGGCTGCACAACACGTTGGCGGGCATGACTACACGTACGGTCCCCAGCCCCAGACGCCGCGATTGACGAGAGACGTTTACGCTACTCAGCCAGGCTGCAACAGAGTCCAGACAAGCGTGCCCATGCCTTGTTTCCAGCCTTGTCCTACCTGCCCTGTCCATCTTGCCAGACACCTACGGATATCTAATCCTCAACGACGACATGGCCTCGCAGGGGCTGCCGGCACACAGTTGGCCTGCTCTTGCAGCTCGACATACTCCGCATCCCCGGCTGTGCTAAACACGGTGCTCATGAGGCTCTTGGTAAAGTAAGGGTCCGAGGGCGGCTTCCTCCCGTGCTTCATCTCTTGCGAATCCTTCATCTCCGAGTCTGTCGGCCGACGCGGGCGGCCGCGCCTGCGGTTCTTCTTGCGGAAGAGAACAGCGAGCTCGGGGAAGCAGACGCACAAGTTGCCCGAGGCGAGTTCCGCCGCGCCCCAGAGTAGAATCTCGGGTTGCTTCCACGACGTGTCGTGGTTGCCGCTGTTCCTGAGGCGGACGACGAAGCCGATGGTTGCAAAGATGGGCGCGCTACCCGCCGTCAGTGAGACGCATGCACAGGACCAGGAGTGCCTTGGCCTGCAGGGAGTAGTACGCACCATAGGCCAAATGTAAAGGCGAGCACGACGAGGACTCTCTTGAGCCGGTCCATCTGCAGCCTCCACACGGCATGGATGGGTAGCAGTAGGATCAAGTAATCCGTGACGGTGTTGAAAGCACCACTCACGTTCAGGATGATGTGAATGTCGACGCATTGGCCGGCGACTGTGGGATTCCAGATCTTTTCGCGCGGGCTGCACTCGAATATCTTGACCAGAGACGTGGTGCCGTAGAATCCAAAGATGACGGCGATGAGCGTGACGATGGTCATGTCAAACTTGCTCCAGCGGATGGGCGAGAAGACGCGGCGGTACAGCCAGAGCACCGCAAGCTTGGTGAGCCCAATCATGACGCCGTATTCAATGGCGGCGACGTTGAACCAGTACGCGGCTTCGTGGACCTCGTCCAAGGTGATATCCCAGCCGTGCTGGCCTCCGTGGTGGGACATGGTGGCTCTCATGATGCCGCAGTAGGCGACGGTGCCCGCCCAGGCGAGCGTCACCAAGGCATCCTCAAATGTCCAGACGCGTTTGATGAAGATGCGGACGTAGGTGCGCAGAAGGAAGAAGACGGTGACGAGCGGGATGCATATCGCGATGGTGATGTCGGCGAGATAGGCCAACGAGGCTGGATGGTTAGGGTTCGGCGTCACCCCCGGCGGCGGCTTCAGCGCCGGAGCAAAGGTTGGCAGCGGGCTCGATGAGGCTTCCGACAGCTGCGGTGCCATAGAAGCGTTTCAGGTCACAGGTATTTGGGCGATGCAAGGTGTCATGACAAAAACAAAGGGACGGCCTGATGTCGTCTCGTTGTTTCGGGAGGGCACGGGGAAGCAAACAACAAGCCAACCACGAAGGAAACGTGCAATATACATATACACATCTTTTGACTGGAATCAAACCACCAAGAGACAAACTCCAAGAACTGTCTCCGATGTACTGCCCTGGGGGCCCCGTGGCCTGTCATCCTAGACGCCGAGGTAGCAATGGCGGACGCGAAGATGCTCAAAGGCTGCCGGGTTTTGGGGCGCACCACGGGCAATGTCCTCTGGTAGCTCGAGCGACATACATGAAAGTGTCGAGGGGAGCATGAGCTGAAGACAAGGGCATGCCTTCTAGCACAACATTTCGACAGCGTTATGATGGCGTTGAGCGAGTCGTCGACGGCATGTATGCACTCCATACACATGGGCCCCCTCCCCTCAACATTCCGGCCTCGACACAAAAGGCTGCGAAGCTGCAGCTACCCAGCCAGGGTCGCAACGAGCCGTCCTCCCTACATGCTTTGGTGGTATTTCGTCAGCTTGCATGCGGCGCGGACTGGGGACAGGAAGTAAACCAGGATATCTGCGGACTCGGCCTGATCAGTCCGTCCTCACAAGAGCGCCAGGAAGGCAGTTTATTGATTGCTGGCCAGGCCCCCGACGATATTTCCACGCGGGCTCAGCTCAGACCATGCCAGGGGATGTGGTTATCAAGACGGTGACCCAGATATCGAGCTGTTGATCCTTCTGAGCGCGCGTATTTGAAGACGGCCGTGTCTTGTCTGCCTGCCGATTCCGCCGAAAACACTTCTTGCGGCATCCTGTGTGACGGCACCACCTTGGTCGTGGTTTTTTTCTGGTCTGGTCAAGGACAAGAAAAGGGGAGGCTTGCGGCGATCTTTTGCCCCGAGACGAGACTTGGTCTACAGACGCTGTGCCACAAGAATCAACCTGCTGGCTACAAGGCACCTCGACGATGCATATCTCAGAGGAGGCACCCTGTGGCCTCCATTCCTCGCAACAGCAGCAGCAGCAGAAGCAGCAGGCACCGAGTGACTCGGACGATGCGGCGACGGATGAGCCCACCGTCATTGCAACGCTGCCGGAGGGCGACGTCCTATCAGAGGCAGAGGCGGCCAGGCTGCTTCGGAAAATCGACTGGCACGTCCTGCCGATGCTATTTCTGATCTACGTTGTGGCGTTCCTGGACCGGTGAGTTGTCGCCCACTTGCCCCAAGAAGAAGAAGAAGTCTTGGTTTTGTGTTGGCCTCGATGCGATAGCGAGCGATGGCGGCGGCGGCGGCGGCGGCGGCGAGCACTACTGTCTACGGAGTACACCAAGTTTGTTTGACACGATTCGCACCAGGTCCAATGTTTCCAACGCGCTCACCATGAGCATGCCAAAGGAGCTGGGCTTGACGGGCCAGCAGCCCAATGTTTCACTGGCCGTCTTCTTTGTTCCCTACATTGTCTTTGAGATCCCGTCCAACCTCTTGATGAAGAGGCTCTCGCCGCATGTCTGGCTGTCCCTCTGTGTGCTCGGCTTTGGCGTCACGGAGCTATGTCAGGGGTTCATCCAGAACTACGGCGGACTGCTTGCAACCCGCTTTTTCCTGGGCTTCTTCGAGGCGGGCATATTCCCGGGGAGCTTCTACCTCATCAGCTTCTGGTACAAACGCGACGAGGCCCAGAAGCGCTTCACCGTCTATTTCTGCTCTGTCATTCTTGCCTCGGCCTTTGGCGGGCTGCTGGCATCGGCCATTGCCAACATGGATGGCCTTCAGGGGAGAAGCAACTGGAGGTGGATCTTTATTCTCGAGGGGGTTCTCACCGTCCTGGTCGCCATCATATCCTACTTTTCTGTAAGTGACTTTCCTCAGCAGGCGCGTTGGCTCTCCGAGAGAGAGAAACAGGCCGTGCTCAGAAAGACTCGAGCTCAGGACGCGCATTCCGAGGGAAAGGTGACTCGAAGGGACTTGTGTGACTTTTTCAGTGATGGCAAAAACTACCTGGGGGCCATTATGTACTTTTGTAAGTCCTTTGGCCTGGTTTACACCCCTCTCTCTCTCTCTCTCTCTCTCTCTCTTCCGTCTCTCTCTCTCCCCCTCCTCTCTATGCCTCTTCATCCGTCCCCCGACCCCTTGGGCCATCCACGACCACGAGAATGCGGCACTAAGCCCTACCAGCTGTTGTAGTGCCGGTCTATGCCTTTGCCTACTTCACGCCGACCATCGTCAAGGGGCTCGGATACAACGTGCTGCAAACGCAGCTCCGGTCCGTGCCTCCCTTTGCCGCCGCGTTCGGATTCTGCCTAGTTCTGGCGTACTTGTCAGACCGAAGCGATCGGCGGCTGCCCTACGTGCTCATTTCGGGCGCTGTCCTTGTCACGGGGCTCGCCATCCTCATCACCACCCACGCAAACTTCTCGCTGCAGTATGCAGGGATTTGCCTCGTCTGTATGGGTGCCTTGAGCGCGGGCCCGAGTGTCATTTGCTGGTACCTCATGAACCTGACGGGGCACAAGCAGCGAAGCATCGGGTCTGCATGGATGATTAGTTTTGGGAACACGGGTGGCATCTTGGCCCCTTTTGCTTTTCTCCCGCAACATGCTCCATATTACCGTCTCGGTTACTCGCTCTGCATGGCCGTGACCGTCTTGGGTACCGTCGCCACTGCCTGTTATGCCGTGCTTGTTGCCAGGGAGAGGCGCAGGATAAGCAAAGCTGGTGGAGCCGACAAAGTGCATGTTTCATCGCTCTGAGGAAACAGAAACAACGCAAAAAAAAAAAAAGCAACAAAGGAATTTGCCAAATTGGGGGGAAAGAAGAGGGTGATCCCGGGGGGTCGGTTGAGGAGGGGGCAAGGGAGCCGTGATATAACAACGGCATGTACTCCGTAACACAGCACGAGCTGTGAGGCGAGATGGTAGACATTAGCATCACCGCCAACCAACTATATATGCTCGTCAAGCCTCTCCCTGCCGCAACAAGCACGTCTTGCAGATCCGATCAACACCTTGTGCCTCGTCTGGTGGGTGAGGTCGGGACCGCTCGTTATGCCCAGCTCTCGTCTTGGCGAGATGGCCGTCGAAAGCGGAACAGATGCAATATCTCGGGATATCCAAGGTAGAATACTCCCGCAGCAAAGACAAAAACCGAAAAAAAAATACCCGCCAACCATGATGATTTATTGCTGATGGTCTGACTGCTGACGGGCGTAGACCTCGATCTGGCAGCCCCTGCTCAAGTTGCATCGGGCTTTTCCAAGGCAAGTCAAGCTGTCAAACTTGTCATGTCAAAACTACGGACGGACCAGCACTGACCCAAAAGCGGCCGGCCTGGGCTTGATTCATGTCGACCAACAGAGACGAAAGATGGTCATCTCGGCGACGGTGATCCTGCTCAACTTCAACGTCACCTTGGGCTCGTCCCTCCCCAGCGGCGCCGCGTCGACCCTGAACGAGCACTTTGGCGTCACGGAGAAGCTTCAAAAGCCGTTGCCCGTGGCCGTCTTCCTCGTTGGATACAGTGAGTGGCCGCCTGCTGCACGGCGACTCGGGAGTCGAGGCTGTCTCAGAATCACTCGCGGTCAGTCAACGCTAATTCATCACGGACGACGTGGTGGTGGTGTTTCTTTTCAGTTTTCGGACCCATCATCTTTGCCCCCATGTCTGAGTCCTGGGGCCGCCGACCAGCCTTTCTAATTTCCTTTTCCGTGTACACGGCCTTTACGCTGGGATGTGCCCTGGCGCCAAACTGGCCCGCGTTCCTCTTCTTCCGCTTCATGCTGGGATGCGGCGCGGCAGCGCCCCAGACCGTCTCCGGGGGGCTGTTTTGCGACATCTACCCCGACCTCGGGCCGCGCGGGCTGGCGGTGACGCTGCTTGGCCTGACGAGCAACGTAGGGCCCCTGGTCGGGCCCATCATCTCGGGCTTCACCTCGACCAGGGCCTGGCAGTGGCAGTTTTGGTGTGCTCTCATCCTCGCCGGCGTGAACTGGCCCCTGCTGCTGGCCATGCCCGAGACCTTTCCTCCCGTCCTCAAGGCGGGCATCACCAGAGCCAGAGCCAGAGCCGGAGCCGCGCCTGTCGGTGGTGGTGGCGGCAAGAAGGCGCCTCTCGACCTGGCAAGGAGGGCCAGGATCCTCACGCGGCCGATCCGTCTCCTGTCCGAGCCGCTCGTCTTCTTCACCGACCTCTTCATCCTCTACCAGTACGTCATCTTCTTCCTCTACTTCGGGGCCTACCCCGTCATCTTCCGCGGGACCTACGCCATGCCGGATGGCGTATCCGCTCTCATGTTCATCCCCACGGGCATCGGCGCGGTCCTGGCCATCGCCGTCTTCGTGGCCTGGGACCGGTTTCACAAGCGAAGCGTGGAAAGGGGCAGGCCGTGGGCCCTGCGGGAAGAGTACCGACGGCTCCCCCTCGCGTGCATCGGCGGTCCCCTCTTCGCCCTCTCCGAGTTCTGGCTGGGATGGACGGCTCGGCCGGGCATCCCGTGGGCCGTGCCGGCCCTGTCCGGCGTCCCTTTGGGAATCGGCATCGACCTGACCTTCATGGCCCTCAACAACTACCTGACCGACGTCTACGGCATCTACAGCGCGTCGGCCCTGGCCTCGAGCGTCTTTACGCGAAACGTCCTGGCCGCCGTCATCATCCCCCTGACGACGTATCCGCTGTACGAGAACCTCGGAACCAGCTGGGCCTGCACCCTGCTGGGCGGGCTGTGCGTGCTCCTGACGCCCATTTCGTTTGCGTTTATCCGCTGGGGCCCTGTTCTGAGGATGCGCAGCCCCTTTTGCCGGAAGCTGGCGCGCGAGGGCGGCGCCAACCATGGCGGCGGCGACTTGGTGGCGCCATGTTGACATGACGGGGTTGGCGACTCGCTGACAACTGACAAGGAATACACGAACGCCATGCTGCGATTTGCTGTATGGAGTACGAAGTGGTAGCACGGAGTACGGAGTAAGCGAGGACGCGATGGCCCGGTAGCTGCTGAGCCTGCGTGCTCTGGTCAAACGACTGGTTGCCTCCCTTCCACCGTACAGAGTAGAGTACAGAGTAGCGTGATGAACCTCGTTGGATCTCGCCGATTGTCACCCAGCGCAACGCGCAAGTGACTTCACTTGACTCCCCGGCCCGGCTGGTATGAGACGGCGCTGCGCCTCGATGCCGTCTCGTTCCAGAAGAATGCATGCATATGCGACGCAACGGCTCCCGTACGAGGACGACAAGTCAAGTCGCAGCGCAGGCGTGTCAGACCTTGGTTGCCCGCACATGAACCAACCTCCACCCATCCTTTTCCATGGACGTCGTCGGCGCACAAGGTGCATTGTCCAGGGTCGGGCAAGTTGTCACGGATCATCTGTCCATCATCCAGGGAACACGCCCAGCAACAGCACCAGCAATGGCGTCATGACCCGCCGTGTCCCCGGGTACGGAGTGAGCAGCTGGGGAATAGGGGTCCTCGATGAGGCAAGTGCTTGCTCCTTGACCTTACCGCGACGTGGTGGTTGGTTGGTTGGTTGGTTGTCCCGTCGCACAGGCCGAATGACATGACGTGACGTGACATGACATGACATGTCGGACGAGGCTCGCGGTGGTGGTGCCATCATTATTGTTCGCATCTACGGAGTACGGAGTGTCATCTATGGAAATATCCAACATGTCACTTACTTGGTAGACGGCGGCCAGCAACCGCCGCGCCGTCGGGTTGGCGACGTTGGCACTACTCCATACTCCCATCGTCGGCCACTTCACACGATGGATGCTTTGCGCTCCCTTTTCCCTTCAGACACGGTGCATCCCGCGCCACGGAGGACTGCATGGCCATGACCGCCGTATGACTTTCGGGATAGGCAGCAACTCTCCGAGACGTGGACCGTCACGTACGGGCTCAAGGTTCAACCACGCCGTACAATGAATATCCTACGGATTCTCAGGCAGCGGCACCGCATCCGGCGGCTGACGCCACTCGAAGCCGTCGGGCATCCGCACGGCCCGCGCCTTCAGCCAGGCCTGCAGAGCGTCCCAGTTGACGCACTTGTGTCGCGTGTTGCCGTCGGGCGTGGGCTGGTTGTGCCTCCTCACCCAGTAGTACGGGATGATGCCGGGGTCAAAGTTGCACATGAGCGTCTGCCGGATGTAGTCGACGCAGTGCTCGTAGTGCCGCTCGTACAGGTCCGGCGCGCCCTGCCTGGTGGCCTGCGTCTCGGGGAACGAGGCCATGTGGTGGTCCTGCCAGACAAAGTGTAGGCAATGGATCTGGTGCGTCCCCGTGGCCACGGCGAGGTAGCCGCCTCCAGCTGCCGGGGGGAACTGCACCGCCGTCAGGTTGTGCCCGATGCGCGTCACGTCCTCGGCCGTGACGCTGATGGTCCCGTCTGTGTGCGTTGGAGCGACGGGACGCGCGTGTGTTAGCGAGGGCCGGCCTTCCGTCGTCGAGCTCGACGGGCCTTGTCTTGTCTCTGCTTACATGCCATGAGGTCCTGCCATGCCTGCTCGACCTCGGCCGTGGGCGGTCCCTTGTACGGCGAGTCGTGCCACAGGGAGCCGTTGAACCGGACGTGCAGGTATTCCTCTTGGATGGCCTCGTTGATCGGTGCTGTGCGAGGTAAGGTCAGGTCAGGTTAGCAGCTGGGCGGTGCGTGGAGGGCGGTTTCGACTTGGGCGGCGTCGGGAGTTACAGTAGTAGTTGAGCTTTGCGACACAGCTCTGTCCGCGTCGAGTGTAGGACGCGGGCAGGAGAAACGGCATCAAAGTCATGTAGGTCGCGGCGAGGGCTACGTGGAACAACAGCCACGGCCACGTACGGTTCCCGGACTGCCGAGACGCGGCTCGTTTTTCGAGCTGTTGGTTGACGAGATGGCGAGTTGCTTCATGGCCATCGTCATCATCATCGTCATCGTCATAGTCGTCATCGTCGTCCTCGTCGTCGGTTTGCTTGCGTCGTTGTAGGGTGTGTGGCCACCAAGTCGAGAAGAGGCATCTCATTTTCAAGGCCACAGGAGTCGACGACTATCTGAGGGAGGAGTTGGGGAGGAGCTGGGCATACAACTTGACGCCGCGCTTGACACCAAGTCGGCACGCTTATAGCTGCTCAGTTCGTTGGGTGCACGAAGGAACGGGGTCAGGTAACGAGACGGCTTGGTTCTATCCTGTGCGTGCATGTGGCCTAGGCCTCCCTACTCTGCTGCGACCAGCCGTCCTGCAATGCAACTTCACAATGGGCAGGTCGCTCGGTTTCCTGTTTTCGGGGGGCCTGCCCGTGCTGCGCAAGGATGGACATGGATATAAATGCCGTGCCTGGACAACCAGGCCTTGCCCTCGGACAAATGACCTTGGACCCGTCCGCAAAACTCAGAGTTGCCGAGCGACAGTCTCATCACAACATCTCAACAGCTAGTGGCGATGCGTTTTACACTTCCTTTGGTCGCTACCCTGGCCATAGCTGCCCCGGCAGGTACGACAAGCCACGACGGATGGCTCTTCCGATGAAGATCTTGCTTTGCATGGCGCTTGGCTGACCGATGCGGATCCAGGTGTTTTCAAGCCCGATGGCCTCCTGAAAGTCTCCAACGACGGCCAGGACAGCTCCTACGATGCCACGAAGCGCGGCCATTTCGTGGCGGACCCTTTGCTCCAAGTTTCCGACCATGACGCTGCCAGCTCGTACGAGCGCAGCAACTTCAAGGCGGACCCCTTGCTGCAAGTCTCGGACAATCCCAATGACTCATCCTATAACTAGAGTGCTGGCTCCCCTCTCACTTCTGCCAAGGTCTCCTTTGTTGGTTTAAGGCCGGATTGCTGAGCCGCGGGCTGAGAGGCTGTGGGTGGAGAGCTTGGGACCAGGCGGAATCCAAGGAGAAATTATTTCTATCCGTCTTCAATATTACTCTGGATGTAAGAGTTTGTCGACGCTCGTGAACCAAAGACAGACAGACAGACGGCCTGTGCTACGCATTGACCGTTGCCTCTGCCGCTTGCCTCCGCCGTGGATCTGCACCAAGGAGCGTGACAAGCACAAAACACGGCCTACCATCAGCACGTTTGCGCGGCCGGCGACACGTTTGTGTTGCCATGCACAGTAGCCCATGCGGAATAGTACTGTAGTCGTGTTGTCGTGACAGCAATTCACACACCAACCCAATAAGAAGCGAGTGGTTGTACGCCACTCTCCCATCACTGGCCAGAGGCAGCCATCACGAGAACGTAAACACGGTATAAAGCTCTCGGAAAAATCCCCCTCACGTCGTGAGGCGAAGCCCCGCGCTCTACAACTGCGGCATTGTACCAGTTCCATCCAGCAGAACGGCGACTTCTTCACCATGCCGTCCTCGGCCACCATCAAAGCAAAGGAAAAGTACGAGGCGATGCTTGCAGCCGCCAAGGGCGACGGGGTTTCTCGTAAGTGCTGAAAAACCGAAACAGTGCAGACAAAGCATCATGTCTGGACGGCAGCCCATAACTTTTGATTCGGGGTAGACATGTCGAACCGCGTCGTGGCAACGAGACATCCGTCGACTGGAGGCTGCGAGATGACCAACTCCATCACCCGCAGATCGAGCCACGGCAGCGACACCTCGAGCACGGGGCGCTTTCGAACCATGATCAGAAACATGCTTTCGCCGCCTGCCTACTAGGGCATGGGAGGATGAGTGCGCGTACGGGGGCTTGTGCTTTGTCTGGACATAACATGCACTGTTTGCGCAGTCGACGCGGTTCGTTTTCCGTGGCAGAGATTATGATTATTTTATTCTTTAATACGTCCAAGTAACCCGTCAATTGACTAGATGTGTGCTCTACCTCCATCTATATAATATGTATCCACGCGCTCTCGATGACACGATGATGAAAAGGAAAGACTGCTCTGACCGGCGAGAGAAACCGACAGCATCAGCACAGGGGCGGCATCTTAGTTCTTTCCGGGAATGCGCTTCAGAATCTCGCCAGTGATGTCCTGAAGCGGCACATCCGGCGTGGCAGGGTCGTTGGGGACGAAGGTGAACTGCTCGTGGACTATGTAGACACGGTCGCCGATCTGGACGGTGCCCGTGGGGAAGTTGGTCTTGCCGGCGTCGTAGGTGCTCTCAATCAGGCCCCGGTGCTGGGCCTCGTTCCACAGGCCGTCCTGTGAGTAGAGGACATTGACTCCCTTGAGGTTGTCGTTGACGAGGATGACCTTGCCGTCGAACATTTCGGGCATGAAGACGCCGTCGAGGCTCTGTCCGCCGACGTTTCCGTCGTTCCCGGTGATGGGGATGACGATGGGAGAGCCCTTCTTCTCCTTGACATTGAACTTGACCAGCTTGTTGTCGTGCTGGTCGGCGGCGAGCAGCATGGCGCCCTTGACGACTACGCCCGTGTAGCCCGGGTCCGTCTGGCCTGGGCTGCTCACGTAGTCGTTGACGTACCACCGCTCGACGTCCTTGCCGTTGGGGCGGACCTTGAGGATCATGCCGGGGAACGTGCAGGCGACGAAGGCGTTGCCGCAAGAGTCGTGGGCGACATCCTGGCACCCTACGACTTGCCCGGCCGCGTCGGTAAGGGAGGCGGTCGCCACCACCTCTGGCTTGCCGCTCTTCAAGCTGAACCGGACGAGGTGGTTCGTGCCCGTGACATTTTTGCCGGCAGAGTCAAACGCACTGGCGTCGTTGAAGACGACGGCCAGGTCGGTGCTGGACTGGGGGAGAAGGTCGAGGCCGCTGGCGTGGAAGTTGAGATTGCCCTCAAACCTCGGATCGCTCATCTCGAGGGTGATCTGACGGGTCTTGCGGTTGAACTGCGCAGCGCCAGGTTTGTAAAGCATACTGTTGAGACGAGTCAGTTGGACCAGCATGTGAGAGGAACGGCGCTGCAGTCCGTCGCACGTACCTCATGTAGCACAGGTCGGAAGAGGGAGCGCAGACCATGGACTCGGGACGGAGTCCCCTGGCGGTGTAGGAAATGTTGAAATCTTCACGTTTGGGGAAGTCTTGGTTGGCGGCGGGAACAGCACTGGCGACGACGCCAAGTGCGGCCAACGAAGAAAGGACAGCAGTATGCATTGTGTATGTATGGTGTGTGGCGTATACAAGCTAATGAGTGTCTTGGCCGGCCGAGCTGGATGAACGGAACCTGTGGACGGACTGGAAGCGGAAGCGGAAGCAGAAGCAGAAGCAGACACGGGCAACAATATATATTCTTTTCATGGTACTTACTCCTGGCCCACCACCCGCACCGCGTCGGCATTCGACAGCATGAACCTTGACCATCATCATCGTCATCATCATCGTCTCTCGCAAAACTGCCGAGTGGGAGGAGCGGGTAGTGCGTGGCTCGAGTCAGCACGGCGCTTGGAAGAGTCGAGGTCGAGGCTGCACGGGCCTCGGAGGTGACGGATCCGGAACCAACTAATCGTGCCCGCCCCACTTTATGTGGTTCGGCTAGCAAAAGCCCTCACCACCAAAGGTGGTGCTCGACAGCAAGGCGGGCCGGACACCAAGGCGGGCCAATTTTCAACCTAGACGCGTTGAACCGCGAAAATGGCTGCAACTAGCGTCCAAACGGCAAAAAGCGATGTCGAATTACGTGTCAACGAGGCTCTTGAGTATATTGAGGAAAATCCAGGTGCAAAAATTCGCTCTGTGGCGAAGAAATTCAACGTGCCTCGTAGCCGGCTTCAACGACGTGCTAACGGCGTTCCTGCTAGGAAAGGCCATCCAGCAAGAAATACAATGCTTTCACGAGAAGAGGAAGTTGCTTTATGTAACTATATCGATCGCCTTGATAAGGCCAACTTCGCTGTACGACCTGAATTCATTACAGATGCTGCAAATTACATCCTAAAAGAGAGGGCATCGTCAACTGCCCCGCCTAGGCAAGTTGGAACGCGATGGACTACACGCTTTATCCAGCGGCATCACTATCATAAAGGTCTTCAAAAAAAGATTGATTCAAGTCGAAAAGCTTCAGAAGATGTGACAAGAGCTCTTTCTTATTACAACAAGCTTAAAGAGGCTATTCAGCAGTACGGAGTCCCTCCTGAAGATATCTGGAATATGGATGAGACTGGCTTTCGTATTGGAATGGGAAAGGACCATTTAGTTGTTACAAAGCGAAGAAGAGCGCATCTATTTTCAATGCCAGAAAACAGGGAGACTGCAACAGCAATAGAATGCATTTCTGCTGGCGGCAAAGTTATTCCTGCCTTTCTTATCCTTACAGGGCAAAAACACATGGAGTCCTGGTATCGGATAAAGGAGCTTGAAGCTAATACCAAAATAACAGTCTCACCAACCGGCTTTACGAATGACGAAATTGCAGTTGCTTGGATACAGCATTTTCAGGAATTTGCAACGCCAATAGGCAGATATCGCCTTTTAATCCTAGATGGCCACGGATCACACCATACAATTGAATTCGTTGAATACTGCGAACAGCACGATATAATTCCCTTTGCGTTGCCCTCGCACCTTACACACATCCTTCAACCTCTTGATGTTGTGATATTTCAGCCACTAAAGCATTATCATGCAAAGGCGTTGGATATCATTGTTCGAGACGGCGTGTTGAATATTACAAAGATTGAATTCCTTGCTTGCATTCAAGCTGTACGAAAACAAGCTTTCAAGACTACTACTATTCTCACAGCCTTTCGAAAAACTGGAATTTCACCCTACAATCCACAGCCTGTAATTGAGGCCCTTGAACAACGAGCTGCAATTTACACATCAACACCATCGCCGCCGCCGTTATATCACAACAACTCTTCCGACTTTGAGACGCCCACAACACTCAGGCAGATAAATAAGGTTGCCAACAAGCTAGGGGAGGTATTAGAAGACGATACATCCCTTGAGCCTGAGTTTGCACGCAATATCAGTCGTTTTATCCGCGGCTCTCTTATTGCAGCTACTGAGCTTATACAGACGAAGAGAGACCTTGGGCGTACAATACAGAGAAATAACCATCATTAATAAACAGCCCGGGTGGCGCCGATGTCTTGGCGGGAGACCTGACGCAGGTACGAGAAGGGTCGGGACCGGGACTCGGGTCTGTCTGTCTGTTGGGATGAATACGAAGCGTTGTCCGGAGTACGGGGCAATAAGAATCTGCAACCCCCGTTGTCCCAACGCCAACACGCCGGTCCTGGGGGCTCCCTTGCAGGTTCACGTTGCGGCTTGGTCTGTCACTACTCCGTACATGATCTGTACTAGCATGGCATGGAGCGTGCGGCTCGGATTATGGAGAATCTTACGATTTTGCAGCGCCTGGCGCCGCACAAGCCGCTGGAATGAAGTGCGGCTATCCAGTGGACACGCACCGGGACAACCCTGACGGACGGTGTCGATTGATGACTTTGACGAGGGCCCTCGCACATACATATCAATACGATGATGGGCTCAGCCCGATGGACCGTGATGCCCGGGCTGGCACGCAACTGCGATGAATATATTTACTGTTGGTGCTGCTCATAAAATGTGCAAGGCTACCAAGCTTGATGCCGACCTTCTGGTCTGGTTGACCTCTCCTTTTCATTTTGGCTCCGGCGTAAGATGAAAAATGGAGTTGACATCCGTTAGTCTGGGTAATAAATGCCGTCGTCGTGTCAAGCGCGGCTTGTTTGTTGTCCCCCACGGCGTGGCACTGGCAGCACAGACCGGCTTATGATTGACTCGGGGCCGCACCACGTTTCGAGTCAGTGCTTGGGGTCGGGCGCCCCGGCTACGGAGTACTGACTGGTGGGATTCCATGGGTGTTTCCCCGCCGGGGTACCGAGTATAATGAGCGGTATATAATGGCATTCGCGCGCAGGTGCTTGGTCACCGAAATCAATTTCGCATCTGCCGCGCGTCGCGGTTGACCTTGGATGTGCGGAGTACTCTGTAATGTATCGACAATCTCGGGCTCATCTCTGTCGTTCAACTAGACTGGCCTGGGCATGGCCAAAAAAATACTATTTCAAGGAAAAAAAAAAAGTAACAATCATGATGATGATAAATGAAGAAAAAAAAAAATGAAGAAACTAGCCAGTGTCGTCGTCCAGTCATTCTTCTGGACCTTCGCGGAGCGACGAGAACCTCGCGCCATTGGCCAGCCTTAACCCCGACCGATGTGACCCATTCATTGGCCGAGGCGTAAAGCGCCCACGTCCCAGCCGACCATCCCACCGGCGCCACTCTTCATGCACGACCGAGAGACGACAGTTTGGAGTCTCGACTAGGCATCACGACGATGGGTGCGTTCCGTCCCTGCCAAGTCCCAAATCTTGATGTTCGGACATGTCAAGTTTCCCCAGCTGCTGACAGAATCTTGGTTGGTTTCCATGGCTCACTGATCAGCCAGCAGAGCGCGCACCAACTCATCCATTTGCGCCGGTTCCGATTCCCTTGGCCAGCATGCACCCACGACGCGCCAAAACCCCGTCCGTCTGTGAGTGGCAACGGCGATGACAATGACAATGACTCGAACGCCCCGATGCACGCGCCAAGCCCTGTGCCTGCTTTGCCTCCTCGAGTCGTCATGACGGATACCGAGTACCCAAGGGAAAAACAGAAGCCGTGTTCCGTGCCGGTCCTGGTTCTGGCGTACATTCTGGGAGCCATGACCAACACGCGCCGTACCGAGTCGGAGTACAGTACAGTCGGAGTACACGGCGTGGAATCAGGGCAAAACGACGCAGGGAGATACCCTGCCACTGGTCACTGGTCTGGAGCTGTTTAAAAATAACAAAAAGTTCCATTTAAAAATAACAAAAAGTTCCATCCCGAGTCTCGAGTCTCGGAACCAAGTTCGAATGACTCGCTCTCGGGTATCCGTTCCGTCCCATCTTGAACCAAGGCACACTTGCATCTACCGCTGCGTTTCTCGCTGGCCTCGCCTCGTCTGTAGGCACATCAAACCTGCCGTTCATGACGTAAAATTGTGGCCCAGACTTCAAAGGTCATTCGCAGCCACAATTCCATGACCAAGATTGCAAACTGCCGTGTCTCGCTTTGCAGAAACGCAAGCAAGCAAGCATAGATGGCACATGTGACGTGAGACACAGGCAGGCGCCGCAGGCATCTTTTGCACGGAGATTTTAATTTAGTACCCAAACTATCCGCACGACTGGAGATGAAGTGCGTCCAGGGCGACAGACAAGAGTCGTCATCAGGGTTCATTGGCAAGTATTTACATTGGACGTCTCGGTCAGGATGAAATGCAACGAGCAACCTCGTTCCATACACCAACAGAAAAATGGTCAACTAATCCACGTTGGCGTCTTGTTCCCTCCACATGTGCCACTTGCAAACCGTCTCCGGGAGCCAGCCACCTCAGTAACCACCTCCCCAGTTGCCGCAGCCGTTATTTCCAGGAGCATGGGGTCTGCGCGAGGTGCGGACCGGATCGGGGCCGGGCTGGGGGAAATCAACATCGGTGCCTTCGTAGGTGCAGATGCCGTTTCCAACATTGGCAACAAACATGGCAGGGCGGCTGCTGTACGAGGCCGCGCCGCCGGGCCGTGCCTGTCCACCGCCGCCGGCCTGGACCGTGATGGCCGCGCAGTTCATGTACATCTCGCGGTTGCCCTCGTTGTTGAACCAGGTCCAGGCGAAGAGCATGTCGCCTGCGGGCAAATCGCTGGGCAGAGTGAAGCTGTAGCTGGAGTCTCCTCTGACCGGACAGTTGCCAATGTACGAGCGAATGACTTTCCAGGAGCTCCCGCCGTCCAGGGAGACGGATGCCTGGCAGCTGCCGCCGTTGTGAGGCGTGTGTCCCGTGATGGTCATGGAGTAGGTGCCTCCTGGCGACCAAGTTGCCACCGGCCTGCCCTCCGGGGTGCCCAGATATCTCGCGTAGCCCTTGCACGGGAAGTCACCGCCGTTCGAGTTCAGCGGCGAAGGCATGTCGTAGTCGATGTCGCCGCCGGTGTAAGGGTTGTAAGGAGAGCGAAAGGGAGGAGGGTCTCTCATCTCCATGTGCGCCACGGAAACCGCAGCCATGCCCGTGCAGGCAATAATGACTTGAGATGCCTTCATCTTGCTGGCCTGGAACGAAGTGGCTAGATGTGAGAAGTCGCTGGCTTGCGTAGAAGCAGTCAGGTGAAGTAGTCGGAACTTGATGAATGGCAATACAGTCCGGTCAGAAAGATGGCCGTGGACGACGCATCTTTATACTCCTTCTCTCCTCGATTCATCGTACTCACGTCTTCCACATACGCCTCAGGATTCGGAGACGCAACCACGCATAGTCTCGGAAAAGGGGTTATTTGGGTCAATGCCACTGTCCCCCACGAAGTCTGTACTGTCCCATCCACGGATGGTCCTTTGCCCAGCTTCAAAGGGTGGTGGCTAAGAGGATACCTTCCTAATGGAGCAACATCTTGATACCAAAACGCGGCACATGTTGCAAGCACGGAAATAAGATGCATCGAAGAAGAAAAAGAAAAGAAAAAAGACATGTTTCGCAGATTTTCAGTCATCAGCAATCCGTATCGCAGCAGCAACAGTGCAGCAACGCGCTGGATAAATTTTGCTCAAAAGCTCACCCAACCATCACCACTGCAGTCTACAGGCTCCCCGAAACATGGTGTTTATCCAAGGTGGTTGCCCATGGCCCCGGATGCCTATAAGAACATGTTCCGAGTGGCCATTCACCTACGCCTCCGTAATTTGGCCTCGACGATTCGGCCTCGGAGTCTCTCCATGGCAATGTTGCACTGGGACCGCGGTGAAGTTTCAATCTCCTCGGCCGGGTCCTTCCGCGATGCAGTTTCCTTGCTCAGTCAAGGACTGCAACGTTCCCGGGGACCATCAAGTGATGTGGTTGATGGTGCCACATGCGGTTGATGAAACTTCAGTCGTCAACGGTTGACCCCACGTGGGGCCTCGAGGGTGACAGTTTCGTCCGAGGCAATTAAATATGCGGTATGTTCCATATTCTAGACTACTTATAAGCTGTTCCCCGGCCTGGAAACTCGGGGGGCTGTGATTGGGTCGGCGAGTGTCATCAAGTCGTGGCGGTAGCGGCTCTGCATTGAACTGACGTATTGCGAGGTTTTACACGTCGCACACCGTTTTCTAGATGGAGTTTGCGTGAGTCTTCACGGCCAAGCAAGGCAATAAATGCACTTGAATCAAGCGGTTCTGGGTATTTGCTTCGGTGTGCTGATGTCTGCAATATTACATGCCATATGGCTGAAATGTCCACCGACGCCCGTCATCCTATGCGAGATCCCAGCGGATATCAGAAAAAAGGCTTCATCAGCTATCAACTACCGGAGCTGCTCACCCGTGCCGCAGTACCGGGCGGAACAACATTACATACAGGCTTGACTGTGCTGCAATGAGAAAAGTCCCGCTCCCAGAGACAGGCTACGTTACAACAAAGGCTCGCTGAGCCCGATGGACGTTCATCACTGCAATTCCCCGGCACGGCTTGCAATTGCCTTGCCCCCCCCTTCCTTTGAAAGCTTCGTGCTACTTATGGCTACTGACGTGTTCAAGCCGGCCTCGCGGCGGGGGTTCACCAGCGCGGAGGCTGGGACACCAGCGCCGTCAGAGTGTAGGCAAAAGACGATGCCGATTTCAGATTAGCTCGGGCATTTTCATCTCGATCCATCAATAGCTGGCCCGCCTGTTGATGACTGCAAAGCTTATGCCCCTCAATGTCAATGTAGGAATCATGGAAAGGCTCAAGGCGGACATAAAAGGGGCCCCCGTGTTCCTTGGTCCCGGACGCGTGGGAGTCGACAAGAAAAACGAAAATGAAAATGAAATGAAGCGTTTCGACTTGCACAATGCGCCGCAGCCTCGTAGCCATCGCCATCCTGGGCGCCGTAGCCTCTGCCCATCGAATTCCCAGCCATCTCGAGGACCTCTATCACCGGAACAAGGTACGTTGCCACGAGGCACGACTCCTCCACGCAGTGGTTTCCTGACCGAGACGATTAACTCCGCAGCCTGGGACCTGCTTCAAAAAACTATCCGACATCTTCCATGGCGGCGCGACATATTGTGGAGATGTCCCCGAGGCCATCTACGTCAAGGGAAGCGACGGCAACTATGACAACATGGACATCGACTGCGACGGCGCCAGGTACTGGTCCGGCGAGTGCTCCAACGACGGCGACATTTATGGCCTGGGATATACGGCCTTTGTCGACACCGTCAGGACGTATGGTATTCGTGATCTCGACACCAACGTCCACCCTTATGTGGTCTTTGGAAACGAAGGCTCCAACCCGTCATTCGACCCCCGGAGCATGGGGATGCAGCCGCTCAGTGTCATGGCCGTGGTGTGCAACGGCCAGCTCGTAGGTACCGTCCCGGTTGCGCTGAAGCGACCATTTTCCGCAGCTCGCTCGCCCTCCGCACCCAACGAAGCAACAGATGCGGTTGCTGACGCGGAGTTCCGTCTAGTTTTACGCCGTCTGGGGCGACACCAACGACTTCACCTCTACGGGAGAGGCGTCACTGGCCCTTGGCAGGCTTTGCTTTCCCAAGGAGATTTTTTCCGGGAACAGCACTCATGCGCCCAAAGATGTCTTGTACATCGGCTTCATCGGAAACGATGCCGTTCCTGGTGCCAAAGGCGCAAATTGGAAGACGAAGAATACGGCCCGTTTCCAGGCTAGCATTAAGAGACTCGGCGATAAGCTCGTAGCCGGCATTCCATATTGATACTCCGCGTTGCGGGCTTGAGGAGACCCCCCGTTGTACGTGCGGAATCCAAGCCTCGCGGTGAGGAAGCTGGCGTGCTGTTGTTCATTAACATCCCTCGCCCTTGTGTCGAGCCAAATTTTATAAATGGTACACGTGGGTTGCCATGCGCATACGGGTTAAAATGGGCTGTTACCATGCCAAAGTTACATGCTCATGTATTTGTTGCACGACAATGCGATCAGGGCTTATTATGTATCCAAGGCCTGCGTTACCTCATATTGAAGTTACGCGTCGGCCCCTTGATGTCAAAGCCACTAAAGGTTCCTGTCTAGTTTATTGACTTGTTCGTGCAAGTGGGAGAATTCTGTTTGTTGAATATGAAACAGCGAAGGAAAATGGTAAATAACCAGCTTGTACGAGCTTTCGTTCCGGCATTCCAACTAGTCCCGAGCATCACCCTGGGGATAACGTTGAGCAGGCAAATGATGCCTGCCGGCGGCCTGCCACATCCTTAACCTTGCTTAGATCTTTCTTCATCCACCTGCGCGAATCAGTAATATCTCGGGTTCGCGGGGTCAGTCAAGTCGAAGATGACGACACTATGAGGGCGCTGATGGGTTGGACCTTAGCTCATGCTTTCAAGTAGCTCTCGAGCTCTCACAGGGTGAAGCATGCTACTTACAGCGCCGCCTCTGGTCTTAGTAAAGATATTTTCAAACTCGATGGTTCTGTTGAAGCTCAGTGTGCCGTCGGGAAGAATGTCGATCCAGTGGCCCTTGTAGTCTCCGGGTGTGTTTAGGACGGAAATCTGCTACTGTCGGCTCCTGCTCTCGTTAGTGGTGCCTCAAGTTCCCGTGATACTGACGTCTCCTGCCTGGACGAAATATCCGGTGACCAAAAGGTTTTCCTTGTCGGGGGAAATCTTGACATAGTGAGGCCCGATAATTGGCTGAGTCTCATCAGGGTTGTCAAGGCGCTTGACATTTTCCAGGTCGGAAATGTCCGAAGCCGCGACTTGGTTACCGAGCGTGAGAGTAAAGTATGCCAGCTTTCCGTCATCACTAATGTCGGAGTAAATGGCCACAGAGTCCTTTGCCTTGTCGCCGAGCTCATAGAGAAGCTCGGCAACGCCCTGCTTGCCGTTGGAGTCTTTTCGGAAAGGGTAGATAATCCAGACCTGGCCCGGGTTGACCGCCCTAGAATTTGAACTATTTTTTAAAACATGTCTCGGAAGCGACAAAGCTTGGACCTTTCACTCACGTTGCTAGGGCGGCGCTCTCTTTGTTGCCAGGAATAAACTTTACGTCTTGGATGCCACTGCCCTGTTTTGAGTCAGTTACTGGGGCTGCTGTTATTTCCCAGAGAGACCAATTGCTTACATGAGGAATCTGAATTGCGGATATAATCTTGCGGCTTTTAAGCTTCTACAGACGGACGGTGTTTGCCTTCTGGATGCCCAGAACCGAGACGGGTTTGAGAATACTGAGCGGAACAACAAAGTCCGAGGTGAGGATAATGTTGTTCTTGAAGTCGATGCTTAGGCCATGTGGCGTGAACTGTTCACCGAGAACGTTGAGCTTTTTTTCTTTCAGGTCAGTATCGTTGCTTCTTGATTCGTCCGGAGAATTTCACAAACAGTTCCCTCGACGTCTTCTGGCCACTCATGGATGATGTGACCGTTGGCGTCAGTCTCGACAAGGCGTCCCGGTGAGCTTCCCACAGCGCTACCCATGTAGGTGATGAAGAATCCGCTGCGAATATCTCCGTTTAATTTGTTGTCGGCACTTTCTCTCTCTGCCGACGTACCCTTCTGGCTTGGCTCGAATCTCGTCAGTGATGGAACTCAGCAGAGCCCGGTTACTGTGAGAGAACTTGGGGTGATGGGGATCACTGGAATCCCAGTAGAACGCAGTATCTTGCGTCTTGAGCAGAGACAGCAATCCACCGCCAACCAGCGTCTTTCCGTCCAAGGAGGAACCCAAGTGATGAGGAGAGTTGCCACTTGTAGGAACATCCGAGATGTGAATAATAGTCCCAAATGTGTCCTGGGCGTCAGGTTAGTGTCCGTCTATATTGATTGATAGTGAATCACTTGCATCATCCAAGCTGACAGTCACCAGGAAGTCCTTGTGGTTATTGTCGCCGGCACCGGTCCAGAAGTGGCCAATCTTGTTGGGCTTAATGTTGGACACTCCAAAGGGCGGGCTGTCGACCAGAGGGGTCACCACTTGGAGAATAGGCAAAGGGGGCGCATTGGAAGGGCTCTGTGACACCCGGAATAGCTGGGATGAGAGGAGGAAGACTCAAGTCAAGGGTATCTCGCTTGGCAGCGGTGCGAGTACTGTCCACGGGGCTTGCCAACGCAAGGTTGGCAACGCCGGCGAGCAGCAAGAGAGTGGCGTGCCACGCAACGTGGGTGAGCAAATTATCAACTATCTATATATGTGAGGAACTCCTCCATTGCTAACAATGCTTTGTGCCTTGCGCCAATGCATAGCGTCGAATCGCGGATTCAGTCATGCCTGCGAATATGATGTAATTCAGGCATGACATCAAATGCCGCTCCTTTTTATCTTCTTCGCGGCATCCAAACTCCCAACCAAGACACGTTCTCTATGCGATATCTCCGCGCAAGACTACACGGCTTGGACGTCAAGGCGCTACTATTGCACACCAAAAGATGCGTCACCGTGGTAGCTCAGACACTTTCATCTTCCCGTTCGCTTGAGCGATGGCGGAATCTGCATGTCTCGCTGATCCCATCTAGCTACACCGTTTTGGGGCTGGTATGGCTGGTCAGGCGTTCGATATAGTAGCGATTGGAGACCAAAAAGGTGTTTTCCGGTTTCTTTTTGCTATTGTCGAAATGCCAAAAACATTTAAATTCTACTAATGCTTGCCTCCTGCTGTGCCAGCAAGCGTGATAACTTGGAGACACTCTACGGCAGCGTCGTTGATTGTCGCAAACACTTCAAGGTCACACACCTCTTCTTTCCCCTTTCATCAGAGTAACTGTAATTCTTTTCTTCCTCTAGTATTGTTAGTCAGAAATCTGCGAATAATTGGCAGCTTATTCACAAACATATTCCCCCGTCGACGGCAAAGTTCCTCCGTGCACGTTCGTCCTTTAGCGTTCAACTGCAAGCTTAATTCGAATAAGCTTCAAAACGGACTGGATTAGAGGAGGGAAATATGGGGCAAGGCAGAGCAGACATCTTTGTTGGCTCCCGCATTGCTCTCATCGCCTTGACATATGGCGTCATCCGCTACCGAAAAATCAGTTGCCGACATGCCATCAGCAAGACGCCGCATGCCACACCCTATCCAATTAGTGTTGTTCGGCTTCGGAGCTCGGTTGAGCGGTCTACTTAAGTAATTGCTGCTGCATGTGTTCGTCACCATGGCCTCGTTACTTCGTCTGGGCTTGGGACCGTGGCGAGAGTAAGGTCAATGTGCTGTCGAGCCTTTGGCCTTTCACGCCTGCAATGTCATCATTATAGTTATCCTTGATACCACCTGTATTTGCAGATCTGAATCTACAACGGCGTCCGGTCCGCCTTGTACAAGCCATGTGTACTCGGTTCAGAGTACAAGGAGCCTCGCGCAGCCCTGTGTTTTGCCATGAGCGAGCTGCGTCTGTTAGTCTCCAGAACATGCGGATTTACGCAGGCAGGGTTGGCACTTGACTGGAAAACGAAAACAAAAAGAGTACTTGATGCGTCAAGCGTAGTGGAGAGCAAGTAACGTTACTAAGTAAGCCAGCACATTTCTCGTGGTACCGATCGTCTTGCTGGCTTCCGTGGAGCTCGACCAAGACTGGCGATTTGCATTGGTTTCCAGCTTGATCTTTCAACAAGAAAGAAGTAGTAGGATTCTCAGCATGCTTTCGCCAGCCGAGTTTCTGACAAGAATTTTTGAGTTGACCCTAGCCCGTACTAGTGCAGAATCGCAAACAGTGCCCCGTAAACCGCAGGGAAATATGGCTTCATCCTGACTCCGTCGTGTGAAGTACACATCAGTCCGGAGATTTTGGCGACATCTTTGAAGACCACGTCTCGACAATGCCTCGAGCGAGTCCGGTACATGAGGCAGAAGCATCTTTGCGGCGTCGCCTGCTCTCTGACCATATTTGCGCCATCACTGCTCGTAGATCGTCGGTAGTCCCTACTATTCCGTTAGCAACTAAGGACGTAGGCGATGACTTTAGTGCTACCGACACTGCATATCCTGGTTGGATCATCAGCATTCTTCTGCAAGCTGTCCTCCAAAGGCATGCACCATTTGTAATAAAAGCGGTCATAACTTGGAAGCCCGATGATGATATTCTCGGATATGCCACGACATCCAAGTTTCAATTGCCAGGTCATGGCCGAGCTTCCCCCGGGGGAATGATCCCCAGTTTATCTTCCCAGTCAGTAGTGACCATGGCTTGGGCCAAAAAATGTAAAAAGTCGCCAAGTCAAAGGGTATTTGTTCCAGCCGTATGGGCACAACGACCCCCCGGTTTGGATGATGATTTCTACAAATACGCAAGACAACCAACTCAACCGCATTCGAAATCCTGCTGTTGGCTAGAAAATATAGCTTAGTTTCCCAAAATAGACTTGGTGTAAAATAAAAAATATATGGCGTGAATGACAACCTGTCTGCGTCTACTGTACATAGTTATGGATGTCCAGAGAAATATCCACCCTAGATATCCTCACCGGCCGCGAGTCTTCCAAGTTGTTCCGAATCTTTGACTGCTCATACAAACTCGAATATGCTCGTCAGGCTCATCGTCGTTCCTAATGAGGCCGACGTGTTTTTACACTTTGGAGTAGTTGACATTGAGGGCGTTGCAATTATCGTCTTGTTTTTAACTGCAGGGCACGTTCTAGTAGCCGTCTTGTTTGTACTTGTAGGGGACGTCGCAGTAATCGTCTTGTTTTTAGTCCTAGGGTACTTTGCAGTAGTCGTCCCGTTTCCAACAACTGCGTCGGAGGACGTTGTGGCACTAATCTGGTTCGCTGATATTATCGAGCTCGATTTCGCCACACTTGTAGAATTCGTCGGCGCTAGAAGTATCTCCTCGTAGTAGACAATGCGTGTGATTTGAAGGTAAAAGTCCTTCAATTGCTCGAGGGTCCCAGCTAGATGAACAGATGGCTTGCCCCATGACGATGTGCCTAGGTCTTCTTGGTCCAGGTTGTCAGGTTCTTCGCCACATCGCCAAGTACAGATGCTAGTACCCTTTCTGTCCACACAAAAGCTTCTATATCAAGTGTAAACGCATGTCTACTCTGCGATGTGGTATTGGCCTCGGCTCACGAGTTGCTTCTTCGGCAGCCCCCAAAATGCTGTTTGGCTCTCTTCTACCAAGCACCTTTGGTTTTTGAACGCATTAATACCGTTCTCAAATTGAGTACCACCGTCACCAGAGATAACAGTGGCGGTTTGATCGCGCTAATAAGTTTTGTATGAACCAGGATCTTCGGCGCGACTAACGTGGAAGCCGATTTATGGTGTATGTTCTGGTTCATTCCATCGTATATGTCGATCTCGCCGGCAGCGGGCCTATGCCCTTAACCAAGAGTCTAGCTCTGAAGTCAGCGGTTATTAATGTCATACAAGCACCGCTCATTGTTCACTTTCAATGCTGGCCAACCGCCGCAAACTGGGTGCGGCTGGCGGCTAAAAGAAATGACAAACAACCCGTACTTGAACGTTTCCTTGGAAGCAACTGGTAGACTGTCACGCCCTTCGGCACGCTCTGGGGCTAGAACATTAGTATGATCAACTCCAAGGTAAACTTCGCCGTCTACAATCCAAGCTAGCCCCTTCCTGCGGGCATCGGTCAAGTTTTGATACTTCACCCACGAGTTATTGTCGTCGTTTCGGCTCGGGTCACAACCGCTCTGTCATCGATCCGTTAGCCAAACCAATAATTTGCAGCGGTGGAGGTTGATATGCATAGCGTCATACCGTCTGGAATTCGAACGAGTCAAAGAAATTGTCAGCGTCGTATGTCTTGCTCCGACGAAACTTTGCAGCTATCGAAGCTGTGCAGTATGTCGCAAGCAACCAAGCTGTCGGAGCGCGCATGCTGCCTGGATGAAACTAATAATACTTGGTTGACGTCCACAAAACTGTGTCCGACGGACCACTTATAATGGCGACCTGAAATGGAGGAAAAAGCTTCAGATTACTTGGAGTCCATTGCAAATTGTCAAGGATTCCTCTGCAACCCCTAATGTCGGGCCAATATATGTATATATGAGCCATTGAGTGGCAGTGAGCTGACTGCTCGCGACGCTATAATAGCCCTAGTGTCACAGGCTTGTTTCTTCTCATGAGTTTGTGGTTGTTGGGCAGAAAATGTGCTCAACACGCCTCAGCCACATGACTAGATGCAATGCACCAAGGAGGTGGCAGCTCTCACACGATGCCCTCATAGGCCGCGCGCGGGTTCAGGCACCACTTGATGGCTCGGTAATACGAGTCGAGTTTCACACGCAGGCATCTGTCTTGTATGTATAGCCCTCGTTGCTCGGGTCCTTCAGATTGAGGAGCCAAGGACCCTGAGAGTCGAGACGATAGGACATCTTATGCCAATATGAGTCTTTGCTCAAAGCCTTCATCCCTGTATTAGCCCTTGTTACACAGCCATCTGAAAGCCCTAAGCTAATAACTAGCTGAATCGCCTACTGCAATCGTGCCACTGCTTATTGACAGACGTTGCAGATGGGACGCAAGTCGCAGGTTTGTACATAACTACTGGCTCATAGCCCGCAGCCCCCAAGTATCGCTGTCAGGATGGTCTTCATCCTTTCCAAGCAGGCACTGTTCACAATGGCCATGACGAGCCTGCCGCACAGTCACACCGACTTTTTTACCGAAAAATGCAGATACTCTAGATCCTGATTAAGGTAATTCTTGCCATTGCCTTTACGAGTTACAACTAACTGCGCAAAATAGCAAGGCTGCGACAGCATGCTCAATTCAGAGGTGATGCAACAGGATGCTATGCCAGCCCGAGGTCAAGACGGCCCCCTTTTCTCTCTTTTGCACGGGTTACTCCGTAGCTTAACTCGAGGCTTCTTCGTATCATCTACGTGCCATCTAGCTCGATGCCCTTCGTCGTCGTGTGATACATCTCCCGCTTGTCAGCCCCAGCCCAAGTGCCAAGCGCTACGGAAGGGCCCCTGAGTGCAGACAGCGGCGCCCCTTTCACAGATAGATGACGCAGCATCGCTCCATATCTCGATCTCTAATGGCCATATTTAGCAGGGCCGCGGGCACACTTTCCATGGCAATCTCTCCCACGGGCCACGGCACCCGGAGCCACACCTCGGTTGTCAAACTCCACCGGGTCAGCGCCTCGTGGGTACAGCGTAACGTGTTACTAGTTATCAATGTTCCATCTTTTCTTCTGGGCTCTTGAGTCCCGGGCTTCCAGGCGTTGGAACTCGCTTTGTAGGGACGCGGATCCCCAAGTTTAACGTCTAGTCCGTTCCATCACGAGAACTCAGCCGTTGCCACACCTGCACTTGCGCGCTTCATGCCCCCGCCAGGGATGATTAGGCGTGGTGCTGTTTCTGAGGAGCGGCACAGGCTGGCAGCTGTGGCGATGGTGGCCCGACTCTAATAACTTCGCTACACGCCTTTTCTTTGCTGAGAGTTGAAATGTTGACAATGTGCTTTTTGCTCCCTCACAGCCTGCCGAGGTAGCTCTTCGTGATTCATTAACGGATAATGGCTCGCCACCTGACGTGGCGTTATCACAACACGGGTTTTACCATGTTGCTGACGCGGCGCAGGGTCCAATGGCAGAGACGCTCGTGTGCCTCGTAGCGTCAAGTTACTTATGGAATACGAAGACCGACGGGATGTTGGGTAAATAACACGAGGGCAGCCGTCGTCGACTCTGTGCTTTCGATTGCGTTTGAGTTGATAAGTTCCCTTGTGGTGATTTTGCAACGCTACTTGAGACTGATTCCCCCTCTCTTTGTCTACTTTCTGCCGTATCGATGGGAATAGACCTTTGATTTGCGCCAAAACGCTGTGCCCTAGATATAACGGCACTGACTATCCCTTCGACCGCGACCTGCCTGACTTGTTCTCCGGGGACCGGAGCTTTCACGTTTGCATTCACTTGGTGCGGCACGCCTTTGCCGGCAATTTTGCACTCCGAGTGACGATGCATACTCGCCTATCGCTGGCCGGCCTTTTGGCCCTGTCTACGAGGGTCCTGGGTAGTTTGAAATACTTGGTGCGTTTACTTCTTGACGAGCTGCGGCGAAAGCATCAATTGACAGGCTTTCTATTCTGACTTCCGACATCACAGGGTGTTGCAATGGCTGGTGCAGAGTTTGGCTGTGACATTGACGTAAGGCAACACGGCCATGATGGCAGTCATTCATCATATTAACGCCGAGGACAGGGCTCATGTCCCGTCGATAACGTCCAAGTGCCTCTTGAATCATTTGGCGGCGCCGACTCGGCTGGTCAGATGAAGCACCTTGTGCGGGACGATGGCATGAACACTTTCCGACTACGTAAGCCTCTTGTACACCACTTCATCCTTGCCGCCTTGCTCTGCTAATCCAGCGGCTACTCAGCCATGACGTGGCAATTCGTCACGGCAAACAAACCCTCAGGTCCACTGGACAAGGCCAATTTCAACAATTTCGACAAGCTGGTACAGGCTTGCCTGGATACCGGTGCATACTGCATGCTAGATCTTCACAACTTTGCGCGATACGATGGGGGAATTATTGGCCAAGGGGGACAGTCCGACGACGTCTTCGCAAGTCTGTGGAAACAAATCGCCACACACTACGCCAAGAACGACAAGATCATCTTCGGTCTTATGAATGAACCTCATGCCTTGGACATCAACACGTGGGCCAAGAGTTGCCAGGCTGCCGTCACAGCGATTCGCGAGGCCGGCGCAGAGTCTCAAATCATCCTCCTCCCCGGAACCAACTTTGCAAGCGCCGAGACGTTTGTGTCTACCGGCAGTGCCGACGCCCTTGCCGCCGTCACGAACCCCGACGGGACAACGGACAACTTGTTGCTCGACTTGCACAAATACCTCGACAGAGATAACTCAGGCTCCCATGCCGAGTGTACCACCAACAACGTGGCTGGCTTCCAAACCATTGCTGAGTGGTTGCGTAAGAACAAACGCCTCGCTTTGATATCAGAGTCTGGCGCATCAATGGACCCATCTGTAAGTTGACGGCTGGAAAGCATTTTTTGCCAGCTAGTCAATCTCATCCTGATTCCTGACTGGAGAGCTGACTTGAACTTGTCCAAAAGTGTATGACCAAATTCTGTGAACAAAATAAATTCATTGCCCAGAACGACGACGTCTTCGTGGGATTTGTTGGCTGGGGAGCGGGTGGTCTCGATGTCACATATCTGCTTACCCTGACGCCCTCCAAGTCGGGTGATGCGTGGACAGACAATAAATTGATGAAGCAGTGTATCATTGCTATATTTGGCAGACCCCAGGCCAGCTCAACTACACAGAAACCTACATCTACGTCCGCCACGTCCGCCACGTCCTCGACCTCGACAGAGCAAACAACGCAAGAGGCGGCTTCTCCTACCCCGGCCGGCACGAGGAATACCAATGCGAATGCAGCCACCCGAACCAAGGAAAACGCCGCAGGCCGGGTCCTAGTTTCTACTCTGCACATTATTTTAGGGAGCATCCTAGGACTAAAACTGTGCCTTCAGTAGCTTAGGGACAGGACGGAAATGTTTAGACGACTCGAGTAAGGCCATATTTCGGCGTAAAGGCATGAATAGAACTGCGACGTCACTTGCCGCAGCGGAATTGGGTGCGTCTCTGCAACTTGGCAAATTCCTGTATAATTACCACTTCAGCATGCGCTTCCTTGGATATATTGGCATACACAGATGTATAGATCGTGGCAGCACGGGTTCAGCAGACCACTAGCAAATAAAGTTGATCAATACACACGGCACATGCACAGCAAAATCCTCGGCGCCGGTAATTTCAGGCGCTCAAAATGCGCCACACAATGAGTTTCATCCGTCAAGGCCGAATACAGCCCTCCAATTTCTCCGCCAGGGCCTAGCAAAGATAGAAGTACGCTTCCGTATTTTTTCGCCAAGGCGTTTGCTCTTCCCATCCACGTCACAGAAACTGTCAAAGAAACTACTAAATGGTTTTATACAACTACATCCTTTGTAGCTTGCGCCCATGATCGACACACGCAGGGCGGAAAGCCTTGCTTCCGCATAGGGACAGCTGTGTTGGCCCGTGAGACAGCAACAACGTCATCTACTTGTCTGCTGTGAGAATTGGTTGCTCACCGGATCCCCAGTGGTATTTGCTAGCCGGGTGATCGTCCCTGGGAAGCTTTTGCCCAGCTTTGCCATATATGTTCTCTCGGTATGTGCCGCCTTCGACCGCATAGTCATCCCAGAACAAGCCCCGTTGACGCAGAACTGGAAGGAGAAGCTCAATCACGTCTTCAAAGGACCGCGGGAGAAGAGCGTAGGCCAAGTTGAATCCATCTACGTCAGCCTCAGCAACCCACCTCTCCATCTCGTCGGCAACTCGGTCGGCTGTGCCGACTACTGTAGCACCCAGGCCGCCTATCTTGATGTGGTTTGCGACGGTGTGCTTGGTCCACTTGGGGACCTCGGGCGTAGCTTTGGACCATGCGTCGACCGCCGAGCGAATGGCATTCGACTCAACGTGTCGCAGCTCCTCGTCGTCTCCGTATTTGGCGAGGTCAATCCCCGTCCAGCCACCGAAGAGTGCCAAAGCGCCATCCTCGGAGCCGTAGCTTAGATACTCACGATACTTGGCTTCAGCTTCCTGTTGCGTTCTCCCCAGGACTGGACAGAAAAGCGTCAGGAACTTGATGGAACTGGGGTCGCGGCCAAACTGTGTCTTGGCCTGCTGTCGAATATCTGCAATGTTCTTGGCAATCGTCGAGGGGCTGTGACCAGCAACGAATATTGCTTCGGCGTTTTTGGCGGCAAAGGCCTTGCCAGCGCTTGACGTTCCAGCCTGTAGAATAAGGGGCGTGCGCTGGGGCGAAGGTTGGCAGATATGCGGTCCCGGCACCGTGAAGTATCTGCCGGCGTGGTTGATTGTTCGGACAAGAGATGGATCGGTGTATACCCGCGTCTTGGGATCGAGCTTGACTGCATCGTCCCGCCACGATGCTTGCCTGAATACGACTTTAGTATAGCTCGTGACTTCCCTGCTTGGCGTTGACGTACCAGAGTTTATAGGTTACGTCGACGTATTCCTCGGCTATGGCGTATCGCTCGTCGTGTGGTGGCTGTTCCGTGAATCCCAGATTACGAGCCGCAGAATCGAGGTAGCCGGTGACAATGTTCCATCCCAGTCGCCCGCCAGAGAGGTGGTCAACTGTGCTCAGACGCCTGGCGAGGTGATATGGTTGCTCGTACGTAGTGGCTACAGTCACCCCGAAGCCGATATTCTTGGTTGCCGCAGCCATTGCTGGAACAACCGCGAGTGGCTCGTTAACAGGCCATTGTGCTCCGGATATCACTGCTGGGTCGGGATTCTTCGGCCCTTTGTATACGTCGTAGGAGCCCTGGCGAGGGAGCGTAAGTGGGCGGGAGGAAGTGAGAGGAACTCAGAAGCGGCTTACTAGGACATCAGCTATGAATATGCCATGGAACTTGGCCTTTTCGAGCAGTTTGGCTAGCTCGACCCAATGGGACACATTGTTGAAGTTGGACGACTCATCATCAGGGTGTTGCCACAGCCCGGGAGATTGATGGCCACTGCAAGACTCCACAAATGCATTTATGATGAGCTGCTTCTTTGGTGAGCCGGCCGAACTACCCTTCAAGTCTGCCATGTTGCGACGATGCGTTTCTTACGGCAGTTGATAATAATCTGGAGCAGAAAGATGGAGCTCTTGGAAACTGGAAAGAGCTCACAAAGGAGATATAAATTCTAGTATTCAAATAGGATTTCCCCGAGGTTTCACTGGGCCCGCATTGTGCAAGTCGTCCCCCGCCTGGCGGATCATTGCCATCACGTTGTTGCACATGCCGATTGCGCCATCGATCACGACCACACTGTCATTCGTACTGAGCTCAGGCCAATCAGGTCAGCAATGTGAATCTGCCGAGGATGCTTGTCCAGGCCTGCCCTCAATCCAACTCTTATCAATGGGCATGCATCAAGTTGCTGGTGTCGGCAACGGAGTACCGGCTGAAACAAGTCCCAAGTATTTGCCGATATCGCGCAATTGCGAGGAAAGAGAATGCCGGCGGAGCAGCACCAGGTAGGGTCAGTGTATTGCTTGTTGCGGGAAATGTGCACTCAGAAACAAGCGTATGGAGCAATAGTACGAGTACATCTATCTGACTACCTTAAAAAGGGTTCCGGCGCCCAGTCTGTGGTCACAACTAGGAGCAACCCATCTGTCGTCCAGAATTTACCAAGATATTGACACCGTCTGCCGTCTGTTGTGTGCGACATTCCAGCATCTTCCCAATCTAGTGTCCGCTGTGCTCACTGTAGCAAACATACAGTCTTCTTTGCTTCAACGTGTCATTTGCCTTCTTCCCTCGGAGGTATACAGTCATGCTTCCATCGAGGAGAAGTGGTGCCGGTGACAGCGGCAGCGTTGTTGAACCGCCGCTACCACAGGCTGCCGGCTATGTAATTGTTATTGTGATTGGCTTCTTAATTGCCGTGATCATGATGGCGATAACACGTGTACTCAGGAGAACCGCCGGCGAGGACAACAATAAAACAGAAATGTTCATGACGGCGAATCGAAGAGTTGGTACAGGACTAACAGCATCAGCCGTGATTTCTTCGTGGCTTTGGAGTACTGCCATGCTCGGAAGCACTCTCGTGGGCTACAACTTTGGCATTGCCGGGCCGTTTTGGTTTGCTGCAGGGTGAGTTCCGTCTTCCGAGCTTGCCTGACCTTGAAAAATGGTCGTCGTCGGTCTAACAGCTGTATAGCTGCTCCCCAATGATTGTCTTCTTCGCCTTGCTCGGCATCGCTTGCAAGCTCCGTGTCCCAGAAGCCCATACTTTGTTGGAGATTGTCCGAATCAGATACGGCACGCTGGGCCATGTAGTTTGGATTGTGCTGTGCTTGATCAACAACGTCATTGCCGTGGCAAACATGCTCCTCGGCGCCAGTGCTGCGATTTCCGCGCTGTGAGTAGTGTTTGTTCAAGTAAAATACCGTCATTCCTACAGTCACAAAGCGCTAACAGCCCGCCTTGTGTAGCACCGGAATGCATATTATTGCTTCGACGTTTCTGCTGCCTGTCGGGGTCGTCTTGTACACGTTTGTCGGGGGCATCAAGGCAACCTTTTTAACCGACTACTTTCACACATTTGTCATTACAGTCATTGTTTGCTTCTTCACAATCAAGATATTCCTGGTTCCCGAAATCGGGAACCCACAAGATCTGTTTGATATCATTGCCAGAGTTGGCCAGATCCACCCTGTTGACGGCAATCGAGATGGGTCTTATCTTACCATGACAAGCAAAGGGGTCAGTTTACTCGAAGCTGAGGAAATTAGTGTACGAACTGGAGTGCGGCTAACTTGGGGGATCCGACAGGCTATTCTCTTCGGTATAATTCACATTCTGTCAAACTTCGGGCTGGTCATCATGGACACGGGCTTTTTTGCAAAGGCGTTCAGTGCTGCGCCGCACGCCGTGGTCCCTGGATACATCGTCGGTGGCATAGCATACTTTGCAATCCCGTGGTGCCTTGGAACTGTTATGAGCTTGGCGGCGTTGGGCTTGGAGAGTACAGAGCGCTTTCCCACGTTCCCTCGGCGATTGTCACCGACAGAAGTTTCGAACGGTCTGGTTCTTCCGTACGCCTCCGTCGCGATTGCCGGCAAAGGAGGCGCCGTTGCGGTGGTGTTGATCGTTTTCATGGCCGTCACGTCAACCATCAGTGCCCAGGTCATCTCGGTCTCCTCAATCATCAGTTTCGACATATATCGGCAATACTTGAACAAAGCTGCCAAAGACAAAGATGCCATCCGATGGAGTCACATTGGCGTTGTCGCATTCGGTATCTTCTCTGCGGCCTTCTCAACAGCACTGCATTATGGCAATGTCGATCTTGGCTGGACTCTATACATGCTCGGCGTGCTGACCTGCCCCGGAATCATCCCAACCGTCTTCACAATTCTTTGGAAACGGCAATCAAAACTAGCCGCAGTAAGTTCGCCAATATTAGGAATGGCAACCGGCGTCGGCGTGTGGCTAGGCTCCGCGTCTGCCCTCTACGGAGAAATCAGCGTGGCCACGACAGGGCAGACGCTGCCTTGCGTCTACGGGACCGTTGCCTCTGCCTTGAGTCCGGCATTGTACTCCATCTCTCTTACGATTTTGCGGCCAGAAAATTTTGATTGGGCCGCTTTCCGCAACGAAAGTTTGGCCTTCAACACCTCTTCGACGAGCCTAGCCGACGTTTCAGAGTCAGACAAGAATGAACAGAAGTCACACGAAGAAAATATCCAGAGCTATTCTGCCGACAAGGCCAGGCTCAAACGGTGGGGAACCATTGCTGCAGTCTGGGCCTTGGCCACATTTCTAGGACACTGGGTTCTTTGGTGAGTGTTGATGTTGATGTGGCGGCAAATCTCCGAGCGACATGGACTAACACCCTAGAAACTTCCAGGCCTTTGCCCATGTATGCCGCAAACTACGTCTTCAGTCGGTCTTTTTTTGTAGCGTGGATAGTTGTGTCCATCATTTGGGCTTGGGGCACCATGCTCGTCGCTGGTTTCTTTCCCATTATTGATGGCTGGGGCCAACTGAACCAAGTCTGTCGTGGCCTCCGCCAGGGCCGGAGGCGTTAAGAAAGTTCAGTACTCTCACCAAGCAACTGGGTGGCCATTTTTCTCTCCGTGGGCACATCGCTCGTCTACGGGCACTGATGGAGTCGAGCCGTGTGTCAGGTCTGCCGTCCGACTACATGGACTCTGGTCTCCATGGCTGATCTGGGCAAAGCAAGAGCAGCAGAGGAACTGTAGGGCTCTGTGGGAAATAACCATGCTTGTCTGGTCCCTCTCAATGTGTTACAGTGGATCGTGGGGGTCGTCGAATGTGGCTGCGTCGGGGATGTTCGCATCCACGGCCGTACCAGGGACTCTTGGTGTTCAGGGGGGCTGACGAATATGAAATGTCCAATTCTATAGAGAATAGTTGCGGAGCGACGGTTGTAGAATCTTGGGTCGAATCTATGCTTCCTTGCATCGCCACATGTCCTATTTGCCTCCACCTGTAATTGAGACCAGAAGACTGCTCAGATGCTGAAAACCCTTTGGTGTATCTCCGTTTAGTGCAACGTATAAACCTCGTCAACCTCGGCCAACCTGTGTCCTCAACGAGTCAAACCGTTGTGCGTGAGAGGCAGGACCCCGGTTCGTCGCATCCAACCAATTCTTCTGGTCTAATATCAGAAAGCTCGGCTGAGAAGAGCGCAGGCCATGCTCTGCCCGAACATGACTCGACGACTTGTCTCTCTTCCAAGTTTCCTGCCCTAGCCTGGATTGACTGCCAGGATAACCATGCAATAAGCGTACCTATATTTCAAGACGAGGGCCTTTGGGCGTGTGTTGGCAGCATTGGGGCGATACTTGACTCTAAACCACCAACATGGCCTCAACCAGAAAGTCGCTTGAAGACTTCTTGCATGGTAAATCTCGGGACGAGGCACGGAGGGCGGCATCGTCCAGGGGTCGATGAATCCGGGGTAGCATCGCTAGTTGTTGATGAAAACACAGCAGCAGACTAGTGTTGCCAACCACTGTTCTTGGTTTTATTCAAAAAGCAATTTCCCTCTCCGCGGACCGAGATGGCGATAAGACGGTTTTTGGCAAAGGACTGAAACGAGCAGACCCCAGAAACCGTTTCAAAATGGCTGTCTTCGTGGGGCCTCGCCGTAAACTAGTGGAGCGTGTACATGCTCAACATGGCTGAAAATGCGATCCTAAATATTCGATCCCAATTCGCGGCATCACACCACCACAACTCACGTATCTCATTGGTGGTGACTGACTCCAACCAACCTACGTGTTAAATGGATGTGGCAGGTAATCCATCCCACTCTACCAAGAGTCGCATATCTGCTCTTGGTTCCCGTTGATTTTGTACTCCTTTCTTTTTTTTTTTTTTTTTTTTTTTGCAACCCCATGTCAAAAGCATAAGACGTAGATGCGTCTCTAACCAGCACCATGATGAGTCTTGTGGCGGAGACATGGACCTGGTATGGGCTGAGTTGGTTGGTCGTGGCGACCAGAATGTTAGATCCATCTTCTCTCCTGTCGAGCATGTTCATGTCAACTGTTGTTCTGACCGACCGCGTAGCGCATCGCAGGCTCTTCTTGGGGGTTCCGTTAAAAAGCTTAAATTGGACGACTATCTTATGGTGTGTGTGTGTGTGTGTGTGTGTGTATTTAACGCCTTAGTTGGGGTTAGTCCCTGCTCCAGTTGGAGCATTAGGCGTGCTATTGCTATACTAGGTATATATAGTAGCTCTTAGCTGTCCTCTTTTTTAGGACAGCAGAGATATTTTATTCTTCTTTCTCTATTAGTAGGTACTTATAGAGAGCTTAAGGTATAGTTATAAGCTTATTCTTCTAGATAGCTAAGTGTTATTATAAGTAGGTATTAGCTTATAGTTAGTATAAAAGAAAAGAAAGTAAATATAAAGAGAGAAATAAAAATAATACTTCTAGCCTTTTAGTATACTATCTTTATCTAAAGTATATTTTGCTAAAGAAAGATATATCTTTAATAAAAGTAGTAAAGCACTTAAAGTTTAAAGTAAGAGCTAGCTTAATAGCTGCCTTAAGAGAGAGTTTTAGTAGAACTCTTCTTTTTAGTAATATTTTATAGCAATAAAAAAAGTAAGTTTAGTGCTTCTTTCTGCTATAGAAATAGTAGCAATTAGTAATATAGCTAAACTTATTATAGTAAGCTATAAAGTCTTTATACTTTATTTTAACTATAAGTAAGTATACTAAATTCTCTCTTATAAAAATAAGTTTATAGAGGTTACTTATCTTAGCTTTAAGCTTTAATAGTTAGTAAGTAGAGAGAAGGTAAGCTTCTCTTTATTCTTAGAACTATTTAGTAGTATTTTTCTTTACTTTATACTTAATATAAGTAAAAGTTAAAGAAGTAGAAGCTAATTCTAAGAGTTAAGTACTTTTTTTAGCAAGCTAGTCTACTTACTTATTGCTTAGAATATTAAAGTAGCTAGAGATTTAGTAAATAAATACTTTACTATTCTTTAAGGCTAGTTCTTTAAATTCTATAAAGATATTTTAGAAACTATTTAAAGAAATACTAGTAAAGTAAGTTACTATAGCTTAATTATTTAGAAGAACTTTAATTTTATTATTAAAGCTTATTTTATAAAGTAGAGTAGTATAAAGCCTTTAAAGAGCTTCTACTACTTTTATATTAAAGACTTTTACTTAGTTAATTTATTTATTACTAAAGAAAATCTTAGTATTATTTTAAAAAATAGTATATTTCTAGCTATAAACTTTATTTTAAAGTCTAAAGCTATTAAAGTATACTACTAACTCTATAGAGTTAAAAGACTTTATTTATTTAAGTAGTTTACTTATATTTTTAGTTTTATCTTCTAAGCTTTTTATAGGCTTTAAAGGCTTACTTTTCTCTAGGAGTTTAAAGTAGAAATATGTTACGAACGTTACTGCAGGAGACGCGGGACAGGACCGCACTGCTAGGACAGGGTACAACGGCGGGGCGCGCAGGAAAAGGACGGTAGCACGTGACGTGTTACGTGATCTACAAGGGGATTGAAGGCTTGAGGCTTCGAGCTAACAATCTAGGATAAGACTTGAGAGGATTAATGGTCGAGCTATTCAATTAAGGCTTGAAGAGATTGATGGATAAGCTAGTCGATCTAGTCTATAATAGAGAGATAGACAAGTACTTAAGGAGGAGGTATTCTGCTGTAGTAGATAGTCTAGTTCTCTATTGATTAATCTAAGCAATAGTTTTTACTATTAAGAGTTATACTCTTATTAACGGCCTTATTGTGATACTGCTTGATAGCTACTCTGTAGCGTTTAACCTGACTTACTTCCTAAGAAATAGACCTACTGTGTCTTAGAACTTAAGCTACTGTTACATTTTAATTAATTCTGTTTGGTAAGTTACCTTAAACTACAAGCAGTAACCTTTATGATGTTAACAGCAAGCGGAAATACTACTAACTCTGCCTAAGCTATTATGCAGATAGAACAACGGATTATAGATCTTACTGCGTAGATTTAAGCTATATAATTTAAATAGAAAGGAGCACTTACTCTCCCTAAATTTCCTAAACCTAAACTGTTTAATGGAATTAAGGGAAATGTACGCACCTTTTTTACCTAGGCAAAAGCTTACCTCTGAGTTAATACTACTATTGCTAACCCTGCGGCAAAGATACTTTGCATTGGAAATCTTCTCACTAGAAAAGCTATAGAATAGTAGGAGCTAACTCTTATCTTAGGGACTACCTTAACAATAATCCTACTTAAGGACGAAACTGCTTGGATTTTTAACTGCTATGCGAATTTTGAAAAAGAACTTAAAACAGCCTTTAGAGACCCTAATAAGGTCCGGACAGCAATATGCAAAATTAAAACCCTTAGACAGACGGGATCTGCTTAGCACCTTATTAGAGAATTTTAATGCATTTTAGCATCTCTTAACTGGGATAATAACAGCATAATAAAGCTACTCTATGACGCTCTACGTAAAGACGTAAAGAATGAAGTTGCAAAAGAAGACTAACCTAGCTCTTTTAACGAATTTACTAGCAAGATTATTAAAATCGACAATTAACTCTATGCTAGACGACTTAAACGTAGAGGAAGAAGCGCAGGAAATTGCGCAAGTCTACTACAGAAACATTAGCTAAATACTGGACGCTATTGTTATAGATCCACAGCTTACAGAATACACCTAGGCTTAATAGAACTTAACGCTGCGAATAAGGAAAAGGGGAAGACTTGTTATAATTGTAGTAAGACTAGACACTTTGCAAATAAGTGCTGAAGCCCTAAGAAGCTATGGAAGCTAGTTCCTAAAGATAGAAAGCTCTATGCTGCAAATTGAGAACACTTGCCTACACAAAACTTAAGTATAGCAAGCAACAAAAGGAACTACATAATAGCAAACTATACTAGTTTGGATAAAGATTAGGAATTTAGAACCTAACTAGTACCTAATGACGTTTGGGAACACTAGATGCTATCACTAAGGAGCGAACCTTTACTAGAACTAATCTATAAAGAGTATATTTATCCAACTAAGAAAGATAAACCTAAAATTAAATACAGACTTCTTAATTAGACCTTCTGTTACAACAATAACTGCTATATACACCTTAGCAGCAAGCAAGGTAGTAGATAGTTTCCACGAAAACGAAAAGAGAAAAGAAGAACTACCCTTATAATACAACCTAAATTACAAAGAACTGACTTAAAGATATTGAACGGAAAATTATACTGTGCTATAGATAACGTACATACTACTTAAACTATGCCCTTATAATGCAAGGAAGACGGAAACTGTGTAACTGCGAGCAACTTGCTTAGCCTGAGTTTAATTAATACAGATAGTAGATGAAGTAATTACTAGGGAAGCTCCAACAAACCGTCGGAAGATAATTAATAAAGACAGCAGCTAATACAGCGCGCTAAGCGATATAAGGGAGGAATTAATAAATTAGGAAACAATAACTATTGTTGCAATTAAGACTGATTTCTTAATAGAGATCTAATAGGTCTCTATATACTGCAAATATTAGCAGCATAGCACACCTTATAAT